TTTTTTCTTCTCTTTCTCTCTTCTTCTGATTTCTTGTTTTAGGTTTCTATGTTTATGTGCTGTTGTTTGAAGGAAGAGGAAGTCCTAAAAGACAGGAGATTGCGAGGGAAAACAAAAGATTGGATGGATGGAGGAATCTTTCTATATTTGGTTATGACACTCTGTTTGGTTATGTTTTTACAAAAATTCGTTAAAACTTTGTTGCCGTTGTTTAATTTTTTTGGTTCTCCTCCTCCCGCCATTTTTCCTTTGTTTAAAGACAAGGGAAATAGGCTTGTTTTGTTTTTTTTTTTTGAAATAAGTTTTAAATTATAATCTCACTGATCCTAGTATCATCTTTCTCTAAACTGATATATCTCCATATATCAAATATGAGAAGAAAAGTAGATTTGGTCAAACTTTCTTAATTTTTATCACTCAAATTAGGGGTGGGCACAATTCCCGTCCCGTCCTGTCCCGTCTCGTCCCGTCCCATTCCCAATCCCGAATTCCCGTACCATATGGGAATATATTCCCATATAGGATATGTAGCTGATTCCCATTTGGGAATGAGACGGGACGGGACAAGAATGGAATTCCCGAAATCCCATTTGGGACAAATTATATATCACTTACATATATTAATAATAGTATTATACATAATTAGATATATATTATATAGCTTAGATTCTAATAATTTGTAAATATGGTTTCATAATTCAAAATATTCAAAAGTATTAAGCATTATCTTTATGATTATTAATTTTGAGATTTGAATTTTATGATTACATTTTGAGGTTTGAATTTTATTATTATTAATTTATCATGGTTTATTATTTTTGGGAATTCCCATTCCATTCCCGTCCCGTCCCGTCTCGTCCCGTTCCCGTCCCGTCCCGTCCCAAAATTTAAATGAGACACATATGGGACAACTATTTTGATTCCCATATTCTCGTCCCATTCCCGTTCCCGAAAAGTCCTGTCCCAATTTTCCGTTTACCCACCCCTAACTCAAATAACCCACTTAGTATTTTATCATTTCTATAATTCCAAAAATTTCCTAATTATAAATTTGGTATCGGAAAGTGTTTAACTATCACTTCTTCTTCCCTCTAAATTTTGTTTCCCCGGTGCTTATTGCTATCTCAACAGAACAAGGAGACTAAAATCTAATTAAGCCTTTAAGTTTGATAAAGTCTGCAAAATAATTACTGGATCTGCCATAACAATGACAGACTGGAAGAATGGAAATTAAGTTTGCAAAATTTTGGTAGATTAATCCAAAAGAGTGTCATACTAGCCGGCTGAAACTAAGATTGATCATAGTAAAGTCTACTATCTAAATAATCACAGAATATACCAAACATGTTCTACCAAAAAATGACAGGCTAACAAATTGAAATATAAATCTGCTAGATTTCACAAGCCTGTTAAATTTGAGGTGGACTTGAGTTTCGACTAGTCGTCTTTATAACTAAATTTTATGAAAAATTACCTCGAGGAGCTTCTCTCTGAACGTCAAATCCAGAAAACAGAATACGAGTATTGGTCTTTGTTTCTCCATGGTGTTTTAAGATCTAAATCTGCAGAAAATAGTAGATTATGAACAAATATGCAAATCTATATGATCTAGTTTTGTAGGAATCATAATAATCAATATGGAGAGAACACAAAAAACTTACCCTCTTTACTTCAGTGATATTGAGAAATTTCAACTTTGGAAATATCAATGGATGATGTACCAATGTGTTGGTCGAGGATGGTGTTTTTATATAAGATTTAACCGTTAAAAACGAATAAAATAAAAATCACGAGATAAAGCTAAAAGTGTTTAAAATGATTCCTATTGGTGTAAACGTTATCCTTATCCGTTTAAGGGATTTCCTAATTTTTAATTATTTTAAATACCATTTAAAATCAAATTTAATTTTGCATGTAAATTAAATATTGTTTAATCTTTAAAAAACTAAACATTGTTTACTTAGAAGAAAAAACTACATTTATAATTTTATATATATTAGAGAGAAATTGCATTTGATAGCAAATAAAATACTTAATTAGTAAAATGACAAAAACTCTAAGTACATACCCCTTTCTTAATTTTTTGTTAATCCTATTCCTACCAATTGTATCCCTCATGGATTTCTCTTTATTGCATTTTTCTTTTCTCTGTTTTCTTTTGTTTCGTCCGACTATTTCCAAATCATGTTCAAACTCAAACCATCACTCCTGAATTCGGCAAAAGAATTTACATCAAATTTCTTTTTCAAGCATTTCATATGAAAGGTGGAAGATGTGGCATGATAAGATCTTAACATTTTCATGTGATATTCTCAACTTCCGACGAAGACATCTCTCAACTTGTGTGGCAAAACGAGTTTACATTATGAATTATGTATTCTGTTTAGAGACTTGTTTGAAACTGTCACCAAAGTCGACCTCAGATATCAACTTGTGCTTCAAATTCTCATCACAAACTTCTCACAACAAGTGTGCCTCAATGCTCTCTATCACTTACGAAATGTTAAAATCATGAACATGTTTACATTCAGCAAAAAAGTAATGTCGAAATTGAGGGTTTTTTTTTAATCTGTCAACAAGCATGCATAGTCATTAAAACAAACTTTTCCAAACAGAAATTATAATCCCTTGAGATGTTTTTCTTTTATTCTGAATAAAATGCAAAAATAGCGGGCGCTAGCATCAGCTTCTTGATAATTTCACATTGCTGAGAGTGTTCTTGCCTTGCAAACAGCCTCAGAGGAACTTTCTATGTGGTCTGCCTGCATCTTCGTCTTGCATATGCTGCCAAAATTCAAGTTTTGCGAACGTTAGCTTGACTGTAATTTTGTGAAGCACAAGACAACATGATACATACACTAAATTGTGTGGGAACTAGTAACACATAATTCTTCTCCATTATGATCTTCATAGAAAACTCCACTAACAAGGAATGCTATAGAGCATCAATCACATAAGCGTGTCACATAAGAGTTCATAAACTAACATGGAGGAAGAAACCTCAAGGATTGGAGCAATAAACAACTAAGATTAAGAACGTAGAGAGGCATTATCTCACCATAAACAAATATGATTAGACTCAAACTCAGAATAATAATAGGAAGAGAAGCAGATCAATCGTATTTACAGCCAAAAAACAAATTTTTACTACCTAAACGCATCAAGACTTGAGGATAATCATATAAACACAATAGCCATAGCAGTTAAACCAAATTAATTCCTCAACTACTTTGGCAACAGTTTCAACTTCCAAACAAACAAAAACTCAACTCTAATTCAGAGGCTTTCATCAGTTTGTAGAGGATTTTTATAATCAAGCTCGAGAAAGCAAAAAGTAATCAAACTATTTAGTAAAGAAGCAGAAAGAAAATCAATTTACAGGTGAAATGCATTTTCGAAGCCAGTCGTTTCAGCAAAAGAAATAATATGATTCAAATACATCTACCACAAAAGCATCAGCTACACCATCGGCAGAAACCCAATTTTAAAAATGTATCATACGGTCCAAATTCATACGATGTTGACAATGAACATGAAAAAAACTTAGGGCACATAACAGACATATTTGAAATCGAATGCAAATCGGATCGGAGAGCAAGACTTAGATTGAGATTGAGAGAGAGAGAGATTCAACTCACAAAATCTTTGACGATTCCCTTGTAGACGAGGATCGGGAGAGCGATGCCGAAAATTCCGATGAGAGCGAAGTTGCGACGGGTCCAGCGGAAATTATGCTCGAGATTCTCCCTAGCAGATCCCCAGTCCTCGATGAACTTGTTCTTGTTCGTTTCCATTCCTCCACCCATCTTCTTCGCTTTCTCGATTTACCTTTCTCTTCTCTTCTCTTCTCCCAAATCAATCGCTCAAATGGTTTTAGCTCTCTGATTTTTAGCCACGCGACTGTGTTTACTGGTTAAGACAGCGAGCTTCAGATAGCTACCGGTTAAGTAAAAAGTTAATTTGACTTTATCAATTTAGTAGTAAACCAAATATATTCAGATATGGAAGTAACTTCAGCCCAGCAGGGCCCATAAACAAAATTGGCCCAAAGTTTTGCTTTACGAGTATTTGTTGGCGGCATTGATTATTAAATTTTTCAAGTTTTCAACAACAAAAAACATAAATTTTGATAGATTCGTGTTCTTCTTCTCGAGTTATTACATTACCTTAAGTGGAGAGTTTGATTGAATTATGGTAAGATCTCATAATTCAATTTGCGTCTGTGAACGCATAATTGTATTTCGATCGCGTGAGAGTGTAAAATTGACCATTTCTACCATCTGTTCGACTTGGATTTGCGTCTCTTCGATTCAATTTCTCAAATCTCAGTTCTCTGTCACGAAAAACTTCTCTGCTCTCTCTCTCTCGTTTTATTTCCACATGCATATATTTCGCCGTTCAATCGCGGAAGGTGACAAGCTCTTTCCCATTTTCTCGCCTCTTTAAATTCTGTAGTCGTTGACATTTCACGACTTTTTTTACTGAGATTTGTTTTCTTCTTCTCGAAATTGAGTAATTGGTTCTTACTTCTTAGTGTAGAGCTGCTTAATTTACCGTTAAATTTGAGAGTTTTATCGAGGGAGAATTTGTTTGTTAAAAGTGAGACATCGCTTTCTTAGGGTGTATATATTCCCTCTGAAGCTTAGTTGTTGACTCTTTCTAATTCTCAGAAGAAAATGAAAACTTAGTGCTTGGTGTGTCACAATTTGTTATTACACATCATTCTTATTAAATTTTTGTTAATTGGGTTTTTTAATGTACACATCATTCTTATTACATCAACAAATCAAGAATGTTAATTCATATATCATTTTCAAGTAGTTGACATTTTCTTGTTTTCTTATTCAGAGAATGGCAAGAACATTTCCTGCATTTGCCGTTTTTGCACTTGTTAATGTGTTGTTTATCATATGATTTGGTCTGCTTTTAAAGCTTAAACAAAAAACATTTTGTCTTTGGTTCTGAAGTTTAAAGGAGAAAACTTGAAAAAACTGCAAAAAATGGCATTTGCAGGTGGGAAAGATGGATCTAAAGGATTCGTCAAGAGGGTTACATCAACATTCTCCATCAGGAAAAAGAAGAACACAACAACGACTGATCCAAAACTACTTCTTCCTCGATCGAAATCAACAGGTGCTAACTACGAATCCATGAGGCTTCCTCAGGGGAAAAAGTCTCTTCCAGAAGTTACACCAAACACAACAAAGAGGACTAAATCCGCAGGCGTCTCGCCGCAGCCGAGGCGCGAGAAGATCGATGAATCATCATCAGGGAAACAGTTTATGAAGCTGAGATGTTTTGACGACAGCGACTCCATCTGGTTGTCTTCAGACTGTGCCTCTACTTCTTCTCTTCTAGAGGAACGCAGAGTCTCTGTCTCGTTTCATTTCTCAGTCGACGAAAAGATTGTGTCTTGGTTGTCTAATGTCGCCAAGACTTCTTTGTCTCTGAATCATCAAGAAGCCACCAAAGAGAATCATCATCAACGTCATCAGAAAAGTTCAAAGAACGTTAAATGTTCTTCAGAGAACGTTCGAAAGGATGGTAAATTTTGCAGCAAATCTGTTGGAACAAAGCCGTCTTCTTCACGTTTGCCTGAAATCAAGAACAAGACATGTCAAGAGCCACCAAGCTCCAGTAAACTTGTGAGTCCTGAAGAAAAGAAAGTTAGCTTCTCAGTAGAATCAGAGAAGTCTCCTTCAAATGCTGTGCCATGTAAAGCCATACAAGCAACAACAACGTTGGAGAAAGTTGGGGAAGCAAAGAGTAAGATTGCAGTGGAGCCACTATTCTGGCCGTTTGAGCAGAAGTTTGATTGGACACCAGACGATATCTTGAAGCATTTCTCTATGTCTCCACGGAGAAAGAAATCGATAGGAAGCAAATCTGCGAGCACCTCTCCAAGATCAATGAGGGCACAGCTCCAAACAAGAAAGCTAGATCTCAAAGAAGGGTGTAGAAGAAAGCTCATGTTCAACGGTCCTGGATCAAACTCAAAGCCAACAAGGATTCCAGAAATGAGTCGAACAGTCAGCAACAACAGCAGCAACAAGAACGCAGAGATCAGCAAGAACTTGATGAACAGTGTGAAGAGGAACAAGAGTTTGCCATCGAGGCTGCGGAAATCGAGCAAAGTATCATCAAAGGTGGTACCTATTGAAGCTACAGCAGAAGAGAGTGAAGAGATAGCCAAAGGGCAAAAGACACCTAAGAAGCTGATCATGACACGAAAGTCGAGGACTTTCTTGGAAGATGACTTTGCTTTGATGAATGATTTCTCCATAGAAAACGCTGTTGGGCTTTGTGAGTTCAAAGGAAGAGAAGGCGTAGATTCAGATTTCAACACTGATGGTTTCTTGTTCGACGACTCTCTTTGAAAACAAGGCTTAGATTCAGTACATAAGCTCGATAACTCAAGTTTAATTAGTATATATACACTTGCCAATATCAACATCTGCTTTGGCAACAATTTTGTTCCTGAAATGATATATTTCTGTTGGATAGTAATTACAGGTAACATTTATATGTACTCAACTTCAGAAGAGCTGAATCAAAAATTTATTGAGTTCCATAACATAATCATTAGATTCATTGGACCAAAAAAGCAAACTTTGTGTATAAAAACTTTGTTTCATTCATCTGAGGTTTAACCTCTTACATTACACTTAGCAAATAGAAGAAGAAAATTCCTAACGACGATCCTACTGTAAAATCATACGTAACTTAACAAACACGAAACACCCTAGAGTTAAAACTGCACCAAAACCAAATTACATTTCCAAAAGAAAAACCCAAAAGAATCCAAAAAAAAAAATCAGGAATTGCCTAAAAATGAACCCTTTTCACGTGCGACATAGACAATAAACAGTGCATGTATTGGAGATATCTTGGTGAGTAAGGCATCAAGAACAAAGAGAAACGCCGGTAGGAGAGCATCCATGGCCAGATTCACCGGAAGCAGAGACGCCATTGCCGGAGTTTGTCATCGGAGGAGGAGGAGGAGTGACGAGAGCAAAACATAGCTTTCCTCCTCCGGATCGGAAAGACCAGACATGGTAGACCTCGTGGACATTAAACCTGTTGGCGGCAACGACATTGTTCCAACCACCAGCAAAGACAAAATTCCAGTTTCCACCCATAGTCCACATCCTCAAATCAAGGTCATGCTTATTCATCAGAGGATCAACCAAAACCATACTCGCACCTTTCTTACGACTCTTCAACACCGACTGTTGGTGTATGGTTGTTGCTTCCTCCTCCGTCAAGAAGTCAGTGTTAGCCATTTGGTTTAAAGGCAGTGAGAGACGTGACTGTCCTTTGTCGATATCACTCTTAAACATTTTCCTCGCTATGATCAGCTTCGGATTGTATCCGTTATCTTCTCTCATCATCACTTCCACGAGCCACTCAGGCGGCGTCGTATGCGAGGGTTCCACATCTAAACGACGAACGGTTTTGCGTTTCTTGCACTCGGTGACGCAAGAAGAAGGAAAAGAATCCAAACCTAAGGTACTAGGGTTTTGTGTTATCGAAGATGATGATGATGATCCCACCTCAAAGCTGCGAATGATTTTGAGTCTCTTGAGGCTTCTCTCTTCTTCTTCTCCCTCTTCTCTCTTCTTCTGTTTTTCGATTGCACGAGTCCATGGTGTTGTTGCCATGGAAGATGATCGGTGATGGCTCTGTTGAGTTCTCATTTTTCTAGGAATATACACAAAGATTCTCGCATTTTCTTCGTCACGGGGCTTTGGTATTTCGTCCTCTGGCATGGTGGCGACATAGGCCAACATCATCAGCTCCCAATTACTACTCGGTGGTGATGAGTAAACCCTAGGACTACTATCAAGCTTCTTCGTCGTTTCTTTTGAATTTAGCGAATCATCATAACAACTAGAAGACTTGGAGTTGACTTCCTCAGTAGCACGAGTACCGTATTCTATGGCGGCGATCTCCACCAACAAGTCCAGTGTCCTGCATCTATCATCACATGTCTTCATTTTTGTTTGATTCTTCGTCAATAAATTTGTAGCGAGAAACAACAACGAGTCTTTGTGCGCAAGTAATCGTAATCGAAGGGAGAGAGATGAAGAAGAATAGGGCACGAGAGAGAAATAGAGAATGATTGGGAATGAAATAAGCTAGAATGCAGGAAAAAATATATATATGTAGGATAATCTCTAACTCTTAAGTCTTAACTAGCTGCTTGTGTCAATATTTTCCATTCTTTGAGAATTGCTAATCAAAATTATGTTAAATCATGTTGCTTGTCGGCCCACAAAAACTACTAGCTTTGTTACAAATAATTGCATTACCCTTTACCAATCTCCTTAATATTGTCTTTGTCAAAATTTGTTTGTTTTGTCTCCATCAAAACTTTAAAATAATTATTGCAATATTGAAATTTTATGGATAAAAACACATTAAATCAGTGTATAAAATATGAATTAATTACCAATTTCATTTTCCTTTTTATACTAAAGTTTAAACATGTTTTCATCTCAAAAAAAAAAAATTCCCATGAAAACCCTTTAACAAAAAAAAAAAAAAAAAAAATCCCATGTATTATATTAAGAAATGTTTACAAGCATAAATCAACTGTGAAACCAACAAAAGAAAACGGTGCTTAGTAAACAAGAGGAAGATAGATTCCACTTTTGCTAAATATTTTCTGAAGTAAGACACAATTTTTTCCATTTATGCTAAAGATGTGATGTCGTCGGGAATAAATCCCACCTGTCAATATTGCCGTTGACATCATCGTACGAGTCTACGTTGATGAAATCCACTATTATAGGAGCGACTACGTTGATGACATCATCGTACGAGTCTTTCACATCAGGCAAAACAAAGTTTTTGATTTTCTGTTTCTGATTGGAAACACAAAAACGGTTATATGTCCTCGACATTAGAAACCTTGGCGTTGATCACTTCCAAGTTCCAACCCGTTGTTAAAACCAAACCATTTATCCCCTCTTCAACTAAAGCTTATATCGAAGGGAGATGAAGAAGATTTGTGGCTAGGGTTAACTATATATATAAAAATAACATTAAGATGAATTTAGGAAAAACATTTTTACAGAGTCATGATATTATCATTTCCTTAATTTTGTAAACGTCCCGTAGTATGACGGTTACATAGCGTTCTGAATTCCAAGATACAACCACTTAAACCTCCATTCCTCATTCAAACCAATTTTATTTTTGACATATAATATATTATCAAAAATGAATTCAAACAGATATAGAATAATTGTGAATAAAGTGGTAAAGTAAACCAAAATGTTGGAAAAATATTATATATATAGGGTTTTTTTATATAAAAAATAGTTTTGAAAACAAATTGTTAAAGAAAAAAAGCCCTACCTATATATATATATATATATATATATTTTTTTTTTTTCCAACAGCGTGACTTACTTTATCACTTCATTCACAACTATTCTCTACTTCATTCACTATCATTCTTACCTACCTCTCGTGCCTACCTCTCGTGCCTGCTCTCAAATTTCCTCTTCAATGGTTTTGAAATGTTTTTAATGTGTTATAGTTTTTCTAATAAAACTTTATCAATTTCTATTTAGCGAAAGCCTTAAATCAAAATCCAAATAAGAAGTACATAATTCGTTCAAAGCAAGTTATACTTTCAAATAATGACTCAGATCGTTCACTAATAAATTATGAACATGAAAAACAAAATTCAACAATCCATAAATAAACTTGACAACTCCATAATCATCACATATAGGTAGGTAATCAAAATTAAGGTTCTTTTAACTAACTATTTGTCTCAATATTTTACTTCTCTGAAAATTGGTAATCAAAATGATGTCAAATCATGTTGCTTGTCAGCCAACAAAAATTACTAACTTTGTTTCAAAATAATTAGATACCATTTACCAATCTCCTTGATATTGTTTTCGTCCAATTTTTATTGATGGAATTCATATTTTATAATGAGAATATTTTACTCAGTAATAATATCATTTACCAATAATAATGAGAATATTTTTATGTTGTCTATGATGGAATTCATATTTGTTAGATACATACATTTTGTATGTTTTTTATAGGCGTTAGTGGTGCATGCATTATGGAGCAGTCGTTCGTTGTTCTGAAACTCTTCTAAAAAAAAAACAAAACAAAAACGTAATTAGGTAGGTGATCCACTAATTGAAGAAGAAAAAAGAGAGAGAATTCCAGCTTTGTGGCCACATTATAGGAGGAGGAGTCATGAATTATGACATTATGTATCATACAAACCTGAAAAAGTAAAAGAGTTTAGATCGCTGTTAAGCATTATATATGTTAGACTAATCTTGAGACCAAAATGTAATTCTCTTGTAGTATTTTGAGGTAGAACAGATTTTCATCATTTCATCAATACGGTTTCCGTTGTTTGTACTTTGTAAGTCTAAAAGTACTTGTTTTTATATAAAAAAAAATCTTAAAAAGTAGTAATTCAATTCTCCAGACATAAAACAAGAATTAATTTTTAAAATGCTTTGTAATTTCAAGGATGCTTCTATGATTCACGGAGCCGCTTCTTCAACCCTTAACAAGGCCGCTTGGTTTACTCGAATTCGAACCATGAATCGCAAAATTCACTCTACTGTATCTCCTTCCAAACCTGTCTCTTTAAAATTCCAACATCCTCGCTCGGATCCAAACCCAGGTATTGGTTCTATCGCTCTTCCCCTTCAAAATCCCTTCAAATTTTGTATTTTTAATTTCCCTTCAGAACCAGCCGGCATTACAGCTTCTGGGTCAGAGACTCGAGTATACGTCCGGAAGAAAAGGCTAAAACATGAAGCTGTGGAGAAAGATTCCGTAAATATTCCTTCCTTTTTCTTTTCCCCTGTTTTTAAAACGAAATTGAGGAGGGTTCTGGAGATTAACACCTCCCTTGATCAAGTGTGGTAATTTCTTTGGGAGTGAGTTTTACTTTTGTTCAGATTTATCTCACTTATGTAAATGCATTGATTTTGAGGGGTTTCTAGTTTCTACAATGGTTACGCTTCAGCATATGAGAGAAACCTTATTAGTGTGTTTTCGTCTGTTACATTACCTTTTGTTTTGATTAGTTTAACATCTTTTAGTCTTAATTGATGCAGCAACTATGTAGATTACCAGATATAGAAGACTTTGCTTTCAAAAAGATTACTGCATCTCCTTCTTCATCCAGTAAGTCTCATTTATATGAATTTTTCATCATTCAGTAAACTTAGTTTCAGTCACTGGACTAGAAAGAAATAGCCAAAGAACCTGCCTACAATCCATACTCATAACCTGAGAGTTCTTTAGCTTTTTCCTTAAACGGCCAAGAGTGTTTTTGCAGGGAGGTCAACGGAAACTAGCATCAATGTGACTTCAGTCAAAACAGCAGCAGGTTTGTTATCACGGACCAATTCACGTTTTTTATTTTACAGATTTTCTTCACTTTATGTATTAATCTTAGTTTTTAATCTAGGAAATTCGCCTGAAAACTGGGTAAAAGTGCTCGAGGGCATTCGTCAAATGAGATCATCTGGAGATGCACCAGTTGATTCTATGGGATGTGATAAAGCTGGAAGCTTTTTACCTCCTTCGGTATGATTTTTCTTTCCTCAAAACACATTTTTCCTCAAGTCTCTGGTAAATTTTTGATTTACTTATTGCTAGTGTAGTGAATAGCTTAGAAAACTCTCCTTTTATTACTCAAGCAAGCACCTTTGCTTCTTAATTGTTCTTTGGTGTTTTCATATTTGACTACTGATCAATATATATATTCTTGTTTTGTGTGTTATATCTAGGAAAGAAGATTTGCTGTCTTGCTAGGAGCACTTCTTTCAAGTCAGACAAAAGATCAAGTTAATAACGGTTAGTTCTGTGCTATTAAAGAAAACAAGTATTCTGATGAGAAATGCATATACTTACTATTCAGACACATTTTGACATGCAGCTGCAATACATCGTCTTCATGAGAACGGCCTGCTCACGCCGGAAGCCGTTGACAAAGCTGATGAATCAACCATAAGAGAACTGATCTATCCGGTAATATGTTATCCAAGTGCTCATCTTACTTCTTGACGTTTTCGCCTCTGACATTAGAGCATTAATTTCGTACCAATTTCTCAAAAAGTGGAAAGGAATGAGAGACTGTAAAAGGAAAGGTTATTTTGTCTCGGTAAAATCTTGGTTATGAAATTAACAGTTTGGCTTTACTTTCAGGTTGGATTTTATACAAGGAAGGCGACATACATGAAGAAAATAGCTAAGATCTGTCTAGTGAAATATAAAGGAGACATTCCAAGCTCTTTGGATGACCTACTTGCGCTTCCGGGGATTGGTCCCAAGATGGCTCATCTGGTAAAAAAATGGACTAACATATCTTTTGAGATAGAGAAATGTTTTCAAAAAGCTTCTCAAAGTCTTACTCTTCTGTGATCACATGACAGATTCTGCATATAGCTTGGAATGATGTTCAAGGTATATGTGTAGATACACATGTCCACCGCATTTGCAATCGACTCGGTTGGGTGTCTCGACCAGGAACCAAACAGGTACTCCTAAAAATTGGTTGAATCCTGACAAATCAAGTGTCTGACTTGTGTTGAATTTTTTGTTTCCCTGCTCTTTGTCAACCGTTCTTAACTTGTGTGATTTTGCAAGAAAACTTCGTCTCCGGAGGAAACAAGAGTAGCTTTGCAACAATGGCTTCCAAAGGAAGAATGGGTCGCCATTAACCCGCTTTTGGTGCGTTCATTTCTCACCAATTCTTCGACCTTTTAACACACACACATGAGACTATACAAATCAATGAAAATATAACCACCTTTCTCTTCTAGATTCTTACTCTGTCTGAAATTTTTACACAGGTGGGTTTTGGACAGATGATTTGCACACCGCTGAGACCTCGTTGCGAAACCTGCAGTGTCAATAAGCTTTGTCCAGCTGCATTCAAAGAGACATCATCAAGTCCATCATCCAAGTTGAAGAAATCTAACCAAAGCAAAGAACAATGATCCCAAATCAGTACCTTTTGTATTTTGAAAAACAAATCCCATTTTGGGAATATGCAAGAAAACCTCAAGCTTCTTTGTTCGTATGTTGAGGACGAAACTTGCCCATGTAAAAAGGGATTAGGACTAGTTTTGAAAAATTAGGATGACTGCAGATTATTTATCATTGATGTTTCAGAGACTAAGCAACGCTAATTTGATTATGGTGAAAAGTGAAAAGCTTTTTAAGTTTGAATTTGTACTTCCAATAACGACAAAAAAAAATGGTCTCTTTTGTATCTCTCACACAAAAATCGTAACATTTCTGTCAATTGATTTGATTTTACGGTTGGGAGTTAAGAGTTTGATCATCGGAAAAGTCTGAGAGAGAGTAGCGACTACGCCGGTGCGGCATGACGGTCGCGGCGGGGATCGGTTACGCGCTGGTGGCTCTGGGACCGTCTCTTTCACTTTTCGTCTCCGTCATCTCCAAAAAGCCCTTTCTCATCCTCACCGTTCTCTCCAGGTTCTTCCTTTTTCACAATTTCTCTGATGTGATTCGATTCGGTTTGGTGCTTTTGCTTCGAAATGTTGGGGGGTTTCTTCGGGTCTGCTCTTGAGTAAAAAACCTTCTGGGGCAAAATTAGGGTTTGGAATCGAACATTTGATCGATTGCTTTGGTGAATTTATTTGCAGTACGTTGCTGTGGCTTGTGAGTCTGATCGTCTTGTCGGGACTATGGAGGCCTTTTCTTCCTCTCAAAGCCAATGTGTGGTGGCCTTATGCTCTACTTGTTCTCTCCTCTGTTTGTCTCCAGGAAGGTCTTCGCTTTCTTTTCTGGAAGATCTACAAGTAAGTAGCTTTCCTTCTTCTTCTTAATTAGTCCATCGTTTAACAGCTTTATCTTTCTCGTTTTGAGGATTGGTAAATTATGCTCGTTGCACTTTGTCTTTTGAGCTGGAGCTACAAAATCAAAATGGTTATCCTTTGTTGATTTGATGATGCTGTGGTTTGGCTTGTTCTGAAACATTTGGTTGTGTTGTTATACTGAAGGAGGCTTGAGGATGTGTTGGATTCCTTTGCGGATCGGATGTCAAGACCCCGCTTGTTTCCCACTGATAAGCTGCAGATTGCTCTAGGTACCATTGATTATCTGCTGCTTTTGTCTTAGTCTATACTATCATGTTAGCTTGAGCGTATATCATATTGAGGCATTTTTTTCTGGTTGTGGGAGAATGAGAATGCTAAGAGAGTAGCTGAAAGCTAACATGGAACTTAGAAACCATTTAGTCACCTGTTCTTATGCTTCCCATTTTCTTACTCTTTGGTATGTGATCTAAGACTGACTGTTATAGTCACATTGCTTGCAGCTGGTGGTTTAGGTCATGGTGTGGCTCATGCTGTCTTCTTTTGTTTGAGCCTCTTAACGCCAGCTTTTGGTCCGGCCACATTCTATGTCGACCGATGTTCGCAGGTGCCATTTTTTCTCATCTCTGGTGAGTCAGCTGGACCCAAGTTTTGTTTTCCTTACAGCTGAGTCGCTGGTGATTTGATCTTGTAATTGTACTCATGTTGTAGTTTTAACTAACCATGTGTTACAGCAATCATAGCACTTGCGTTTGTAACGATCCACACATTCTCGATGGTCATTGCTTTCGAAGGGTATGCAAAAGGGAACAAAGTAGATCAAGTCATAGTTCCAGTCATACACCTTGCTGCTGGAATGTTGGTAAGATCTCAAATTTATTTCCAACTTCATCAATCTCCATTTTTCAAAAACGTAATCTTTTTGTTTTCTCTTTGCTTACCAGACATTGGTGAATTTTGCATCGGAAGGTTGTGTAATCGGCGTTCCTCTTCTTTACCTTGTGGCATCTCTGACTCTGTTGCATTGTGGGAAAATGGTTTGGCAAAGCTTGATAGAAAGCCGGAACCAAAGCTGAGGTCTTGTCTCCTCTAAAAACTTCTAACACTAGAACAACAATCAGTCTTTAAGCATCCCTTTTTATCTCCTGACTTTGTTCTTTACTTTGCAAATCTTATTCGGCTTTATGATTCTAAATTATCAAAAACTGGAAGCAGAGGAGAATTCTTATTAAGGGTATGAATTGATTAGTCTAATAAACCGTAGGCTAAGCAAAGTATATGAAACTAGGGCGCAAGTTTGCGGACAAGAAGACGAATGATATCTAAAATTTTGGAGACATTGGTGATATAGAGAGTGAGAGGAGATTTTTGAGCCGGACCACCTTTATTCCATATGTTTTCGCAGCCCATCACAGCACGTGTGCCAATCTCTGACAGCCTAGCCGCGTCCGGAAACGAACCGTTCAATGCAAGTGCCCAAGCATTCTCGAACCTAGCCACAGCGATTCCGTAGTTTCTGTTGCAGAATGCGATCCGTTTCTTCCCGAGTGGACCATTGTAGTTTTTAGTGATGCTGCGGATATGGGTCGTTGCGTCGTTCACTTGCATTGTGGACTGTGTTATCTGATAGAATTTTCCAATAAGAAAAACAAGATTATAATGTACATTTTTTCTCGTTATGTGAGCGAGAGAATAAGCATCCGGCTGAGTGGGCCATTTTGATTACTATGAGTCTATGACCACTTTTGTTAGTATTATGAAAAAAAATATGATGTTTCAAATTAACGCAGTAAAAATTTCCAACTTATGTTAATTCATTATACAAATGTATCACATCATGTTTTTAGTGAAATTTGAGATGACAAAAAAAACACACCTTGGGGATTCTTGATTGGTGCCGAGCTAAACTATAGTCCAAAGTCATATTTCTTTTTCAATTGAATATTATATTTATAAGAGTGAAGTCACGAAATTAAACCAATATATATTTTCTTTTGAAAATTCTCAAGATATTAATTTAAAAATAATAAGAACGAAAGTTATTGATGTGGGAGCATTTTAAGTTAAGTGTTTTTTCATGGTATATATATTGAAAATATTAAGATAACCTTAAAGCTATTAATTTTTGCAATTGTAGTAAATGTCGTTGCTATAATATTTACTTGAATCTCTAAGCGGAATGTGTTGTTTAGCTTAGACAAATTTTATAGCAAATACATGTGTACTTTGGACTAAGCAAGTCATTTATCACAATTGTTTATTTAGCTTAAATATTATGTATCCTACCAACTCAAATGCCTTTGCATACAGCCGACACGTCTTTCATTAAGAAGGATACCCTTAGTTCAGTTATCTTAAGCTGCTTTTTATATGGAATGTAAAATTCTTTTAAAGCTAAAAAAGCCATTGTTTACATAAAGTGTATCATTTTAATTCAAAGTTTCGAAAAAGATAGAAGTGGAAATGGCAAATTTCTTGTTGCGAACCAAGTTTTGGAAAGTTGCTTCATACTCATTAATCTATCTGACATTTAGAAATACATTTGGGACAATCCATATGTTTATTTCGGCTACCATCAATAAACGTAGATAGTCACATTTTTGGTGATATATATAATTATATATATGTACATATACGTAGCTCACAAAGCGTGCAAAAATTTCTAACAATGCAGAAAAATAAAGCTAGCAATCACCAAATATTAGCAACTAAGAAGTGAGAAGAGTTCACAGTGAACATCCATAATTAATCAAGATCTTCTTTAGTACTGAGCAGCAGCAACTGAAGATCTCTTCACGAACCTTCCTTTCATCCGAGGCCTTTTCTCAGCATTCAGTTTACGTACCTCGTACCTTATCCTCTTGGAGAACAACCTTGTCCTCCTTTTCTCTCGGTATCTTGAAACCCTAGCTTCTCTTCCTCCATCCCCAGCCTGTAATCCTAAGCTGCGGTAGTGGTTGTGATGATAAGCCTCTGCTCCACTTTCACCCTAAAATAAAAACAAGTCACATATATATTGATTAGATTGACCAAGAACTATCCAGTTGTATGATAAATTTACTGAATATTAGATAGAACAAGGCAAGGCTTGGTTGACAAACCGTGGAACCGGTTGGGCAAGAGAGCATGTCTAGATCTATTTGAGGTGGCTTGAGGGTGGTCCATGGGGTTCCTTGGCCTCCCCAAGTGGAAATCACTGCTTCATAGTCCAATCCAAGCATAAGAGTCTTCTCCATCTTCACTTCCTTAATCCCAGCACTCATCTCATTCACTCCCACGTCCATCATATTCTTAATCACATCTTCTTCTTCGAAGCATATTTCAAACGGAGAAGTCTCACCAGCGTCATCAAGATCACTCACCTCTCTTGTCACGACTTGTTCCTCTTCCTCCATCTCTTCTTTTTCAATCTTTAACATCTCACCTAACCCTAGCTCTTCCATGGCATGGAACTCTCGCTCTATCCCTCCACCGAGGAGAGTCTCCACGTCAGCTGTGAATTGAGCCAGTTCCATGTCGGTGGGGAATAAACCATTTAGACAACTCTCAGCGTTGTCATCTTCTTCATCACTACTCTTGAAACACACGGGCAGCATCGGAAACTCGATCTTTGTCTCTACGGATTCGTTTAAGCATTGCTCCTCATCAACCATCTGGTTCATCACCGGAACCTGAAAGATGAGCTCTTCTTCCACCTCGTAGGTCTGATCCTCTGAGCTCATCTCGGGCACAAGATCATGGTAAACCGTAGAGTGACTCTTCTTGCCTCCACGTGGGGTCCGAGCTTTACGTGTAAAGCCCTGATGCCATGTGGGTGAGTGCGGTGGTGAGGAGGAGGCAGAGGCATGGCGATGCGTTCCGGCACTAGCGGTTTTCAAACGAACCCTCTCGTGCCTACGAGCAAGAGGGTTCGCTGAGTGGACCGAACCGTCACAAGAATGGCAAAGGAAAGCATCGTCAGCTGCGCAATACCAACGTGCACGCCTCTTCACGCAGCTGTCGCATGCCCTCGCCGTCTTTCCTCCGACCGCATTAGCCAAACTTTTCAACATGTTATAACTCTATATACGTATCACCATCAACGAGAAGAAACCTTACTTTGAGTAAGAACAAGTTGCTAAGTCTCAGTTGCAAAAAGAATGTTTATGGAACTTTGGGCTCTGTCTTCTCCAAAGGTTTCAGTTATCGAGAAGTGGCTATAAAAAGGGAGACTACATTTTTGTTTTTATGAGGCCATGAGGGGTTAAGTTTAGAGGTCTTGTAGTCTTGTACATGTCCCACACGATGTGAACTTTTTTTTTTTTTGAATTGGGACAGTGATAAAAGTTAATTTCTTTTGCACTTTTTGGTTGTTTATGCTACACATGAGGGCCATGAAGAGGTCTTATCTCGATTCTGATTGGTCAAGTTCTTCAAGATGATCCTCTTCTTAGTGTTTTGATTGGTCAGCTTCTTAATCAGATGGATATCTTTATGGTCCACTTGTCACTTTCGCTGCCCAATCACTCCTTTTATTTAGGATTTCGTTGTTATAATTCGTTATTTTCCATGGAAAAGTTGGATAGTGTTGAATCGTTCTTGTGATTTTACAGAAAACGAGGTTTTGATTGGTTGTGTCGATATATGTTCAGAGTAATCGGTATGACATGACATTTATTATGGTTTTGATATATCTACATCTCATGAGAATCTGGTCGTTCCGGTACGGTGGAGGAAAACTCGGTCTCGCTCTCTCTCCTCCGGTTAGAGATTCTAGCAGCTCCGGTAAGAGGAGCTCTCGTCGCTCCTGATCATAGACTGTTGCGTAAGCCACAGGTAAAGAAGGGATTTAGGTTTTTCAGTTAGGTCTAGATAATTATTACTTTTCTGCTTTTGAGGTTTTTTTTTTGTTTCTTTCCCTATTTTTTGTTGTTGAATTAAAAGTGTAATTCTTTTTACAAAAAAAAACATTCATTTATTAATTTTTGTTAAGTTTATTTATTTATATTTATTTTTTTACCAAAGGTTTAATGTAATAATTTGGTGACTTTTTCTCATATCTTACAGTTTAGTTTGCAATCTTATGGTTATTAAGATTTAGGATGAAGTAAACTGTAGGATATTTGAAAAAATCAGATTAAAGAAAATATTTGGATAACATGGAGTAAAAGAAATATGTGTTTTTGGTATTAAAAAAAAATAAAAAGAAAAAGGCTTGTGTCGAATGAATATTAATTTTAAATAAGTTTAAACAGCGGATAATTATTCCAACAAAAACAATTATATTACAGAATTAGGATTGGGCACAAGTATTTGATACTTGCTCAAAACCCGCTACTTGCTCCGTAACTTGCCCCGCCAAACCAAGTCAAGGCAAGTAACAAGTCGCTTTTATAAATTACTTGCAAGTACAAGACAAGTATCAAGTCTTAAAAAAAATCATTATCCGCCTTGTTATGACCCGCCTTGTACAAATATTTGATATTTATAAACTTTTTGTATTTTTTCACATATAATGGAAAAATAAAGGTTTTTTTCTTGTAAATAAGAGATCCATTGTCATTAATTGCCAACAACAAGGGTTTTCAAAAATCTACATTATAAATATGAACAAAAATTAATGAGCTTTTTTTAATTGTAGCCCAAAATTCTGAAATATTTACTTTTATTTTTGTGTTTTTACAAGTCGTAAGGTAAGACAAGTACCTGCATGTAATCAAAATATGAACAAGTACTTGAAGGAGCAAGTACTTGACAAGCCAAAGCAAGTCGCAAGTCGAAATTTCAAATATTTTCACAAGGCAAGTCAAATGGCAAGTACACTAAAAATGGCAAGTACTTATCATGCGCCCACCCTATATACAGAATATTATTGGGATGGATAGTACTGTGGGCATACGAGTCCGGTTTCCGACCCGATCCGATTTGTACAGTCCGAAATTGGGTTGGGAATTTGGATTGCTATACAGGGGCGGATCTAGAGAATAATTTTATGGGGGGCAGAAGTATTTTTTACCTCTATAAAAATAAAATGTCAAGAGGGGCATAATAAAAATTCTTAGCAAATTTGCACTAATTATGTAATTTCATAGGGGGCAGCTGCCCACTCTGCTTTCAAGCTGGATTCGCCCCTGTTGCTATATCAACTTAACCAGAGTACCGGTAATATAAATCGATCCCGGTTCGGTTTGAGTGGGCGGCTAAAAACCGGATTTATACATCTCACTCCTTTACCCTTATATAAATAGTTGAGAAACCCTAAAAATTAATCCGAGACCTCGCAGCCACAGAGGACTTCACAACTCTAAGAAGAAGAAGAAGAAAAATGGCGTGTACCGTAGATTTCCGGTGCCTAGATGAGGGATTCGGCGGGAAAACCTACAAGCGGAAGCGCGAGTGTCAGGAACAAGCCGCCGCCGAAGCAATGGCCGGTGAAGCGTCGATGGATATCGATCTGATTAGTCCTCCCGCCGCGAAACGCAGCGCCGTCGCTTCCACCGAAAATCCAGACAAACCTATGTTTGTGGCGGCGGTGGGGAGACCGACGTACGACGGTGTAATCGCCGGGAAAGTATCCGGAAGGCCGTGGAAACAGCCGCGGACTCACCGTTCGTCGGGGAGGTTTGTGAGGAACAAGGGACCGGATCTGGAGGAGATGAAGAGGCAGAGGGAGATTAAGAAAGCGTACAAGGAGAGGATCAATGAGCTTAAGGAAGAGATAAGGACCAACAAGGTGGAGAAGAGGAAGAAGAAGGAAGAGAGGGAGCAGAGGAAGAAGGAGAACGTTCTGAGAACTGGTACGAAATTGCAGAAGATTACAAACCCTAAGACGTTGAAGAAGATCGCAAAGTCTAAGCAGAGGAAGCATCTCAAAAATATTCCTGATGAGGTGATGAATGGGAACAAGAAGACGAGCATCAAGAATTAGTGAACTTTTTTCTTCTCTTCTTTATTTAAGATAAAAGGCAAGTTTTTTTTCAGTTTTGTAATTTCTTGTGGCGTTTAGTCAAATGTTTTTGTGTAACAATCTGCAGCTAAGAACCAAATGTTATAGTGAGATTTTTGCTTTTATTGATAAACAAACCTTCTTTATTATGCAATCAGGCTTTAAGTATTTATGAATTTCAGTGTGGAAGCTGCAAGTTCCTTTGAAACAAAGGATGAACTTTGAGATAAATTTGGAAATTTTTTCAGGATTTTAGCTCCGGCATAGCTAAAGTTAGCTATAATCAGATTTTGATTTTGATTTTTGTATTCCAGTCGTTCATTGCTGTGTCTGGCTCTATTGATGCTCTACAGTTGGTGGATTAGTTGAGCATTCGGGACTGAAATCTTACTAATGCATTGACTTCGATTTATGGTTTCATTTTCGAAACCTATTCTCTTATTTTGTGAGTTTTGAGGATCTACAGTTGTGGATCCTATGTTCTCAACAGCTACTCTTGTTCTGTGAAAGAAATAAACATCTCTAGGTAAAGTCACTTAACTGTTACACAAGCTAATTTTGGATGACAAAGATGAAATATTTTGAGAAATTTGGCTGTGGCAGTAATTCAGATTTATGATCAATTTGCGACCCAAAGGGTTAAGTAACCTGTAGTATAATTCAAAAGCCAGCTGCCCAATCATGACTTGCCAGTGAAAGGGTTTGAAGACGCCCAAGTCATTGTCGGAAAAATTGTGAATTAGACATCAGGAGTTTTGGGTACAAAATTGGAAACAGAAACAAGACAAAGATGTCAGAGTTATAAGATTGTGTATACAATATTTTTTTCTATATTAGGTGGGGCAATGACGCGTCCAACTTCCAAACGTTTTTACTTTGTCAATAGGTAGGTTGAATTATCATACATATTTGGTGAGAGTTGGTTGCAGTTTTAAAAACATTTCATTTACATATGAACAGAAGCATATCATTTCTCAGATCTTTTGTTCACAGAATTTTATATTTGCTTCATTCGAATGGAATCTTTGGGTAAAGAAAAAATATTAACAAGAACATAGAGAAATGGAGAACAAACAAAAAATGAGAAAAGAAAGAAACTTGGCGGAAAAAAAGTATTTTAATAAAATATTAATATAAAAATGGATTTGGGAAGCTGATAAGGAGAGAGTCCAAAAGCTCCGGCCACTGTTGGCCTTATCTCTCTCTCCACAAACCCTTTCCTTCTCCTCGAGGACCATATCCATCTCTTTTCAATGGCGTCAACGCCGCCTCACCGGTCTATGACCACCACCAACAACCACCCTCAGATCCGCCAGCAACCCAATCACAACCACCGTCCATGGCTCCCACAGCGCGTCTCTCCCTGCCCTCGTGCCGGTCGCGCCGTTACCTCAGCTCCTCCTCCGTCTTCTTCCGTCGCCGTCTCCGTCGCCACTGTAGCTTCCGCTCAAGCTCAGCTCTCATCACAGGCTCCTAATTTCTCCCCTCTGCAAACTCCCAAATCGGACTCCTCTGATTTCTCCGGTCGCCGTTCCACACGATTCGTCTCCAAGATGCATTTCGGACGACCTAGAGCTACTACAGCCGCCACTCGACACAGCTCTGCCGCTGAGGATGCGCTCCAGAGCGCTATCAAGTTCTCCGGAGAGGATTACATGTTTCAGAATCTGATGTTGAGCTTCGAGTCGAAGCTTCGTGGCTCTGAAGACTATACCTTTCTACTCCGTGAGCTCGGGAATCGAGGTGAGTGCGATAAAGCCGTTGGCTTTTACGAGTTTGCTGTTAAACGAGAGAGGAGAAAGATCGAGCAAGGGAAGTTAGCTAGTGCTATGATAAGCACTCTTGGTAGATTAGGCAAAGTAGCCATTGCTAGAGATGTTTTCGAAAATGCTTTCGCTGGTGGGTATGGGAACACGGTTTACGCCTTCTCGGCTCTGATCAGCGCTTATGGGAGAAGCGGTCTCCATGAGGAAGCCATTAGTGTATTCAACTCCATGAAAAACTATGGCTTGAGGCCGAATTTGGTTACCTACAATGCCGTGATTGATGCGTGTGGTAAAGGTGGGATGGAGTTTAAGCAGGTGGCTGAGTTTTTCGATGAGATGCAGAGGAACGGTGTGCAGCCTGATAGAATCACTTTCAACTCTTTGCTCGCTGTTTGTAGTAGAGGAGGGTTGTGGGAAGCAGCAAAGAATATGTTTGATGAGATGTCGAAAAGAGGGATTGAGCAAGATGTGTTCTCTTACAACACGCTTTTGGATGCAATCTGCAAAGGAGGGCAGATGGATCTTGCTTTTGAAATCCTTGCTCAGATGACCGCGAAGAGGATCATGCCTAATGTTGTGAGTTACAGCACTGTCATTGATGGGTTTGCGAAGGCTGGAAGATTCGACGAAGCTCTTAACTTGTTTGATGAGATGAAGTATCTCGGTATTCAGTTGGATAGAGTTTCTTACAACACACTGCTTTCGATATATACGAAGCTTGGGAGATCCAAAGAAGCTTTGGATATTTTGAGAGAAATGGCATCTGTTGGGATTAAGAAAGATGTTGTGACTTATAATGCTCTTCTTGGTGGGTATGGGAAACAACGGAAATACGATGAAGTGAAAACCGTTTTCGCCGAGATGAAGCGGGATCACGTGTTGCCTAATCTACTGACTTATTCTACCTTGATCGATGTGTATTCGAAAGGTGGTTTGTACAAAGAGGCAATGGAGATATTCAGGGAGTTTAAGAGCGTTGGATTAAGAGCTGATGTTGTGTTGTACAGTGCATTGATTGATGCACTGTGCAAGAACGGGTTGGTGGGTTCTGCTGTGTCTTTGATCGATGAGATGACAAAGGAAGGGATTAGGCCTAACGTTGTAACTTACAATTCCATCATTGATGCTTATGGTCGTTCTGCAACTACTGAGCTCTTGGCTGAATCTAGAGATGTTGTAGCTAGTACCTTACAAGTTGGATCCTCCTCTTCTCCTGCTGCTTCTCTAAGTGAACTAACTGAAACAGAGGATAATCAGGTGATACAGGCATTTGGGCAACTAACACTTGAGAATAATAGCAAGATGAAGAAAGATTGCAAGGAGGGTATGCAGGAGCTCTCCTGTGTATTGGAAGTTTTCCGCAAAATGCACAAGCTGGAAATCAAACCAAATGTCGTGACCTTCTCAGCCATTCTGAATGCTTGCAGGTTTGTCCTTCTCTAGTTTAAATTACCGAGTGAAATATATGATTCAATTGTTAAAGTTATCATAGATTAGCTCTATGTGATTTTGCTGTGTGGCTGCATTTTGGAGATGGTTCTTATTTTGTTGAGATGTTTGTATCCATGTAGTCGGTGCAACTCATTTGAAGATGCATCAATGCTGCTAGAGGAGCTCAGGCTGTTTGATAATCGAGTATATGGTGTTGTTCATGGACTCCTCATGGGCCATAGAGAGAATGTGTGGATCCAGGCTCAGAGCTTATTCGACAGAGTAAACGAAATGGATGGTTCGACTGCTTCTGCCTTCTACAATGCTCTTACTGACATGCTTTGGCACTTTGGTCAGGTAAAATCACACTGACATTTGTAGATACCAAGTTTTAATCGACTACTATTAGTGCAAAGGCTTACTTTTGGAAACCTTTGTGTTTATAGAAACGTGGCGCACAATTGGTGGCGCTAGAGGGAAGATCTAGGCAAGTTTGGGAGAACGTGTGGTCTGAGTCTTGCTTGGACTTGCATCTAATGTCTTCTGGTGCTGCACGTGCAATGGTCCATGCTTGGTTGGTAAACATACGTGCCATTGTCTATGAAGGTCATGAATTACCTAAACTCTTGAGGTAAGAGCTCTTCGGTTTAACCACCAACATAACCAACTCCTAAATCGCAACACCTTTCGTTTAACTGATTCTTTCTGAAGCTCCATTTGGATTATTGCAATCTCAGATCTTTCACAATCTGATACGCATCATATCATAATCCCAAAGTCGATGCTAAGTTTTCTTGTGATAACTCACAAGCAGTTTGATTGGTTTAAGTTATTAGTCTTGCATTAGGATTACAATGACTTTGGAGATACTAATTTATGATGTTTGCTCTTGGTTCAACATATGTGATATGTTTTTGTTAACCTTTTTCTTTGTTGTGGCAGCATATTGACTGGTTGGGGAAAACACAGCAAAGTGGTTGGAGACGGAGCACTAAGGCCAGCGGTTGAAGCGCTTTTGAGAGGAATGGACGCACCGTTCCATCTCTCAAAATGCAACATGGGACGGTTCACATCACCCGGTTCGGTTGTCGCAACTTGGTTGCGTGAATCAGCCACACTCAAACTCTTAATCCTCCATGATCACATAACCACCAAAGCTACTACAACAATGAGAGCAATAGAGCTACCCGAACAAACCCCTCTCACTCTGCAGCCTCTTCTTTTGTAGTTGTACACTGTGATGTAATCATTTTGTGACCACCAAGTCTGTGTTTTGGTCCTAACAAATAACAATGGTGGGATTTGTGCTATGTGCTAATATTTTGTAACAAGTTGTTTCAACACAACTTGTAATTTGTAAAATAATTGTTTTGTTTTTGTTATATATATCTAGAAAAAAAATCATATTAATCTCTAAGACTTTCTTTCTATAATTTGCGATATAACATGGTATGAGAACCAAATATTTTTTTGGGTTTTGCTTTATTTTAAAAACTCTGTTTTTTTTTTCTTAAATAGTTTTCAAACCTTATGTAAGTAGTAGTGTGTGTGAGTGTTTTGTATCATGTAAAAATCAGCCTAATATAAACTGCATTGCTGAGCATATTAATCTCAAGTAAATTGATTTGATTCCCACTGATGAACTCTTGTAATATCAGAGTTTTAGATTGTTTCAACTTCCTTTTTCTTATTAACAACAACTACAACCATTGTTTCAACTTCCAACAGTTACTTTTTGCTATATTAGGTGAGACAACGACTCATACAGTGTCCAAATCTTCTACTCGTCTATAGGTAGATAGTTGGTCGCATAAAGCTAAAACTTTTTTCTTTGTTAACATTTCATTTATAGGACAAGGAGCATATAAATATCATAACTCTTTTTCAGAAAATTTGACATATACTCCATACTCCATAGCTATGGAATTTTAAGAAAAAGGTAAAAAATCTTCAAAATATTACAAGAAACAGTGAAGTAATTAATTTCGGAAGCTATAATTAAGGAGAGAGGTCAGCTCAACGATCTTTTCGCTCTCTCTCTCTCTGTCTCTACAAAAACCCTTCAAAAAAGTTTCAGTCTTTTGGTATTCCAAAGACCAGAAACCCTATGTAGCTCCTTCGATTCCGTAGCAACCACCAAAACTCTTACCTCACTAGTCACTACGTTTACAATGGCGTCAACCCCGCCTCACTGGTTGATCAACACCACCGCAAATAACCATCGTCAGACCCGTCAACAAACCAACTCCAACTACCGTCCTTTGCTTCCGCAGCGCGTCTCTTCCTCTCCTCGTGGCGGTCGCGCCGTAACCTCAGCTCCTCCGTATCCATCAGCCGCTGTTTCCGTCGCCAATGTTAACTCCGGTCGACTATCACAGACCCCTACTTTTTCCCCTCTCCAAACTCCCAAATCGGGTCTCTCCTCTGATTTCTCGGGTCGTCGGTCGACCCGGTTCGTCTCCAAGATGCATTTCGGGCGACCGAAAGCTACATTGGTCTCTCGACGCAGCTCTGCTGCAGAAGATGCACTCGAGAACGCCGTCGATTTCACAGGGGACTGTAACTTGTTTCAGAGTCTACTGTTGAGCTTCGAGTCAAACCTTCGTGGCTCTGAAGACTACACCTTTATAATCCGCGGGCTCGGGAATCGCGGTGAGTGCGATAAAGCCCTGACCTTTTACGATTTCGCAGTGAAACGAGAGAGGAGAAAGAACGAGCAAGGGAAATTAGCTAGTGCTATGATTGGCACTCTCGGTAGATTAGGCAAAGTAGATATTGCTAAGAATGTTTTCGAGAATGCTTTAGCTGGTGGGTATGGGAACACGGTTTACGCCTTCTCGGCTCTGATTAGTGCTTATGGGAGAAGCGGGCTCCATGAGGATGCCATTAGTGTCTTCAACTCCATGAAAAGCTACGGCTTGAGGCCAAATTTAGTAACCTACAATGCGGTGATTGACGCTTGTGGTAAAGGTGGGATGGAGTTTAAGAAAGTTGCCGACTTTTTCGATGAGATGCAGAGGGATAATGTGCAGCCTGATAGGATAACTTTCAACTCTTTGATTGGTGTTTGTAGTAGAGGAGGGTTGTGGGAAGCAGCAAAGCATCTGTTTGATGAGATGTCGAGAAGAGGGATTGAGCAAGATGTGTTCTCTTACAATACTCTTCTGGATGCAATCTGCAAAGGAGGGCAGATGGATCTTGCTTTTGAAATCCTTGCTCAGATGACAGCGAAGAGGATCAATCCTAATGTTGTAAGTTACAGTACTGTGATTGATGGGTTTGCAAAGGCTGGGAGATTCGATGAAGCTTTAAACTTGTTTGATGAGATGAGATATCTCGGGATTGCGTTAGATAGAGTTTCCTACAATACATTGCTTTCGATTTATACTAAAGTTGGTAGATCGGAAGAAGCTTTGGATGTTTTTAGAGAAATGGCATCGGTTGGGATTAAGAAGGATGTTGTGACTTACAATGCTCTTCTTGGAGGATATGGGAAGCAAGGCAAATATGATTTAGTGAAAAAAGTTTTCGCTGAGATGAAACGTGTGCATGTCCTGCCAAATTTACTGACTTATTCGACATTGATCGATGTGTACTCAAAAGGAGGTTTGTATAAAGAGGCAATGGAGATATTCAGGGAGTTTAAGAGCGTTGGATTAAGAGCTGATGTTGTGTTGTACAGTGCATTGATTGATGCTTTGTGTAAGAATGGTTTGGTGGGTTCTGCTGTGTCCTTGATCGATGAAATGACAAAGGAAGGGATTAGGCCTAACGTTGTAACTTACAATTCCATAATTGATGCGTTTGGTCGCTCTGCAACTAGAGATGGTGGATCCTCCTCTTTTCCTGCTGCTTCTCTAAGTGAATTGACTGAAACAGAGGATAGTCAGGTAATACAGGCATTTGGACAGCTAACACTTGAGAATAATAACAAGATGAAGAGAGATTGTAAGGAGGGTATGCATGAGCTCTCATGTATATTGGAAGTTTTCTGCAAAATGCATCAGCTTCAGATAAAACCAAATGTGGTAACTTTTTCAGCGATTCTGAATGCGTGCAGGTTTGTCCCTCTTTTGGATCTTCTTCTTGAGCTATCATAAATTGGTTGCATTTTGGTGAGGGTTCTTATTATGTTGTTACATGTTTGTATCGATGTAGTCGGTGTAACTCATTTGAAGATGCATCAACGCTGCTAGAGGAGCTCAGACTGTTTGACAATCAGGTATATGGTGTTGTTCATGAACTTCTCATGGGCCATAGAGATAATATGTGGATCCAAGCTCAGAGCTTGTTTGACAAAGTGAACGAAATGGATGGTTCTACTGCTTCTGCCTTCTACAATGCTCTTACCGACATGCTTTGGCACTTTGGTCAGGTAAAATCACACTGACATTTCTAGAGGCCAAGTTTTAATAGACTACTATTAGTCCAAAGGCTTACTTTTGGAAACCTTTGTGTTTATAGAAACGTGGCGCACAACTGGTGGCGCTAGAGGGAAGATCTAGACAGGTTTGGGAGAACGTGTGGTCTGAGTCTTGCTTGGACTTACACCTTATGTCTTCTGGTGCTGCACGTGCAATGGTCCATGCTTGGTTGCTAAACATACGCTCCATTGTCTATGAAGGTCATGAGTTACCTAAACTCATGAGGTAAGCTACAAAGAGCTCTTCAATTTAACTTCCAACCTAATCTGTCCAACGAACTTTTTCTTGGTTGTGGCAGCATATTGACTGGTTGGGGAAAACACAGCAAAGTGGTTGGAGACGGAGCATTAAGGCCAGCGGTTGAAGCGCTTTTGAGGGGAATGGACGCACCGTTCCACCTCTCAAAATGCAACATGGGACGGTTCACATCAACAGGTTCGGTTGTAGCAACTTGGCTGCGTGAATCAGCCACACTCAAACTCTTAGTCCTCCATGATCATATAACCACCGGAGCTAACACATCAATGAGGTCAACAGAGCAACAAGCACAAACCTCTCTCACTCTGCAGCCTCTTCTCTTGTAGCTGTACACTGTGATGTTAACAATTTGTGACTGCCAAGCCTGTGTTTTTGGTCTTAGTGATATTGAGATCTGTGTCTAATATTTTGTAACAAGCAACACAAATATAATGTGAAAATGGCTTTTCTATAACCAGATTAATGATGATGAAGACATTTTTTTCCCTGTTATTGGAGTCACCAACATGAAATTGTCTAACAAAACAAGTCATAAATACGACCGAAATTTAATGTATCCGGTTCGAGCCCACCTACACATATGGGCCGGATAGTTATCCTTCGCTGGTTTTATGAAAACCGAACCGAGGAATCCACAGGTTTCTACTTTCTAGTTTAATCCTCCTCTACGATTAATTAATAAACAAAATATTAAATTAATTATCACCGACCAGCCACCAGTGACGTTTCACTTGCTTATTTAACGTGATTTATTTCATTCGGCAAGGTTTTTAATATTGTTTCGTGATTTTTCCGACGTACAATATCTTATAAGAAAATAAAAAATTGTCAACAAGCTTCAAAGCTCAAACTAAACATCCGAAAATCGGTACATTTTATAAATGATAAAGACTGTTATATAACAAAACCGATAGAGGTGAATCAATATTTCATTGTTCCGAGAGTAAGTAATTTTATTAAACACGTTGGTGTTTTGTCATTATCCCATAACCCTGACAAGATATCACACACCATGTTATACATCTACATGTACTAAGTTTATTATTTACTCTAACATAATGACAGCTACAAATACATAATTGATCATGAATTCATGATTCATAATAAAAGGACACAAAACCAAAGAAAGAAATAAAAAACAGAGACGAATACGGAGAAGAAAACGAAACAGAAAATAACAAAGATTCGGGCAAAGGTTGAAAAGGTAACAAGATTTTTGCATTTTATTATAAACTCATGTTTTTTTGGTAACATATATTTTTCATTTTATGATTTGGATATTTTTTAAAAATCAAGAAAAACAAATTTGATTTTTAATGATTAACGCTAATACGAGTGGCGTCACCAGTTACCAGTCCCGTCGTCCTCCTATATAAACCATTGTCCTCCTCCTTCCTCTCATTTCATTTTATATTATTCTCCTCTGTCTTTTCAACTCTCCGATTTGATCCAGCGGTTTATAGATCTCGTTTCTAATGGCATCCAACGGCGAGAAAGGACTGATCGTTAGCTTCGGCGAGATGCTGATCGATTTCGTCCCAACCGAATCCGGCGTCTCCCTCGCCGAAGCTCCTGGATTCCTCAAAGCTCCCGGCGGTGCTCCCGCCAACGTCGCCATCGCGGTTTCGCGTCTCGGTGGACGATCCGCCTTCGTCGGGAAGCTCGGCGACGACGAGTTCGGCCATATGCTGGCTGGGATTCTCAGGAAAAACGGTGTAGCTGATCAGGGGATCAATTTCGACACGGGAGCTAGAACCGCCCTCGCGTTCGTCACGTTACGTGCTGACGGAGATCGGGAGTTTATGTTCTACCGGAATCCCAGCGCTGATATGCTCCTCCGCCCCGACGAGCTCAACCTTGACCTCATCAGATCCGTACGTTAATCGCTCAAATCCCTTCTCTCACTCTCTGATTCCATATTTTACGATTCTGAGATTATCACAACCCGGTTTTCTCTAGATCTAGACGAAATTATAGAATCATCATAGGCTTGTTTTTTTGAATATCTGGAAAACGCAGAAACAGAATTTGGTTACGAATTTTCTTCGCGAGTGTTGGAATTTTCAGAGCGTGTGGTATTGGGAAGCGTGCTTGTTGATTAAGAAACGTAGGAGATGATCTCGCTGGGAAATGTGTCGAAAGTCTAAATTCACGGGCTGTGACTTTTCTCTGATCTCACTGCGTAGTTTTTTCGCGGGTCTCTTAATCTTTCTCCCACGGATGTGCGTAGATCCACGTGATATCACGTGATTTGTCGAAAGTTCTTGACTTGTTTGTTTTTATTATCCGAAAACTGAAAAAAAAGGATGAAGGTGATACGGATTTTTCATATTTCCCAAAAAATAAAAGCTTTATAACTTTTGGTCGTTTAGTGTCGTGATTAAGCAAGTTGTTAACCATCAGCATTTGGATTAATGGACTTCTCTGATGAAACTTGTTTTCCTGATATATATATGTTCTGGTTTTGTGTAAATAAATAGGTGTGAGACACTGAGATATAACTTTAATGTTTTAGTAGTTTTGATTAAAATTAGAATTATAAAATTCTGAGTACTTTTGCATTGATGTGATCAAATAAGTGATGTGCACATAACAACATACGTATAAAGTCGGTTTTTTATGGTGATAGTGAAATGATGTCAGATTTTTTGAATATTTTTGCTTAAAATTGTTACAAATTCACCTTTACAGCTAATCTCAATGGCGAGGAGCTTTTGCTTTTCTTGTACAGTTTTGATAAATGATTGACCCCATCGCAGTTAATATTCAAAACATGAGGAATCATATCAAAATGGGTCCCTTGATAAATTATTCCTAATGATCCAAGTTGTGTTATTTTGTAAATTTTGGGATAACAGAATGGCTTTTGTTTTATCCTGTTAAGTTTGCCATTTTGAGATCGGTTTACCTTGTGACTAATGTGATTTACTTTTTACAGGCCAAAGTGTTTCACTACGGATCAATAAGCTTAATAGTGGAGCCATGTAGGTCTGCTCACTTAAAGGCCATGGAGGTAGCGAAAGAAGCAGGAGCTCTTCTTTCCTACGACCCAAACCTCAGGGAACCTCTGTGGCCATCAAAGGAAGAAGCCAAAACACAGATCATGAGCATCTGGGACAAAGCTGAGATCATCAAGGTAAGCGACGTTGAGCTCGAGTTTCTAACTGGAAGCAACAAGATCGATGATGAGACCGCAATGTCCTTGTGGCATCCCAACTTGAAGCTCTTGCTCGTCACCCTCGGTGAAAAGGGATGTCGGTATTACGCCAAGGTAAACACACTAGAACTTTTTTTATGTGCATTTACCTTTTACCATCATTATTATCACCATCATTAACACGATTGTCTCTTTGTTGTCTTGTGTGTTGCGTCTAAGTGTCTAGCTGTCTATTAGGTGATACCAGAAGGCAAAACTATATATAGTAAATTAAATTGTCAGTGTTACTTTTATAGTAACATGTTTTTTTGCAAAGGATTCGATAAGCATATTTTAGAAAATAGTCAGAAACAGGGGATTTACAATAATGCTGCAGGAATCATCACTTGTGCTACTTGATGTAAATTTTATATTGGTGGGTTATGAGTTGGTTTGGTAGATCTCACCAACTGCTTAAATTAAAAATTGAATTTTGTTTTTCGTGGACCCTCCAAAAGATTAGTACTTCTTTAATCAATAAAGGCCGCAAATGTCGTGATCTCTAAGGTTCTTTGTTTTTTCAAACGTGACTATTAGAACTTGTCAAGAAAAGGAAGTTTACTTTTGCTTTTCTCATTTGCCGAATCACATGAACATGAAACCGATTTGTGTTTTTTACTTCTATACGTCAATGACTTTGTGACTTTTCACTGAAATTTGGGTTTATCTGCTTATGTACACTTACCAAACTGTGTAGACTTTCCGTGGATCTGTTGACCCTTTCCATGTGAACGCCGTGGATACAACCGGCGCTGGAGATTCCTTTGTCGGTGCACTTCTAAACAAGATTGCCGATGATCAATCCATTCTCGAGGTAACATTCGAAAGAAGCATCCATTAAATAAATCATCATCTTTAGCTTCATGGTGATACATAGGTTCTAATTCTTGGGTGTATTTCTTATAACAACAGGACGAAGAGAGATTGAGAAAGGTGCTGAGATTCGCAAACGCTTGTGGAGCAATCACCACGACCAAAAAAGGAGCAATTCCGGCTCTTCCCTCAGAGGCTGAAGTTGACAGCTTCCTAGAAGGGAAATAGAGAAACCAACGCAACTCAAAAGCTTGTTTACCACGTAATGTGTTTTCATGGCTTTTCTTCTCTCCTTTGTATTCTTGTTCTCTGATGGTTAAATTCGAGGAGAGAAACGAAACTGGGCATTCGCAGTCTGCTCTGTTTTTGTTTCTCTTCTTCAAATGTAACGATTTTTAAAAAGACAATGTTTTAAATAAAAAGAGAAGTTTTTTCTTTCAAGTTTAAGCCTATTATTACACTTGTTCGAATGAGCTCACAGAGAGAGCAAACACAAAGGCAATAGATGAGTGTATGTCAATCAAGTGCTATTTATAATAAGCTTACTCGTTTCATGTCATCTCGTAGTTTACTTTAGCCTAGGTCAGGGACAAGGAAGTAATCTTCATCATCATCATACCGGATCTCAAGCCTCGGCTTCTTGTTGGAAACATTGGACTTGATGGGTCTACTGTAGGAGGAATGAACATGAGCCAAATGTGAAACCGAAAGCTCCGGAACTTCTGCTGCCGGTAGAGCTTCTTGGTCAGGCTGGTCCCCAAAGAAACCCATCTCTGCAAGCCAATCCAGCTCCCCGAGATCCAGCTGCTCTTTCTGCTGAAACCACAAGAAACAAAGTGATAACATAAGCTACAAACAAAGATGAAGACTTGACTGAAGACGTAATAGAATTGGTGAAACCATTTCTCACCTTATTACTGCAGTCAAGATCAGAGTAACGGAAGAATTCGTCGCCGGCAGCCCATGGAGGAGATGGAGCAGCGGCAGACTGTTGAGTTGGCGGCTTAGAGAGAATCTGCTTTGCTTTCTGCTGGTTAGATGGGTCGAATTGATTCATCTCCACTTCTTTAGTGCAACCAGTGGAACTCAGAGCCACTTTGATTCCAGTAGCCAAGAACCTCTGGTGATTAGCAGAGCGAGTGTTTGGCGCATGTGTAGCCTCGTCGCAGTCTCTGCAGAGAAGAGCTCTATCCTCAACACAGAATATGAAAGCTGCCTTCTCCTGCAAGTCAACAAAGATGAACACAAGAAGAGATTATTACTACATAAGCAAACCTTGAACATGTATTTTCTTGAGTTCCCATTTAGAATATCTACCAGAATTTGATCTCATATATCTAACCTTTGGCATGCTAAAACATCCAAAAGCTAACAAAATTCTTGAGATCCGACTAAAAACCTATGCTACAGTTGGATCTGAGATTCCAATCTGTGTTAACGAATAGATCCCAAGCTATGAAGTTTCTCAATCATTCATGAACGTAACACTAAAAGAGAAGAGAAGATTGTCTTACAAGGCAGATGTCGCAGGGAGGGAATTTGGTGGAGAGAGAGTTGAGAAAAAGGCGTTGATGTTTGCTAGCGAGCTTATTAGCGGCATGAACCTCAACGTCGCACTTAGCGCAAAGAGCAGCCTCATCGGCACAACATATCAGTGTGGCCGGAGCTTTCTCACACACATCACACTGTATCTTCATATTTCTTTCTCTCTTCACTTAACCGAAATACCAAATAAAGAACAGAACTTTCCTTTTGAGAAGAGAGATTCTGAATATCTCAAAGAAACTACAAAAAACTTGTTTTCTGACAAATGGAAACAAATACTTGAGAGAGAAAAAAAGACAATTTTGCTTCTTGTTCAAGTTGAGGAGTGAGTGATTAGGGAATGGTGGATGAGAAGATAAGGAGGTTTTTATGATTCTTCTGCGTATCAAAAGGAACCACATCCTTGCTTCTTACAGCAAGGCCTTGTCCTTGTAGGTCCCACTCTTCTTCTTCTTCTGCGGCTCTCGTTGTTTCTCTCCTTCTCTGTCTCTCTCTGTATTTCAATATTACTGTTTGCTTTTTCTTTCTCTCTTTTTCGGAATATCTGACTGGGATATTAGGGTTATAATCTGGTATTATCATCATTTTTCTTGTTTTAAAACCTTTTCAGTATACAATTATTAGATCATTTAACACCTATTAAAATTTTAAGATCTCACAAATAACATATAGAAATTGTATTTGTGTACTAAAAATCTCTCAGATTCCAATTGTTCTTTTTCTGTGTGTGCACAGTATAAACAAAGATACAATAGGACCGAAAAGGCCATTAATGATTTTATCGGTATTCAGTGGAGCCGTGTAATCTTGTGGACGATATTTCAGAACAAATAGTCGGCTGAATATTTTCTGTGGTCTGTATTAAACGTTGCATATTAGAGTCGGAGAAAGACACTCTTTAAAGATCAACCCGAATTGGTGTTGACAAATCTTGTGTGGCTTTCTTTCTCCCTTTGAATTGGATAAACACAGTATTCAATTCTTGAGAATTGGTTTTGATATATACCAAACAATACTCACCAACTATATCTTCAATTAGTAAAATTATTGCTACAGTATTATTATGTTTGTATCCGTCTATAAACAAATGTTTAACGCAAGTGTTACTCAATCTTGCACTTACTTTTGTGTATATGCATGCTTGTACTTTCTATGAAGCTAATATATCAATTGGTAAAGCCATGTACAATATGAGACAAAATTTTAAATCTATATGACAAGTAAAATGAAACAGATGAAGTAGATGTTTTAGGTTTACGCAGCAATTTGGCAATCAATCAATCTATGAGATTTCAAAGCATAAATATTACAAAACATCTGAGAAAACAAATGTACATCAATTTATAATGGTTACAATTTATTAATTTATAACAAATTAACATTTTGAACTTTTAACTGTGATATAAACTTCTTCTTTGGGTTATCCAAATGTTTTCCTCAATGACGTGTACTAAAAGGCTTCTGCTTTAGCAAACAACGCCCCAATACCCTGTAGGCCAAGGCACCGCTTAGCTAAAAACACCCTAAAATGCAACAGTCCCAAATCCATAAGACTGCACAAATTAATGGATGTACCTCTCACTAACGTGGTAGACATACTCATATCCCTTAGCTCTCATTCTGGCCTTGAGACGGCTTCTGTTTTCTCATCTCCGCAATACCATTTTGTTGCTCCTGCTGTTGAAGTCGATGATGTAGAAGCTGTTGCAGCTGTTGTTGCTGTTGATACTGAAACTGCTGCTGCTGTTGTTGTTGTTGCTGTTTCTGTGAATGAATCTGAAGCTGCTGAAACTTTTTTGCAGCTAGGATTGTTTGCATTGACTGATTGTTGGAATAGAATTGCTGGTTTGATCCATACGACCCATAGCTCATCCCTGATGCACCGTTTGGAGCTACTTGTCCAGTCAACACCTTCAGATGCTGGATTTCCTCCTTAAGTGCTTCGTTTAGTTCTGCCAAAAAACAAAAGTGTTGACACCAAATGGTTATGACTTTCTGTCAAGTAGGGAGAAGCAAAGTGTCTGTGATAAAAGGGCCTCACCATCCTGCAAGTGAACTTGCTGCTCCATCGTTTGTAACCGCAGTTTCAGCTCATTGTTTTCAACTGTCAAGCCATTTGTGTCTCTCTGAACAAACATGAAGAAAACAGCACAAATCAAAAAGCCAATAGCCCAAATCAAAAAGCCATTAAGATATGAATGAACATTGTAACGCTATAATAAGTTTCATATAGAGCAACCACACACTGGCTCAAAAGTACCAACCTGTAAGAGAGTCAACTGAGCTGAGAGAGTGGTAGCTTCCGTTTGCAAAGTCTGTACTTTTCTCTCAAGCTCAAATATGTATCTCGTCTTCCTTTCTTTTGACCTTGCCGCTGACTGCCTGTTTGCCCATATCCTATCATGTGACACAAAAAACAAATCATACACTTATGACTCTAAGAGTTTGATTGTACAAACGCAAACGTTTCTGTTTATAACATGCATAAAAGAGATATAATAATCAATCAGCAGTTTTCATTAATGTCTTTGTGAGGTCAGGCCATTGAAGATCAAAACCAAAAGCACAAAACATTCACCATGTCCATCAAAAATTTAACAAACCAGAGAAGCACAGAAGATGATACCTCTTAGCACGTTTAGGATCAATGAGAGCAAGCTCAGCAAGTTTAGTAGCAGACATGGATTTCTTAGCATCAACAACAGAATCATCCTCATTCCCAGACATAAGCATATCAGGATTAATGTTCATCGAACCATCCATAGACTGACTGTGCTGGTGCCTAACTCTTGGCCTCTCCCCAAAACCACTGAGCGCATTCTGAGGATTAGAAGCTGAGCCTTTATTCCAAGCAGCTCCTGATCCTGAAGGCTCACCACCACCTACTTGAGCCGAAGATGTAGCGGAAGAATTAAACTTATCCAGATCGAGATACATAGACATTAAGTCCTCTTCAGTCTCATCAGAGAAAGAAGCTCCATCAGCAGCAGTACCAACCACACCAAGATCACTATCGAAGCTCAAATCATCAGGGAGAGTGAGGATTTCGGAATGAGCTCGTCGGTGTCCAATCTTCTTGGGTGGGTTATCGAGCATACGGCTCATATCGTGGCTCAACCGGTTAGCATCTGATCCATGACCAATTGGACCAGAAGAGTCTGAGAATGCCGAGCTCCGACCTGAAGGAGATGGAGGAGGGAGACCTCCACCAGGTGCCGGAGATTTTTCTTTATCCATTTTGAAATTTACTCAACTATCTGCGCAAATCAGATCATTGATTCCAATAATTTCAAGCTATCGATTCAATCATAGAGAAAAGCAGAAGTTTTTATAGAAAGAAAAAGGGACACTAAATTGGAAAGTAGATCAAAAAGAGACGACTTTGGAACATTACTTACATATAGAGATAGATCCAGGAGAAAAAATGAAAGCTTTTGAAGCAAAAAGTTTAGGGTTTTCGGCGAGAGCTGTGAGAGAGAGGAAAAAGGAGGAAAATTCGGGGAAAATCTGAAAATGAGAGGAAGAGAAGAGAAGAGATCTATAAGGTGAGAGGAAGTGGGAATGTGATTCTTTACAAGAGATCATGTGTATGCCCACAATCTGTGCGCGTAATGGGTAATACTCACTCTTAAAACGCGTCGTTTTGCGTGTTCCACCATTTCCGTCAGTGTGACGATGAGAGAAGCAGAGTGAGATTCCATCAATAATTAACCCCAAAAAAAAACGAAAGGATCAGTCAATTTGTACCCACCAGGCCTGGGCCTTCTTCTTTAAATACCTTATGGGCCATAAAGCCCATTAAACCCAGAATTGGAGCTGCATACTCCTTGGGCCTTAGGGCCAAATGAGATCTGTTGACTGTTGGGCTGGAATCTTGGGCCTAGAACGAATCGAGCTTAGTCACACTCACGCTTATCCACCTCATATCTGTTGACTGTTGAGATTTGAGACGACAGAGAGAGATATTTTTGTGAACAGTGACATTAAAAAAATGAAGTTATATAAAAAGACTTGGTACCACATGTTGTCTTCGAAGTATTGTCCTTTTCCAAGTTGGAAAGGAATGTTACTGTCTTCGATTTCACATTCAATATTTTTTTTCAAGAGTGGTTCGGACTTCGGATATTAATTAATTAGTAAATGTACCGAGAAAATCGATATTATTGGGCAGTTTGTAATTCTTAGACATCATGTACTATATTCCTCTCATATCATCCGTAATTAATTTCGTGTACGGTATAGCATTAAAGTCACTTAGTTCAACTGTTGTTCTTATGAGTTCACATGTTTTCTCGTACTTTGGTACTAGTAATTACTGGTCTTTAATGCAGGTGGTTATTTGTGTTGTCATGGTGGGAGGAGGATGAAATTGAGTTTGTCAAGGCAAGTTAAGTAATCGTTGAAGTAAATAAAAAACCAGAGAAGAAGAAGGATTTTACATCACTAGCTATCTTATCAACAATGTTACAGCATATTCTAGTTTTCTCTTGTCACCAACATCGTAAAAATTAACAAATTCTTCCTCTAATCTGTTTAAGATTTGTGTTTCTAGGGGGAGCAAAATTTAGATATGTTTTAGGTTACAATTAGAATTTTATTAAAAAAACAAAATTTAGAAATGTTGTAGGTTACAATTAGGATTTAGAAATGTTTTAGGTTACAATCCGCTTGGGCTTGGCCACTGTAGAATTTCTATAAGTTTGGGGAATGGAAAAGCACCCCGGTTATACATAAAAACTTATCATCGATGAGTCGATGACCTCTTAATCTTTAAATATAGATTAACAATTTAACATACGTTATGCCTTTCTTGTGTTCCCAATCTGTGATCGAAACGTTGTTAAAAGTTTTTCTTACTCAAAACGGCTGAAGTAGACTTGCAGTATTTAAGTGAACTTCGTTTATTTTAAGGATAATACATGGTTTTGTCAGAAACGTAAAGCGATGAAAACAGAGTTAGGTCTCAACGGACCGGTGGTTGTATTATATATAGATAATTTTCGAATTATTTTTTATGTACTTCGACTGATGCATGTAAGCATCCATTATTGGACTTGGACGTAACTGCTAGCTTCTTGTACTTCAACAAGTCTTGAATATTTGTTGGATAAAAGATTTGTTGGGTTTCATCATATGGTTATTAATACAAGCCTATGTAAAATAAGTTGATTAATTAAAAATATTTGTTATCTTCCGTAAAAATGAATTAGTATGTACAGAACAAAAAGAAAACACAGCCAGATAAGAATATAAGATGTTGAAGAAAAGAAGAAAATATTATACTTTAGCTTGCCAAAACAATGGTTATGAATGGTAACGTACTATTTTGACAGGTACAATTCTTAAATTTTTGTTTTGACCATTAGTAAACGATTCGGTTTAAAAAATTGTTTGGGCCGTTTAAAGCGTTTATTTTTGTTAAAGCCGTTTAAAGCGTTGTCTTTGGTCAAAGATCGAACGGACAAAATGAACAACTAACAGTGATTACCACTCAAATTGTATAGTGTTGATGCTAGTTTTGTTTTAAGCTGTTAACACATACAATGTACATATTCTATCTTCTTGAGATTTTTTTTGTTTTTTTTGTTTTTTGCTAAAGGGTTATCTTCTTGAGAATATTGATAAATCCGAAAGCGTTCGATGAGATTAAGTAGAAGTTGTATTCACCCGGTGTATTAATCAATATATTTGTAAACTGTAATGACTGTAATGCGTATAGTGATATTTATATAAAGTGTATATTGACTAGTGGGATCAGTGAGTTACTTAAATCATAATCAGGGACCGACCATTCGCATCATTTGGTATTTCTGTCTCTGTGCTCCGCACACATGTTACGATCATTTTTGTTTCAGAATATTAGTTTTTTATAATAAGGATCCTAACTAATATTAGAAGATCTGATAAATAATATATTTAAACCAACCCTTGTATTAATCAAAAAAAAAAAACTAACCCTTGTTAACAAAAAACCAAAACAATTTTTATCCTTCTCAAATGAACTCAAAAGCTATGTATCGAGTCAATTCTTATAAACAACAGTACATAAGAACTTATTTATAATTTTTGTTGGAACAAGAAAACCAAGTCAGAAATGATCACTAATAGGTCTCAAGTTAACTAAAAATGTGATGATGTTTTTGTCTTCTTTAACCGAGTATAGTGGGTTTTTCTGAATTTTGAACATCAAAATATTGAGAAACGTAGCTGCGATTCGCAATGTGGTTATTAGTATTACCATCCCACATCTGCAATGCAAGTACGTTTTTACCTGCTCCAAAATCCTAATATTCAAAAATTGATGTTTTACAGATCGATCACATCTCCTTGGAAAAATGTGAACATATTCTAGATCATTTTGTCCACCACTAATTTACTATTGCATCACGAAGGCATCGATCATTGGTTTTAATCAGAATGACGGAAACCAGCTGATTATTTAATTTAATTACTTTTCATAGTCTTATATACATGGTTCATGCTTGTTCATCTTTATAACAAAAGCTTAACTACCTTTCTCACTTACCCTTCCTCACACTATACGCTTTCTCACTTACCCACAACTTAATGATTCTGCTAATTAACAAATATAACTAATAACTATACTTCTATGATTTTGATGTAGAAACTACTAGTGTATAGGTACATATTGAGAAATTTTTATACATTCAACGATATATGCAGACGCTATAATGAAAGCAATTTTTTTTAATTGAATGTAAAATAAATTCAAACGCTAAAACGTTGTTCATTTACATCGGAGTGCATTTTAATTTTGAAATGAAAAATTACACAAAAAGGATCTTAAGCCGAGTGTCTTGCTTCTAGCCATGTGTGGAGAGCTCTTCATACTTGGTGTCGCACAACAGTACTGTATGATGGATGAAAGCAATTTCATTTTGTATACTATTCGTGTAGGGCACTATCATTTCTTGTACTCATCCTATTTTTAGCTTTTTTATGTTTGTCGTCTTACGCTTCCGGAGTTCGCGAGGCTCAAACCTCAAATCTCCATTTTTGTGTTTTGATGTTTACATTTTCAAGATCTAGACTATAACCGAGGATCTAAGAGTTTTTGGGACATTTCAAACGGTGATGATTATTATCGAACTGTTTTGAATTATATGTATACGAAACAATTTGCTATAATTATAGTGTGTGGAACACTTGCAACTTGCAAGAGCTCACAAGAGCACAAAATAGTTTCAATTATACTATAGAAGAGCTCACAACTCACAAGTTCGAGCACATGCTTATGTCTATATAACGGATCTTAACATGTGAAAGTTACGATCTATAGTTTGATTCAACATGTACTTTATACTACTTGAGCCCTGTGGCATGGTTCCAAATACGTTTTAGTTACTAAAAGGTATGGACATTAGCACATCAGGCCCCAAGGATGCTAATAATATCTATCATCATATAGTTTTAAAAATAATTATACTTTGATAGTGTGTATTGAAAGCGATATATCATCACTATAGGCTAAAAAAGAGGATATCATCATCATCATATCAAATTATCAACACCAAAAAAAATTAATATATTAGTTCACAAGTCAAAATTATATCGAGTAATATACTTTGTTTGAAGAGACGTGTATGCATTAACGATCAATCTTGCCACCCCAAAGTCTATTTTAAGAGAAACAAAAAAGCTTTAAGAATACATGAACTCAACTACTCAAAATCGCCCGAATTGGTAAGTACTATAAATTTGATTTTGTTCTATATAATAGTAATACACCTTTTGACTAGGCCTGGGCGTTCGGTTATTCGGATCGGGTTCGGGTCGGTTCCTTTCGGGTTTCGGGTTTTTCGGTTCTAGAAATTTTAGTACTATTCGGGTATTTTTTATTTTCGGGTCGGGTTTGGATCGGTTCCGGATATCCAAATTTTATTACAGAAAATAAAATAAAAATAAAAAACTGTTTCATTTAAATGAAATTTTATTAAACTTAGCAAAACTAATTGAATATTAACAAATATAACTAAATATTTTTGGATTTCTTGAATATTTTAATTATTTCTTTCTAAATTTAACTATTATATTAGGTTTATAATTGTAATTTTACATATTTTGGTTATTTTAAGTCTAAATATAACTAATATTTTTGGAAATATAATTATATTTTCAATATTTCGGATACTCATTCGGTTCTCGGTTCGGTTCGGGTTCGGTCCGGTTCTTTCGGGTATAAGAATTTTGGACCCATTCGGGTATTTGTGTCGGTTCCGGTCCGGTTCGGTTCTGTCTATTTCGGGTCGGGTTCGGTTCTATATTTCGGGTCCGGATAAAAATGCCCAGGCCTACTTTTGACTATTCAATATATTACCTTAAAAACGTAATATTATTTAATATTATAATTTTTAAAATGAAAATAAAAATACATGAACTCTTGAAGATACATGAAAAATTATGTTTTTCCAATCTTATAAATGACTACAGTTAAGAAAAGGATATACTTTTCAATCTATACATTATACACCATCGAACGCAACGTAAAAAAGCTTGAAAAAAAAACACAACGTAATTTAAAACCACAAGGTCCACAACTAAATGAAAATTAATTTGATTCACATTAATTAAGGATTCGAATTCATTTTTTGGTCTTTCCTTCCATATCCGATTTTTTCCCAAGATTTGCATAGTCAAATTTTATTGAATGTGATTTTTTTTGTTAGCATATATGTATTTGCATCTTAGAAGGAAAAGTGTCATATTCATGAATGTTTATGATCTGGATAGTCAAAATTTATGTACAATTTATATAGAAGATATTAAATACATATGTGGTACTAGCCGGATTAAGATCGTGCATGTAATGAAAAATAAATCAGAAATGTGTTGTTTGTCTATGCAATGAGTTGGTGTATGTTGACACTTGGGGACCTCAATTGTGTAACATTTATTTTTATTTTTGGATTTTTCTTTCATAAACTAATAATAAAATACCGATTCAAAACAGTATATTCTCAGTAGTAGTCAGTGGGTTTATTCCAGATTAATTTTAAAGAAAAAACAAACAAACAAAAAAATAAAACTAAGAAAATCGATAACAGTTTTCCAGCTACCGAACGTGATTTTTGCCTGTAATCACGTACATCCATAAAGCAATGTATATCAAATCGTTAGAGAACAAGTCAAGACGAATATTGAGCCCTGTGTCACCCTTTCCTCTTTACGTTGGCATCTAAAAATAACTTTCACATTACTTACTGTCAAAGGTAAAACCAATTATATATTAGGAAAAAAATAAATTTTTAGTGGTTAGAAAGAAATGTAACAAGTGCATGTAAAATGAACCTTATCGTCGCATACGTGTCAAAGTCCAACAAATATCATGATATTTATTATTTTACTGAAAACACACCTCATACGACATTTGTCCGTTGCAGTAATTAATTTTCATGATACTATAAATTAGTAGGAACCCCTCTGTTTTTTATTCTCGTCTCCATTATTCCCCTAGAAACCTAAAAGAAGAAGAGAGAAGAGAGAGGAAATGTCGGTAACATCTACGGTGGAGAATCACCGGAAAAGTCCTTCGTCGGCGGAGAAAACGCTGCCGGAGAAGAAGAAGAGGAGATGGGTGTTCTGGGACAGAAGGTGGAGGAGATTAGACTATTTCAAACTCACGGCTTCATTGTTCGTGCATTCGATGGCTCTCTTGGCTCCGTTTTATTTCAGATGGTCTGCTCTTTGGGTCACCTTCTTGTTCTATACGATTGGTGGTCTCGGTATCACCGTGTCGTACCACCGGAACTTGGCTCACCGGAGTTTCAAAGTCCCTAAATGGCTCGAGTATCTCTTGGCCTATTGTGCCCTTCTCGCTATTCAGGTTGGTAAACCATAATTCTTGATTTTTTTTTGTTTTTTTTGTCTATAGATCTAATTGATAAAGAAATTTTTATTTTTTTCTTTCTAAAGAATACAAGATTTGTTATTAATTGGTTAGATTTTTTTCTTAATAGGGAGATCCGATTGATTGGGTGAGTACTCATCGTTATCATCATCAATTTACGGATTCGGAAAGAGATCCTCATAGTCCTAAAGAAGGTTTTTGGTTTAGTCATCTTCTATGGATATATGACTCTGCCTATCTCGTTCAAAAGGTGAATTCAGTATATATATTTTTTTTTGCATGTAGATATTTTTAATTTATTTTATAATTATAAGAAAGAGCAAGAGATCTAAAAGATCATGATGAATTTGAATTACAGTGTGGAAGAAGAACAAATGTGGAGGATTTGAAGAGGCAGTGGTTCTATAGGTTTCTTCAGAAAACGGTGTTTTTCCACATTTTAGGTCTTGGGATTATTCTCTACTATCTTGGTGGCATGTCCTTCGTTACTTGGGGAATGGTAATTAAACCTCTCTATATTTTTCTTTTGAGGAAAATGTAGTAGAAATGGAATATTATATTCAAAACGTAATATCAGGAATTAATATATTGGGGAAAATGATTGATAATGAATTTTGTGGTTGGTGGGTGATGCAGGGGATAGGAGCAGCACTGGAGGTGCACGTGACTTGCTTCATAAACTCAGTTTGCCATATTTGGGGCTCTCGGACTTGGAAGACCAATGACACTTCTCGTAATGTTTGGTATGTTATCATTAATTTTTATTTCTTTACATATTTGGTGTGGACAAGAACAGTCGATTATCATCTATGTCAGTATGTCACTTTCCCAATACTAGATGACATGTAATGTAGACAGGCAGCTCATGTTCCAAAAGAAACGCATTAATGTTGTGTGATTCTAATGTTCAATATTTAACATATGGTTTCGATTTTGTTAGGTGGTTATCGGTTTTTTCATTTGGGGAAAGCTGGCACAACAATCACCATGCGTTCGAGTCGTCCGCAAGACAAGGACTTGAGTGGTGGCAAATCGACATTTCTTGGTACCTTGTCCGGTTTCTTCAGATTATCGGTTTAGCCTATGATGTGAAACTGCCTACAGAAGCTCAACGACGTCGTATGGCTATCGTTAAATCCTAAAAGAGTTATTGTTTTTTTCTTTTCTTCTTTTGTTTTACTTTGAAGTTTTGGGTGACGCAATGAACGTTTCCGATGTGTTGGTGTTGGACTAAAGTTGCTTAATATATTGTCGTAATTGTTACTTACAAGTTATAAAATCTTTTAGTGGGGGGGGCAATTAATACGTTTAATTACGATCTCTTTGTTTATGTGAGACTCTATTTTATTATATATCCAATCGTTTGTGTACTAGGGAACGTTGAAAAACATATTGTAAAAGAAGAAACACAAAGATCATACTTTAAAAAATGGAGACGTACTTTTTCAATATTTACATGAAATAAAAATTGGAGAAGAAAGAAAAGCAGTGACAGACTTTTTTCAATGGGAATATATTGGTTTTCGGAGTTTATTGGACTATAGTCTTACACAGTGTTTGTTTGTTATATATAATCCAAAGTTCTTTGTACCTTTATCAATTATATCAATATTAATCTCTTTTTTGTTTTTCACATTGAGGTCGGTACACTTTTTTTCTCATACTGTAGTCGGTACCTTAATTTTGGGTGTTTATTAAATAAATGGTTCACCTGTAATTTTTAGACTGCTTCGATTTCTTGAACAATGGAAACATGATCTAACAGTGGATTTTATTCTTAGCGGAAAGAGTATTACTTTTAACATGGGTGGTCCTAGAACTAAAGATGATTTTATTCTTTACTCGGATTTAAAAAAAAAAAACGATTTGAAAAATTGGTTAGGTTAATTATTAATGGTATAGTTATTAATGTCAATGACCAACTTAATTCTCTTAATGTATACAGTAGTTATTACTGTCAATGACCAACTTAATTATTAATGGTATAGATATTATTAATGCCAATGACCAACTTAATTATCAATGGTATAGTTATTAATGTGAATGACCAACTTAATTATTAATGGTCTAGTTATTAATGTCAATGACCAACTTAATTCTGTTACTTAAAGATCAAATCCTACAGTAAGGTTAAACTGTAGCTAATCACCATACCTCGTGAACTTCTTAACAACAAGGTAAAAAAGTTGAATCTAATTTTCAGAGAATTTAAATTAGACTAGCCAAATAAACTCTTACTAATTACTATTCATTTTCTGTAAATTTTTGAAATACGAATCTATGTCCAATTGTTAATTAGCGTGAAAATTTATCAAGACAACATTTATATTGAAAAATAAAGAGTAAACATTTAAAACTCGTAAACCAGAACCTACTTGCGGTGTTGAGGAGTACACAAATTAGAAGTTTTACATCAAAGTAAAAATATCTCTCACTTTTGCTTTTTTTCTTGAAGTAAAAAAAAAAAGTCCATGTCAAAGGCTACACGCACCTTATTTATGGACTACAGATGCATACCAAAGCTTTACCTCGAAAAAGCCTCTACGCTTTGAAATCATCCTTTGCTTTTCGAATGATCCCCAAAGCTTCTGCTGTATCTGCACTCTCTGGAATGCCTAACACCCGACGAATATCTGGATTCGAAACGCGCAGGAACGGGTTACAAGCTTTCTCCATCTTCAGCGTTGTTGGAATCTGAGATTTGGCAACAAGACAAAACAAGAATCAACACTAACTCAACCAAGAAAGTTGAGCAATGCATAAGCAATCATTGGTGATGAATCTATTTTTATTTACCGTAGGTAGTTTTTTGCTACGGAGTTCTGCAACATGAGCTGCATAAGACTGGAGAACCTCGTTGTTCGGCTCTGTAGACAACGCAAACTTGGCGTTACTCTGCACCAAAAGCAAATTCCAAAGTCATTGGAGACAAACCCTTTTAGTAAAAGCATTTCAATAATACAAAAGGATAGCAGAATATGACAGACCAGTGTATATTCATGACCACAGTATATGCTTGTGTCATCTGGTAAAGATGAGATCCTTTGGAGAGAAGCAAGCATCTGCAGAACAAGTTACAAAGGATTGAGAATATGAATTGATTCTGAAAGTTTAATTCCAAATGAAATGTAATTAAGAAGGAAGACATAGAGAGAAGTTGTGTTTACCTGCTTAGGACTGCCTTCAAAGAGTTTACCACATGATAAGCTAAACAAGGTGTCCCCGGTGAAGATAGCTCGTGACCCTGGAAAGTATAAGCTGATATGTCCTGCAAAAGTAAAATTAATATCATTAGAAAAAAAGAGTAAAACGGGGGACAACAAGCTTGAGAGGTGTATATCATATGCATGATTTGCACAACAAAAACCGACAACAAACTCAGATTTTACAGAATCTACAATCTCATTTAAAGAAGAGAAGAGTAAGACCATTCTGCTTAAAGAGGTCTCATAAAACCTAAGGATTGCTCCAGAGATTCCGTCCATTTTAAACCAAATCTTCAGTCTATTCTCACAAATCATGTGGATATAACGAAGACTGAAATAATCGAATCTTGAACTACTTGATTGAAATGCAAGAACGTGCAGGAAACATAAGATATTCAAAGCTTCCTATAGTTAATATGCGAATTATAAACAACCTTTGGTGTGGCCAGGCGTATCCATAACATGGACTTCATGACCAGCAAACATCCATTTGTCACCATCTTTCAAGGCTATATCAATTCCAGGTATCCGGTCTCTATCTCCAGCTGAGCCAATCACCTGCAACATTCCAAATATGTAGCGTTTGATCATTATACAACAATTCTTTCTGAAAACTGTATCAAATCACAGCAAAATGAGGAGGATAGAAACAGAAGTTAAATCTTCCTACCTTTGCACCGTACCTGTCTTTTAACTCCAAATTCCCACCAGTGTGATCATAGTGATGATGTGTGTTCAATATATATGTCAGATTTCGACCACTCTTCCGCAACGAATCCATGATAGGTTCAGCTTCAGAAGGGTCAACCACTCCAACTGTACCAGTATCTTCGTCATGCAATATATAAGCATAGTTGTCCTTAAGACAAGGCACCTGGAAAAAAGGAAAAAAAAAACAGACTGAGAGTTAATCTTTATTACATGAAAATTCAAGAAACAAACAAACTAGTAATGAGAGAAAATGGTTTAGGAGATTCTAAAAGCAACAGACCAGTTCAATTTGCAGTGAGGAGGCACTGGAGACACTGCAGAAGTTTGAGACTCGGATAGATCTGCCAGCACCACGCAAAGTCCTAAGAGGGGAAGAGACCAGCTTCATCGCTCTGTACACAAGACCCTTTCTGATGTTAAGCTGTCTCACACATGGAGCGATACATGGCTGGCTTGTTAGCCTCTGAAATAAAGAGAGAAAAAAAAACAGAGAGATATGTCACACAATTGTTTCATTTGTGCTTCAAAATGGACAACAAGAACATAACATAATTCAAAACAAAAGCCAACAAGCTTGATGTTCTCAAATATCACTGCATCCAAAATCCAAGGAAAGGATTTTGATAAGGCTTAGAACAGAAATCACTAATTAACCTAGGCAAGCTTCTCAATCTACCAATTTTGTTTAAATTTTATAATCACGAATTAGGCAGATGGATCATAAGTTGTACGAGCTGCACTTATAAGATTTTACTGGGAAAAAGTCAGATTCTTTCTTCTCATGAATCAAATACAAAATTTTAGAAAATAAACAATCACAAGGATAGTTTCTTCCTCGGAATTGTGAGGTGATCCATTCAATAGAGAAGCAAATAAACACAAGAAAAATAAGAATCCAGAAAGAAATAAAAACAAACCTTGGAGCAACGGAAGAAGGAGATAGCAGAAGAAGCTTTCGAGATGGTTTGCATCTCTCTCTCTTTCTGTCTCTCTCTATCTATTCTCAAAGATCAAATGATTTCTCGTCCTCTCTATCTCCCTAGAAATTCTCCCTTCGATCAAAGGATCTTCGAAATTAATTGACGGAGAAATAGCGTCACAGGGAGAGAGAGAGAGAGAGAGAGAGAGAGAGAGAGAGAGCAAATGTGTCTGTGACACGAATGCTAAACCGACCGAGCCGTACCGAAATGCTAAACCAATAACAATAAACAGCGAGGCATCTCTAATTTTTCAGGTTTAGACGTGTCTTCACGAATCACGACTATGGGTTTATTTCAATTTTAAAGAAAATGAAATTCAATTATGTAATACATCCAAACTTTAGCACTGTGCCTAATTTATAAACTTGCATTTTCTCTCCAAAGCATCTTTACGTTGTGCCGACAAAAAGCACATTTCGTGTATTTATGATTTTTCACTTGTTCAATTTTTTTTCATTTACCCGTATTTAACTAGATCGACAGCAATGTGGGGATGTTTCAAGAAGAAAACATGTATTCCCCTCCCTTTCCCTAAACCTTATGATAATCGATATGATAATCAATGCTTTGGAATAAATTACCACGTGAATCACTCATGACATGACACGAGCACATCTATCTGTATTTAAAAACTTGTCTTCTTTATGTTTTTAGTTTGGTAAATGGGACCTATACGCGTATGCATTTGCAATTGGTTACACAATTAAATATATCTGAAAGCTGAATTATCGTGTTTTCGTTTCTTAATGGCTGGATTTAATGGGCCATGATGAGATATAAACCCAGTAATTAATGGATCAACAACACTCATAATTCGATCGGCCATACTTAAACCGAGATTATGACCCGGTTTTCACACAATTGTCCGGTTCTCGTGTGAATAAGAACTCGTAGTGTAAGGCGAACCGAGTCGTGTATTAACTTGTTTGATTAGTTCCAACATGTGTGTGTTGATCAAATGTTTTAAAAGCCGGCGTGTTTCTTCCTGAATAAAAGTCAACATTCAAGAAAATTTCACAAGTTCAAAATCCTCGAGTCAAACAAACAAACAAACCCTATCTCTCATGAAACACGTTTACGTTACCAGTTAAAACTTAAAACAAAATTAGATATAAAAATAACAGAAATCCACCAATATTTCACTTTTAGAACTTGATGATGGAGCCCAGTTTGTTTTTCCAGTCGGCCCGTTGATTAATCTCTACCTACAACACAGCTTCTTTGTGAACGATGCATATGGTGTGTATTTGCCATCGCATAAAATATCAATGCGAGTATGCGACTTTGAAGTTCAATTGAGTTTACACGTTGTGTTTACCTTTTCATATCATAATTATTATAACTTTTTGTTCGACCAAGAAAAAAGCAAACATGAACATGCGACATATGAACTTTTATTGGTAACAACATATTACAATCGCCATCAGAACACAATTCTTGTCAAGATCTTTTTTTTTAGATGTCTTGTATCCTTATTTTCCACATAGTTTTATCGTATTCTCACTTCCCCAGTATAGTAAGCACTGCTGCAATAGTAAACAATGGTCTTTCACCGGAAGCTCATCCGTGACAAACTTTACTTTTGGAAAAAGAGATGACAAGCTCATTCTAAAAGGAGAATTGTTTTTTTTTTTTTTTTTACTCTCTATCACAAAAGAGATTTTTTTTTTTTTGTAATAAACTAACAGGACACAATAAAACCAATCTAAACCGAAATCAGAAATTTTGTTAAGAGTGCGGCAGCTAGGGCCAGGTCGTGCTTTGTTTTCAGCAAAAGCGCATGTGGACTTAGACAAACCGTGTCTACTGAATTTTTCTATTTCAATATCCTACAATCTGGTTCAAAATATTGAAAACGAATTCTTTTTTGTAGTAAAGTCAAAGTCAAACTTCATATATGTGTGTGTGTGTGTATTGTATACAAAAACATAAGATAGTGAGACCAAACTCGCACAAGTCAAACAATGACATCTCAAAAACCCTATATAAGAGTCGGTATCGAATTTAATTACACATACCAAAACAAAACAAAAAGAGCCTACTCTCTAAGGACCTTAACCTATCAAAAGCTCATTTTTGTTTTCCATTCAAAAAGAAGAAAAAGATCTAAGTGTGATGAAGAGACAATTAGCATTCCTAGTTATCTTAGTTGTTATGTTCGTTGTTATCTTGGACGTAACGCAAGTTGAAGCCATAAGACCATTCCCGGACACCGTCGATGAGATCAAACTTCTGTTTCAGGCGTTGCAAAGAGGTCCGGTCCGCGGCTCTGGTCGGAACGGTTGCACCAACATTCCTCGTGGTTCAGGCCGGCCGTGCCGCAACGGCTAAGCTGTCATACGGATCTTGTTCATCAATTCATCATTCTTTGATTTTTTTTCCCCCACATTTGTGTGTTACGTACATAATTACATATACGTAATTATACGATAGCTGTAGACTTGGTCTCATGACATTTGAATTGTAATCAACGGAAACTTAATTAGTTTTTTAGTGTGTGTATTCAGTATTCAATACAAACATATTTATTTTTCGCCGCTATACACTAAGCTGGTCAAGGAAACGGCAGTTTTAGAAACAAAATGTAACAATCAAAAGATTTTTCGTTTTAAAAAAGAAACTTTATTGGACTTTTCGATTAGACAATACAGTGAATAATTTCAAGTATTTGACTTATAATTTTACCACAAAAATCACATAACAAGGCAACATGCACTTTATATACAGCGTCTGAATAAAAAGGCCGTTCTCATGGCAGTGTATTCCCACTTACACCGTCCCTCGCCGGAGGTTTTTCCCTCCGACATCTCTATTTTGACGGCAATAAAAATAACGCCCCTTTATGTTTCCTGCTTCATGGTAAAATATGAATCCGATAAGTCTTGGCTAGGGTTTTTACCCGCACAAGCGTTCCTGTGAAAACAAAACCTGCATTGATGTGTCAAACTTGGGATCATTAGCTTCTACCAGCAACACTGACTTTCAATCAGAAATTTTATTAATACTCCTAAACTCATTATCATATACTGCAATGTGATAATGAGTTTAGACGTGCTAGAAACAGAGCATGTAAAGACGTGCGTACCTGTGTGAAAACTGCCTGCCTATGTTCTGTAGCCAAGCATCAAGTGCTTGTAATAACGACCACGTATGATTCTTTGCCACCAATATTTGGTTGAGGTCCAATAACTCATCTTCATTCGCTCTTGGATGAGCCTGTAATGCGAATCACGCTGGTGTGTGAGGATTGAAAATAAAAAAAACAGAGATTTAAAAGAGCAGATCCATGTGATAAGGGAAAAAGATTGCTCACCATCTAACAAAGCATCTTTTAACGCCTTGAGATATTGGACGGAAAAAAGACGGATCTCGCTGAGTATACAGTATCCCAACCTGGAACAGACTCAACCCTTTTTTAACTACAATGACTCTCGAGATTAGTGTGTACCGATCAAGAAAAGTTAGAACTTTTTACCTCAACTAAAGCCATTGCAGAAGGGTCTTCAAAGATCTCAAGGCTATAGTCACCCAAATAATTTACCTATTAAACCATTGATGTCAAACATTATCAAGATTGCCAAAACATAAGAGCCGGTAAGTAATGGGAGAAGCTCTAAGCCGGTAAGTAAGGAAAAATGAATAATCTACTGGTTTCATTTCCCATTAAAGGGGGAAGAGTACGTACTGCAAATTCTGTGTTGACAAGAGCTTGGACAAAATCCATTAGCTGAATTTTAGCCCACTCAGAGCACACAGTGGGATCCTCAGTCGGCGGCGGATGCCTCCATGCAGCACCAAAACGTAATTTTTCAGCCGGAATGTTTCCCTTTCGTGCATCAGCAGCATACCGTTGAAGCCGCAACAAAGCTTTTTCCATTGCAGGATTAACCACAGCAACCTAAATAGGTAAAGAACAAATAAATCATGTAACAAATTAACTCTTCTTTCATGTCTAATTTGACAGCAGTTGCAAGCAATCAGTTTAAATGAACCTACTTGTAAATATGCCAAGTATGCATCCACAATATCTTCAATTGTACCTGCTTTGTTCCCCATCAAACTGATAAAACATAAAGGCTTTGGGTCATAGTTGGAAAATGAATAAAGGAATTTCACGCATTTTGAGGACGAAGCCATAAAAGACAGAAAGAAAAAAAATAAAGCTATAATGACGAGAGAATACAAAAGCGGGGAACACGCTACCTCTGGTAATGATTACTTTGCTTTAGCGCATAAAGCTCGAATAGATGCCGGGAATTGGCACCAAGAACATCAGCAATGATTGTCCACTGAAATACCGACGATATGTTAGAAGACTCTACAACATCAGTCACTTAACTAAAATAAACAGTTAAATTTTAGCAGAAAAAACCATTCAACCTTTCTAGTTTTGTATTGTTAGGTTTTAGAATTGCCACACTAATTTCAATTTTATGGGTTCACTAAACAGGCATGCCAATACCTAGAACATATATTCTCACCTCCGAAGCACTGAAGTAATCAGGAACCATGTGTAACTTGGCTTCTTGAGGAGTCCATCCAAATGTCTACAATTGAAGCAAAGCCAAAATGCAATGTAAAAAAGGTAGAATGTGGATACATAAACTTGAACTCTCGTGTTGACATAATCTCTCAAATCAGAATTTCTATATCAAAAATGAAGGGAAGATTCGGAAACTCTACATTATATACCAAATTCACAATACATATTCACACAAATGCATACAGAATCCATACTTTATGTAGAGATATATGAGTAGCTTCTATACCTCACGAGAGATGAAAATGTCTGGAAACCCATAGTCAACAAAGGCTTGATATGAGTAGTAGCTGCCATGATTTAGATTATTAGACATTAGAAAGAATGATAAAAAGGTTTGAAAAGAAAAGACATAGATAGCTAAGAATCAAGTGAAAAATGACTATTTAGAATCTCTGTAAGACTGTAACTATATGACAAGCTACAAACTACAAAGTGTTTACAAATCGAAAACCAGTTTCCTATATAGTCTATAGAAAATGAAACTTAATGGCTAGTTAACGAGACCAAGAAATCATCAGATAGTAACAGCTTCTACTTATATAACCAAAAAAAGGTAAACACAGAAAACAGGACCAACCTATCCGAAGTCACAAATAGGACAGGTAAACAGCGCTCGTTGGCACCTAACGCTATTATCCTCCACACAAGATTGTCATGGTACATTGACGCTGAGACACTTGAATCTTCAGTCTGAACAGCACTCTTCAAGATTTCAATGTTGTTCAACACCAGCTTAGGCTGCCAAGCAAAGCAAGAAAACAAAGACAAACCAAGTAAGCCAGCATTATATAGTGCAGAAAATAACATCCATATTTGGCAATATCCATTAGTACTTATCCATTCCATTACCTGGAAGAAACCAATCTCTGCAGCTTGTGACAACAGCTCGAGCATTAGCAAAGGCCAGTCAGTAGATGAATTTGCTAATGTTTTCGAAAACCCCTTAGTTCGATTCAGATGGGCAATGGCATCGGCTCTCCAACCTTGGTGCATCCTTATAACCTCTCTCGCTAATCTTAACGCAAATGCAGTCTCTCTATAATACGAAGCCTCTTCCACAGACAAGCTACTACCTTTCTCTTCCAATTCCAGCAACCCATCAATCTCATCGGCATTTTGTCGAACAGATAGCGCATACACTGCTCGTTCCCAGAGAAACGAGACGGAGACTTTCTCCGGGACGGCAACGTTGTATCCTTGAAGTATGCGGCGGAGTGCGGTGTTGAGACCGTACCATTTGTTCATGGTGGTGAATATCTGCTGCGAGCTTATGCTCCCGAGCTTGATAGCTTTGTGGCTCATTGACTCAAGGCAATTCTCGAGCTGGGTTTTGCAATTCGACAACAATGGTGGGTCAACACTGGTCCACGACGCCCATGGATATGATTGGTTGTGATCCGGATGGTGTTCCGTTACCGATTGCGCGAAATCTACATAGCCGGCGATGTGAGGCCCTTTGTTCCAGTCTCCGAGAAGACCTAGAAGAAGGAGATCGGGACGAAATCAAATCAAAGCTGTGATCTTTTCGAGAAATTTTGAAATAGAAAGATGGGAAATTTAGAGATTCGAAAGAGTAGATTTTTACGGTTGAGAATTAGAGTGGTTTTGCCGACGCCACGAGGACCGTGGAGGATAAGCGGCTGAGGAACACGGTGGCGTTGGACATGGTTGTTGAGAACGGTTTCCAGAAGTGGCCTTGGAATTATCTTCCAAGGTTTATTCACCATTTCTCTGCGACCTCCTTCTTCTTCTTCTTCCTCTTGCCTTGAGCTCGACCAGCAAGAGCGAGTGTGTGGGGGTTTAGGGACACTTCCAAATCTCTGGAAAATGTTTAATCGGAACTTCTCAAGGGTTTAAGCGTTTGTGGATCTCGCCAAGGAAGAACAAAATTTAAATCGAATCAGTCTGAACCGGCTTAGACAGCCTAAACCGGTTTAGTTTCTTCTCTTCTTGTCAAGAACGGTTGGTTTTAGGCTTTTAGCTGCTTCTATTCGGTAATATTGAGCCGTAAACCCAATAAACATAACCGGAACCAACAAACTGAATTTTACTTGGTTTGTACTTGAAATTGTTCGTAACCAGTAAAGACTGAGTAAGCTCAGGTTAATCAAACATGACCACTAGTTTGTAAATTAAGCAAACATTTTATTTTTCTAATTAACTCTTACAAAAAATCTCCAACTGCGTAACTATGTAAGACAATGAAAGACGTAATTGCTTTGATACATGTTACTAAGAATAGTTAAAACATAATTTCTACTTTTCTAGTATGTACAACAAATAAAATAAAATAATAATTCAAGCCATAGCCCAAGTATGAGTATTGGTATCAAGAGTCACGCGAGTACTCATCCGTGGCATTTGCCCGACCCTTTGGGGATATGGGAACAACCGTTCCTACCGGATCCAGGAACCGGACCTCTCTGCAGAGACTGGAACACGAACCGGATCTCACTATCGAGGGTGGTTCGTAAAAGCCTTGTGGCTCCTACTTCTTTGGCGTGGAAGAAAATCAAGAAAAGGGACAGCAAAATCATTCCAAGGATCACTTGTTTCTTCAACATCATCGTTTTGTCTCTTTTGAACTAAACAAAAGTTGTAAGGTCTTACCAGTCTAGTTGTGTGGCATTGAGAGTTTGAGATTGAGTAGCATTTAGAATTTCGAGTATGAGTTGTATATATAGTGATGGCTTCGTTTTTTGGTCTTACATACTGGAAATATTAAAATATGGTTTGACTTTTATTTGTTAAGAATTGGTATTCAACGGTTGAATTAGAAATAAATATTGAAACTGATCAAACAAGCTACCATAACACGGTTTTAATCTTGGACAGCAAGGAATTTTAGTGTGGCCCTCACCGAAGTTCATGTCTCGCGAATTTCAAGCAAATTTGGAGGAAAATACAACCGGGATGGTATGATCTGATTTGGTTCAAGCTGATCAATGAAAATTCCAGTGTAGTTTCCGTAAAGTTATGATAGGAAATTTGATATTTTTGCCTCAGTACCTTTTACAGGTCCGATCAATTCAGCAATGTTTCATTTTCCTTCATTAAATATGTACAAACCATATAAGTGGACTTTTATTCTCCAGCATGGCAGCATCTTTGATTATAGTTTTGTTGTTGTTGTTAGCAACATGTATTAGCGGTTTTAAACTTAAGTGATGTTCACTACGATAGTACTAATATAAACTATTGGGTCTGCATGTTCTGGTCTACTACGGTTTTGTTTATGCACCTAAAAAATGAAGCTAACAAATGCAAGATGATTCTATTGCATTAGACTAGAATGCCCAAATACGTGCTCTGTTGAACTATTTTTGAACTGATTAACTCACATCCAGTGCCTTATATATTAACCATTGTTATATTATCTTTCAATTAATATACGCATTGTAGTTGTATTACTTTACCTCTGTCTAATCTAATAATGTTGTTTTCAATACGTATATAAATTTGAGTTTTCATCATAAACGTTTTGTTTGGTCAACTATTATAAACTGGTATCAAAATTATAAAACAACAAACTTTTAAATGCTTGAAATTAAAATCATACTGAACTTGTACAAGAAATCCCACAAAGAGGAAGAGACAATCCCACATTGATTTCTGATAATTGTCGAAATAAATAAAATTGAATTTAATAATAATATGATATTTAAGATTGCGTAATAAATTAATAATCGAAATCATAATCGACTGAGAATCTGAGATACGGTGGTGAGTAACAACTTTTTAGGGTAAAACCTCGCCGGTGAAAAAAAAGGAAAAAACGGTAGAAACACAATCTGCAAAGGAAAGGCGTCACCGAGAAGCCATCATCGTCGTCGTCATCATCTTTCCTCTTCTTCTTTGAGGCATATGTATAAATAGTCCTCACACACTTTCGCACTGTCATCTCTTAACCGGAGAAATGGCGACACCGAGCTCACATAAGCCGTGGAGGGCGGAGTATGCCAAGTCCGGCAGGTCTTCCTGCAAGACCTGCAAGTCCGCCATTAACAAGGAGATTTTCCGTCTCGGAAAGTTGGTTCAAGCCTCTCAATTCGACGGCGTCATGCCCGTATGATTCTCTCTCGCTCTCTTTTCTCCCAGAATTTGGACCTGACTCTGTGCTTTACTCTGTTGCTTATTAATGTGGATTCTAAAGTCACTTCTTTTTTAGGGATTCTGTGACATTTGTTTGAAATTAGCGATCTTGTGAAGGTTTAAAACTTGTTCATTCTGCTTTCACCACTCTACATGCATTGCGAGTTTGTGTGTGTGTCGCATGCCAAGCTTGTTTTCTGCCGCAAATTGGAGTCTTTTCTTGGTTAAAAAGTGTTCTTTCCTCTTTTGTGCCTAATCGAACATGATCAGCGATTGAAGCTACTTTTGAGTTCATAAAGTTCTTGATGACCGCAAAAGATTTGTGCTTTTTGCAATGACATAAATGGACTGATTTTTTGTTCCCGTGACAATGTTGAAGCCAGGCGAATTCACTTTTCTGTTTTTGGTGATGATAATAATTTGTTTAGCTTTGTTAGATTATTTTTAGTTGTTGTTGGAGGTGTGAATTCTATTAAACGCAATCAGCTGTGTTATCTAAGCTTTAGGCCCTTTCTTGCTGCTCTGCTTAACTTCTTCATCCTAATTACATGTTGATTTAGCTCCACTAGACATGGAAGTTTTCAAACTGACGTATCTTCTTTGTACTTTTGTTATTCACACACAGATGTGGCACCATGCTAGCTGTGTACTGAAGAAAACGAAGCAGATCAAATCGTATGTAAAGCCAATGTCACTTAATGGAAATATTATAATCGTTCAGCTATCAACCCTTATTATGTCTCTTGTTTTTTTCTAGAGTTGATGATGTTGAAGGCTTAGAATCACTTCGTTGGGAAGATCAGCAAAAGATAAGAAACTATGTCGAATCTGGAGCTGGGAGTAGCACTAGCGCGAGCAAGGGAACGGGCACGAGCAGCAGCGGTGGCAATGCCAAACTAGAATATGGGATTGAAGTGTCACAAACTTCTCGCGCCGGTTGCAGAAAGTGTAGCGAAAAGATCTTGAAAGGAGAGGTAAGCTGTTGTTCTACTTCATCTGTCATACAATCTCACTGGTTGTAGCATTTTATATGAACTTGTTTCGTCCTTCAGTGAGTTTTTTATGTTTTTGTTTTCCAGGTACGTATATTCTCTAAGCCTGAAGGCCGTGGTAACAAGGGTTTAATGTGGTACCACGCAAAATGTTTCCTTGAAATGTCTTCCTCTACTGAACTGGAAAGTTTGTCTGGGTGGAGAAGCCTACCAGACTCAGACCAAGAAACTCTTCTTCCCTTGGTGAAGAAAGCTCCATCAGCAGCCAAAACTGGTAAGAGTCTTTAAGGTGTTCGGTGATGAAATGAGTTCCTTGTTACAGAAGCCTGATTTGCGGTACTGAGGTCTGATGTCATTATGTTAATTTCCTTTGGCACAACTGGGACAGAGGCAGCAGAAGCAGGTCAAACAAATCCGAGAGCAGGCACAAAACGAAGAAACGATTCTGGTGATAACGGGAAGTCGAAACTAGCTAAGACTAGTCTTGACATGTCTGCAAGTGGGGCTTTACAACCTTGTAGCAAAGAAAGGGAAACGGAGGCCCAAACTAAGGAGTTGTGGAACCTGAAAGATGACCTGAAAAAACATGTGACAAATGCTGAGATGCGGGAAATGCTTGAAATAAATGAACAAAGTACAAGAGGATCAGAGCTTGATCTGCGGGATAAATGGTAAATTACATTGCTTAGCTAGTAAATTACTTGGAAAATGTCTTTTGTTTTATATCTGTTACTGTTGTGTGAAAATTCTTCAAAGGTAGTTTGGATTAGAGAATGCATAATCATATTCTTTACCTCTCCTTCTTGTTTCTTTTTAGTGCTGATGGCATGATGTTTGGTCCACTCGCTCTCTGCCCAACTTGCTCTGGTCATCTTTCTTTTTCGGGAGGAACTTACCGTTGCCATGGTTACATCTCGGAATGGAGCAAATGTTCTCTGTCCACTTTGGATCCAGACCGCATCAAAGGGAAGTGGAAAATCCCTGAAGAAACAGAAAATCAGTTCCTTCTGAAGGTAAATCAGTCGTCTTGTAGAGTTGATGTTGGTATGGATTAGGTTAGATTTGGTGTAGATGACATTAAGTTCATATTTATCTTCTGATTCCTTTTGCAGTGGAATAAGTCGCAAAAGAGTGTGAAGCCAAAACGTATCCTGAGCCCTATGTCACCTGGTGGAACATCTCAGAGTCAAGGTTCTATAGATGTAGCTGACTCCTCAAGGAGTGAAAAGCTGGATGATCTTAGAGTTTCAGTTGCTGGATCCACTAAAGAACGTGTACGTCCCTCCTTCAAATATTTTATTTCCCAAATTGTCTTTGCACTTCATTGCTTGATGGGAATAGGATCATATTGCAGCAAGCATGGAAGAAGAAAATTGAGGAAGCCGGTGCAGAGTTTCATGCTAATGTTAAAAAAGGTACATATTAGTATTGCACAAGGGTTTAGTTTAGACTATTGTGAACGTGGTTTTGGCATTATAATATATCTATTTCACAAATTTGCAGGTACAAGCTGTTTGGTTGTTTGTGGCCTGACAGATATGCGAGATGCCGAAATGAAGAAGGCAAGGTAAAATGGTGCCTTAAGGTGCTGCCACTTGTTTAACTCATCACACTCTTTCGCTCTCATTTTGAAAGTTGGTATTGGTATATATGTGGCAGGAGGATGAAAGTTGCAACCGTAAGAGAGGATTATTTGGTTGACTGTTTCAAAAAGCAGAGGAAGCTTCCATTTGACAGGTACAGAATCGAAGACGTTGGTGAGGGCATGGTCACTGTTAAAGTAAAAGGGCGTAGCGCTGTGCATGAAGCGTCTGGTCTCCAAGAGCACTGTCACATTCTTGAAGATGGGAACAGTATCTATAACACGACTCTGAGCATGTCTGATCTTTCAACCGGTATTAATAGTTACTACATACTCCAGATAATCCAAGAAGATAAAGGCTCAGATTGCTACGTATTCCGTAAGTGGGGTCGAGTTGGAAATGAAAAGATTGGAGGTAATAAACTGGAAGAGCTGCCAAAGTCTGATGCGATTAACGAATTTAAGCGTCTGTTTCTTGAGAAGACTGGAAACACATGGGAATCTTGGGAACAAAAAAAGAACTTCCAGAAACAACCTGGAAGATTTCTCCCGTTGGACATTGTAATTTCTCTCAAGCATCCATATCTTTTGGATTTCCAGATTCTCTTATATTCTGAAATCCTTCATAGACTATTTTGCATTTGTTGTTTCAGGATTATGGAGTTAACAAGCAAGTAGCAAAGAAAGAGCCAGTTCAGACCATTAGCAACCTTGCTCCTCCATTAATAGAATTGATGAAGATGCTTTTTGATGTGGAAACATACCGGTTAGAAACTTAATCACCATTATCTTCCTCTCCTCTCCTCTACCTCCTGTAAACGGTTTGGAGTTTTAATATCACTACTTGCGCAGAACTGCTATGATGGAGTTCGAGATAAACATGTCAGAGATGCCACTTGGGAAACTTAGCAAAGTTAACATACAGAAGGGTAACTATTCCTCGCCTACTTTTACTTTTGTTCTGATATAACTCTTAGTTCTGCAATTAAGCTATGTTTCTTTCTTATTTATTCTTCTGCAGGTTTTGAGGCATTGACAGATATACAAAAGCTATTAACTGAAAGCAACCCCCAGCCTTCTACCAAAGAAAATTTGCTTGTTGATGCTAGCAATAGATTTTTCACCATGATCCCTTCCATTCATCCTCATATTATCCGAGATGAAGATGACTTTAAGTCAAAGGTACTTGCCGTCGAACGTTAACCATGGGTTGTTTTTTTTTTTTTTTTTTTTTTTTTTTTTTTTTTTTTTATTGTGCTTGGCCTTTTTCTTCGTTACAAACAAAATATTGCATCTGTGTGTGGCAGGTGAAAATGCTCGAGGCTCTGCAAGATATCGAAATAGCTTCAAGATTAGTTGGCTTCGATACTGATAACACTGAGTCTCTGGATGATAAATATAAGAAATTGCATTGCGATATATCACCACTTTCTCATGATAGTGAGGATTATCGGTTGATTGAGAAGTATCTTAACACAACTCATGCCCCAACACATACCGTGAGTTCACTATTTCTGATTTCTCCTGTTTGCTTATCATAATTTTATAGTCATAGTTCTTCTACTTCAATTTATTGTCATTGGATTGGTCAGGAGTGGAGCCTTGAACTGGAGGACGTTTTTGCCCTCGAAAGAGAAGGAGAGTTTGATCAGTATGCTCCTTACAGGGAAAAACTTGGCAATAAGATGCTCCTATGGCATGGTAAGCCACAGTTAGATGATTTGTTATGCAAATTCAGTAAATTCTTATGATCAAATCCATTTGCTTAACCGCATTAACTCTGCTTTTCAGGTTCTCGGTTGACGAATTTTGTTGGAATTCTGAATCAAGGACTGAGAATTGCGCCTCCAGAAGCACCTGCTACTGGATACATGGTTAGTACTCTCTCCGTGCCTATGCTTGTGTGGATTTTATCAGTTGATGGCTCTTTGCAATCGAGTTAACTTGTTGGAGAATCTGAACGTCCTTAAAATCTCCTATTCAGTTTGGCAAGGGGATATACTTCGCTGATCTTGTCAGTAAAAGTGCTCAGTACTGTTACACTAGTAAGACAAACCCGGTTGGTCTAATGCTTCTGAGTGAAGTTGCGTTGGGAGATGTACATGAGCTAACAAAGGCTAAGGTGATGATCTCTTATTTGCATTTTCTAACTACGTCTAGCTATTTGATCCTTCATCTTTCTTCCTTTCTTCTTACACTGCTGTTTCTCACACGTCTACAATTCTTTTCAGTACATGGATAAACCTCCAAGAGGGAAGCACTCGACCAAAGGGCTTGGCAAGAAAGTGCCTCAAGATTCAGAGTTTGCCAAGTGGAGAGATGATGTGACTGTCCCTTGTGGAAAACCTGTTGCTTCAAAGGTCAAGGCTTCTGAGCTTATGTACAACGAGTATATCGTCTACGATACAGCCCAGGTAACTTGTTTCTCCAAACATCTTCCTTTTTTGTTTTGTGATCTCTGAAGAGTTTGCAAACACTATCCTCTTCGTGCTTGTTCTTGTTATAAATCATCAAACAAGCTTAACACTTCAGAACACAGCTTCAGCTCTTATTTTTGCAACATATACTGTGACTGATTCTTGTATTCTTTAAGTTGTGGGTGCATGTCTGACAAAGATGATGATTTGTCTCTGGACAGGTGAAGTTGCAGTTCTTGTTGAAAGTGAGGTTTAAGCACAAGAGATGAGCCCCAAACCACACCGGAAGGCATAACCTTTTGTAGCTAGATGACTTTTGGGAGATGAAATCCAACATGAAGACGTAAAAGCTTTGTACTTTGTAGTTGTATATCGTTTCAAAACACACTACACTGCATTTTGTTTGCTTTCTCTTAGTAACCACTCTTTTTCATCTTTAGGCTTAAGACTACTTGTTTAGATCTAATGTTGTTTCCACTAAAACTCATCAAAAGGTCGACAGAAGAGAGAAAAATGGTAGGCTAATTCGATCTCTGAGATACAAAACAGTGAAAACATTGAAAGATCGATGGTAAATAAGATCCTAGAAGAAAAGGCAAATTACAATCGCTCACAAGTCAAGTCACTGGAGACCATGGAAACATCACTTCCTGGAAGCTAAGAGATTCATTTGAGCTACTAAGCGTCTCATTGTGATCCATGGACGTTGGTGCAACATCACTCATCTGGTTAAGGTTGAAGTCCGAGACTACTTGGGGCACAACTTGAGCCAAAACCTTCCCTTGCTCCTCTTGACGGGACTTCCTTGAAGCTTCTTCTCTAAGAAGGGCCACTTGTGCTTGTAGACTAACAACCTTTAACACACAGACACAAAGCAAATGAAACAGCTTGTAAGCACACTAGGGATGATTAAGCCCAAAAAAAAACCAAGATATACATTTTCGAGATAAATAAGCAAAATTTTGTATTTCGAAAAAGAACAGTTTTTTTTTGCAATTTCATGAACAAATCATTGGAAAAATATGATAAGAGAGAAAAAAAAAATAGAAAAACCTGTTGGTGGAGGGAGAAGATTTGGGAGACGGAGCCGTAAATAGGGTCACGGAGACGAGAGTGAGCCTCGTAACAGAGGGATCGTACGGCGTCGCATCGGTCATGCTCAGGGAGACGAGAGATGAGCTTAGAGAAGTTGCTGGCTCCAAACACTTTGTGCACGGCTGCGAAATTAGAGGGTCCTTCTGCGTTGCAGAAGTAGGGCGCAAAAACACAAGTTTCGACGCATTTCCGACGCAGGTACCTGCATGCCGCACATGGCGTACGCGAACCTCTCATTTCTCTGAGATTTTTGATTGTATTTCTCTCAGTGATTTTTTACACTCCGATTCTTATAGGAGACTTGGAAGCGTCTAGGGTCGGTTTAGGGATGCTTATCTATTAAGCTACAGCTGTCAATTTAGTGAGTCATCGCATAGGGAGGAGAGAGTCGGGAATCTGTTAATGTGGAGCGCCTCCTCTTGCTTTCTCCTTAACGTTATTTGCAGGTCCGTACGTTGCTTTATGAACAACCGTTGTTGCTGTTTTGTCTTATTCTTCAGTTGTTTCGTGGGCTTTGCGACTGGGCCTTGCACAAGTTGGACTTTAGTTACCGTCTTCTTTTCAGAGCCCAAACTCTCTGTTTTGGTGTTGTGTACTTGTGTCACTTCACACATCAATGACTAGTTTAGTGACGATTATTAAAACTTGGTTGCTTAAGGGAGTAATATTTTTCTGTTATTTTTTAACAGTCGAAATCTAGTACTTTCACTTTCAGTAAATAAAAAATGAATTGAACCATTTATTTGTACTTTTCACATAAACGATTTTTCCTTTTAATCTTATTTTTCATTTTACTTAACCATTCTCTTTTTAATCTTGTTTTTCCAACATGATGACGTAGGGATTGTGTCTGGTCTTAAAACATAGTACAGTACTACACTTTTGTAGACTAGATTTAGGCATTTTCAGATCTAATGTTGTTTCTACTAATTAAGGATCATCAAAAGGTCGATAGGAAAGAGAAAAAATGGTAGGCTGATTCGGTTTCTGAGGTACAAAACATGAGATAGTAAAGAAGTTCTAGAAGAATGTCCAATCGCTCATAAATTAGTAAGTTGTGACCATGGAAACATGACTTCCTGGTAGTAAAGAGATTCATTTGAGCTACTAAACGAGTCATTGCGATCCATGGACGTTGGTGCAACATCACTCATCTGGTTAAGGTTGGAGTCAGAGACTACTTGGTGAAACCAACTTTGAAGATCATGGGGCATATCTTGAGCTACAACCTTTTCTTGCTCTGTATAATCCTCTTGTGGGAACTTTCTAGAAGCTTCCTCTCTAAGAAGGACCACTTGTGCTTGTAGACTAACAACCTTAACACACACAAGCAAGTGAAAGCAACTTTTAAGCACACTAGAGATGATGAAGGTTAAAGAAAGAAAAATCATCTATTAATCATATAATTAAGCGAAAAATAGAAGAATATGATAAGAGGAAAAAGAAACCTGTTGCTGGAGGGAGAAGATTTGGGAGACGCAGCCATAAATAGGGTCATGGAGGCGAGACTGAGCCTCGTAAGAGATGGTTCGTACGGCGTCGCATCTGTCATGATCAGAAAGGTGAGAGATGAGCTTAGAGAAGTTGCTGGCTCCAAACACTTTGTGAATGGCTGCAAAATTAGAAGATCCTTCTTCGTTGCAAAAGTATGGTGCAAATACACAACCTTCTACACATTTCCTACGCAAGAACTTGCATCCTCCACATGGCGAACCTAAACCTCCCATTTCTCAAAATGTAGAAAATTTATGAATAACCAAATATTATCCAGGTGGGAGATTAATACTACTAATGACGACTATATATAGTGCATGCAGTTTTTATGCAGACGGTAAGAGTAAAGGAATAAGGTGGGATTTATTTATTATATTAACTCATTTTGTTATTTTACGTATTTGTCTCTCTAATGGCGTACAATTACAAAATAAAAATAAAAAACTCCCTCAAGTTTATATACATTGTAATATATCTCGTTTTTTATATAACTCTTTATAATATGTTATTGTGTTTAAACATTTTGAGGAGGATAGAATTTTGGAAAATATTTGAGATCCGATCGATTAAGAGATTTGGGTGACGTATAGGACAAAACAATGAGTAAACATAAACCAAACCCATTTTGCTTTTTGTTTTGATTGGTACAGATACTTATGTGGTTCTATATCTTTCTTTTATTCATTATTTACTTGGTTGTTTTTCTTATATATGATTTAGAGGATACTTTTACTGATAGTAATTTGGTACGATTGAAAGTGAGATATTGACCATTCCTGAATTTTGAAAAAAAATCGAGAATTAATAGTGCTCAACAGATTATTTGAAAATTTGACGAACTTGAACTACACAAAGGTTGATACTAGTAAACAAGTTATATCTTAGGGGGTGATTGGTTGTGGCTGTGGAAGCTGTAGAGAGCAAAAATAAATTCTAAAGCCAAATAGATCACCAATCATGCTCTATACTTTTTCTTTAAAACCTACAGCCTTCTTTCATTTCTTTCATTTTTTCTTCCTTTTTTAGTTTTGCAGAGCAAAATGTCTAGAGCATAATTTTAAAGGCTCTGAATTTATTTTTTCTCTCTCTTTCATTCTTTCCAAATATATTATTTTTTTCTTTACTTTTTTTTCTTATTATTATTTTCCATATTTACCTATTTCCTTTTTTACTAAAATCCTGCAATCAATATCCTAAAGCAACAATTTTACAGCCACAGCCATAAAACATAAAGCAAAAACTCTACAGCAAAAAAAATAAGCTAGAGCAACAACCAATCACCCCCTTAATAGATTTTCACCATTTGCTGCTCTCAGTATCGAACAAACTTTACAGGCTAGGAAAATAGAGACCCATGATTATACAGCCCACATAACAATCATGATTATCGACAAAAATATTCCTTTTAAGTACAAAAGTTGAATGATTCGAAAATAATGAACAACTGATAGTGGATTTATGACTTAGTGGTGGTTTAGTGAACTACTCCTAATATGGTTCGTGCTGTTTATTTTATAACAGAGATCCTGTTGTTTGCACTTGTTTAATATGATTACGACTCTACATACTTTTTGATTATAACTTAACTGTATATATAAATCATGTACATAAGTTAAGTTAATTTTTATTTCTGTTGAATGTTAATTACTTGCTTAAAACCGTGAAGTTTATTACTGAAAAACATGTAGTTTATTTTTGAATTTTCCGTTCGTGCTAATCGTTTATCAAAAAAAAAAAATTCCGTTCGTGTTTCTATTGATACTTTGCAAATCTTAATTGACTAAAACATGTTGTGTGTTGCATTTGAGACAATGGTTCTAAACGGTTGACATATTAAAATGGTGCTAATAGCTTTGATATTTTTCTATACACCAACTCTCTAATTTTTCATTTTCTTTTTGTAACCGAGGTAGATTATGGATCGAATCGACACTAAGTTTGCCATTCGAAAACTTTTATAATAGTCAAGAGATATCACAAACAATTTTCGTAAATTGTGGGATTTGTTCTCAAGCTTAGATGTATGTGGCGAGTCTTCTTCTGCTTAAACAAACCACACGCGCTCTTGCCTCTTGGATTTATTATAATTTAACGTGAAATACAAATACTAATGGACACATTTTGCAATCTCATTTGTCTTTTAACGAACCCAAACATTGGATTTGAGACAATGTCAAGCTCAACCGTTGCCCATAACTTTTCTAGCTAGTCGTTAAAGATTAAAGACACAACATTTTGTAATTCCTTAACTAATTAGCAAACCTTTAAAGATTCACAAAACTGTCAATAAAGCTTTCAAGAAGTCAAAAACAAGATTGCAATGAATAATGAATGTCCATTACAGTGCAATCTGCAAATTACATGTACATATACTAATAAACCCCAACCAGGGTTAGGCATGAGAAGAAAAGATCATGAAAGCCAAAACGCTCAGAAGAAAGTGTGTTCTTCCATGTTAAAAGGCTTCAACAGCTCTATATTGTGATAGGATGAAACCCGATTGGTTAGTCAACTGCTTTGGAATCGTTAGAAGAAGAGGCCTCACCAGACTCAGAGTGTTCATTGTTATGATCATGATCATGATCATGGTGATGGTGGTGGTCGTCGACGTGCTTGGACAAGGCTAGTTGGTAGAGGTAGTCATGAGGCACTGCTAAGAGAACATTATTGTAGCATGAATAATTAACCGTTGCCGACCTTCGAAGATGAGAAGATTTAACCAGTGTGCTACAACGGAACTGTTGCAAATTCTTACAGCGGAATATAATTGTGGCATGAATAATTAATTCATACTTCGAAGATGATAGATGAACTGACTGTCGAAGATGAGAAGATTTAACCAGTGTGCTACAGCGGAACTGTTGTAAATTGTTACAGCGGAATATTATTGTAGCATGAATAATTAATTCATATTTCGAAGATGATAATGTCAAAAAAAAAAATCCGTAATGCGGGTTTTATAATTTATTGTTTTACAGAAAATTAAATAACAAAATCTTATCCCTTCTAAAAATAAGTAAAATTAGAAAACTGCATATTATAAATTATATTTTTTTGCATTTCCTTAAATTTAATAACTAATCAGAGTTATTTTTCAAATAAAACTTAGGGGACTTATTGAATTGATAATTTAAAGGGGTTTGGATATAAAATGATTTATAGAAATTTTAAAGGATTTTTGAGATCCACATATATAAATTCTTAAGTGATTATATGTGATTTCAAGAGATTTAGAAAACAAAACAAAAAATACTTTTTAATTAAATAAGTGCATCAATGTTTTAGCTTCGTGATGAGACCAATGAAGGTATGGAATTTTGCTTTTGCCTTCTTCTCCATCTCCCATTTTCTGTGTGAGAGATAACTATCCAATCAATTTAATATTATCATGAAAATTATCTAGAACGTTGAAAAAACCCCAATAATAACAAACATAATGATATAGTTCAATATCAAAAATAAGTTTGAACAGAAATCATTCATAAAAACAACAAACACAAATGATAGAGACAAGAAATTTTTCATTTTTGTTCTTAGAAAACCTAATACTAACTTTTCTTTTGTAAAGTGTGTTGTGTTTGGAAATCGGCACACTATCTATTTATATTTAATTAATAAACAAGAGTATAATCTCAAACAGTTCTTATATTTTTTGTTATTATCAGTGATTCAATATCGTAAAAATCTGCAGTGTAATTGTATCGTGAATGACAAAAACAAGGGGGAATAGGAGGAATTCAATTGTTTATTTATTCAAATCTCATCCCATAAGGTGGTATTTGAATCTGTTTATTTTTAACTAAAATTATCTCACAAATCACTCAAAACAGTTTTTGATAGATTTTGACATTTTGTTAATGAAATCACAGTTTTTCCAATAAGGTGAGATTTTAAAAAATTTATATAAATGATCAATCCAATAACCTTAGATTTTGAATGATTTTTATAAATACTACATCCAATAAGAGGTGATTTGAGAAAAAAAAAAAGATCATCTCAAATCATCAATTCAATAAGCCCCACTTAGTTGAAGAACATGTTGAGAAATAAATTGCTTCTCGTGTGCTCTCTGATAGGGAAAAACGATATGGAGTCGAGGCATTCATCGACTTTGAAGAGGCCGTGCACAGTTTTCCCGTGGCTGGAATCCATTTGCCTAACTTTGTTTCGAGGCTCGAAACGGCGATTCAGAAGGTTTTCCGGAACTGGAATTATTATCTGATAGGGTTGAATGGAGTTGGAACGTTCAGTGCCTTCATTAATCACAATGTGACAGGGTATGATATGGCATTGGGGGCGGGAGTAAGGTACAAGCTGGTCGACATCAAATCACAAAGTAACTTAAAATGTGCGACTCCCGGCTATGTTATGCATTTGGAGAGCCAAGTCTTCTGAAAAGAGTCCACCCGAACACATTTTTCTTTTGTTTTCTTTCGTAAGTTGTTTTTTCTTTATTATTTTTAATTACATTCTCAATTATTTATTTCTTAGTTGAATTCAATTCTATTGGAGAAATCAAATCAAATCATGTTGATTTTGTAAATATACTGCCATGGATTTTAAAATCTAATAACAAATCATATATATACCTATAGATTGTGAACTGAATAATAAGATGAACCAAAATTTTAAAAATCTAATGTATTTCAAATCGGTTGGAGTTGATTCTAATATATCTAACCAATAATTAGAGTTTGACTTCTAATGATAATTAGATGTGTTCTGTGCTGCGCTTATTAGCTATCTTCTAATGATAATTAGATGTGTTATGTGCTATCTTCTATTGCTTATTGATATGTAATGATATGTAAGACGCTTTAAGTAAAACTCTCTTTTGTTTATTCATATTGAACACCATTCCCATTCCCTTTTTATTTTCGTAAACTATTGCTTGAATACTGCCGCAAACAATCTAAGTGTAGCTGATGCGATGCTGAGGAGAATTGATATTTGAGAACCAATGCTAGGCAAGATTGAGGTATTCGATTCTGGATTCTGAACCAATTACTTCTCTTCACAGCTCCAAAACTACTCTGGTTCCATTTATGTGTGTATGACTTGGTGTTAGGCCATTGTGAATTTTGATCTTGAAATAACGATGGAAATGTGATTCTACTGAAGTCATCTCTGCTGGATATTATCAAGGTTAGTGACTGTGCGTTTTCCATGTTGCAGGAACTAGCTAAGGCTGTAGCAAAACAGCCTGGAGACCTCTCTGTTATATCAGTGTTTAGTGATTCCTTAACTAATTAGCAAACCTTTAGTGATTCACAAAATTGTCAATAAAGCTTTCAAGAAGTCAAAAACAAGATTGCAATGAATAATGAATGCCCATTACAGTGCAATCTGCAAATTACATGTACATATACTAATAAACCCCAAACCAGGGTTAGGCAGGAGAAGAAAATGTCATGAAAGCCAAAACCTTCAGAAGAAAGTGTGTTCTTCCGTGTTACAAGGCTTCAACAGCTCTATATTGTCATGTGATGAAACCCGATTGGTTTAGTCAACTGCTTTGGAATCGTTAGAAGAAGAGGCCTCATCAGACTCAGAGTGTACATGGTTATGATCATGATCATGGTGATGGTGGTGATGGTCGTCGTTATCTTCTTCTTCGCTGTCATCCTCATCAAAGGGCTTCTGTTTGTGAAAGATGCAACATTTCTTAGAACTCTTCTTCTGCATGAACTCGTTGTCCACGGTCCCGTCTTTCCATGAAACCGTCTTCTTCTTCCGGTTTAGCCGAAGCACTAGTCTTTCTGTGGGTTGTGATTGGGGAATAGGGTTTTCTAGGATGACAGAGGTTGTCGCTGAAGAAGAAGGCCTTGTAGCTGTGCTCATAGCTTTTGCTTTTGATATCTGCATTGGGAGACAAAAAATAAAATGATCAAATTCTTTGGTTGCTCAAGACTTCTTTTTTTGTTCTAGATTCAATATCCTATGAGGAACAAGAACATAAAAGACTAGTTCCTAATGGTAACAACATGCTTAAACGTACAAAATATGAGATTGATGAAAAGTCCAAAGCTGATAAATAACTCTGCAGGAAACTCTTGAAGCCTTTATTCACAAGAAGCAAAACTTTCACAATATGTAAGAGATGCAGGGAACAGAGTGAAGCCTAGATGATTTCACAGCAAGTGTTTAGCTTGCATTTCATGTCTTGGAAACATGTTTCATTAGGAAACTTAACCTTAAATTGGATTGACCCACAAAATCGTGAAACCATAACGTAGAAAGACATATAAGAGCAGACAAACAAAGGTACGAATGCTCTGGATCGGCGTCAGATGAGACAACGAGATCATATATCTAACCCTAAATTCAAGATCCGAACCTAATCACTTTTAATTCTATGAGATTTTCGACGAACACAAAATAGCCAAATTCTAGCGTTCTCATCGACGATTTTAAATTGCGCATCAAATAGCCAAATTCTGCAGTAAAATTAGGTCTCTCCCAGGTTGATTTCGAACGATCCTATCTGGTATCGATCGCTCGAACAGCTCAAAGCAATAGGAAACCCTAAGTCTACCAAAACAAGAGATTCAAAGAAGAAAATCGAAAGCAAACCTTGAAATCCTTTGTTCTTTGATCGCCCGAACTATTCGAAGTTCCAAGGAGGAAGAAAGAGAGGCTCCTTTGTTGAATGAATGAAAAAGTCTGGGAGATGCAGTATAACAAAGGTCGAAGCTTGATACCAAAAAAAATTATAAAGTTTTCAGTTATTTTAAGGAAAATGAAATTTGATTTGCCATTGGAGCAAAAATACGAACAAACACATTCTGTCTTTCACATACCATCCCGTCGATCTATTTACCATCCGACGCCGTTTGGCTGACTTTGGAATCTGGAGATCTCAATTTGAGAGAAGAGACCGTCTCCAAGGTAAGGTTTTTACAGATTCTCCACGAGAAAGTGGAGACCAGGCTCGTTGTAATATTTTGAAGTGGTTCATTTTGTTGTACACTAACACTACATTTTCCCACAGACGTGAATCTTATTGTCTTAAATGATATAAGTAAAATCAAGAAGAGCAAAATCTGCTGTTGCTTAACAGACAACAAACATTTTGGTAATGTATCCTCCAATCATTCTCACTTATTGCGAAATTTAACTACTGCCTTTGTTCTAAGCAACTCCCAAAAAACCTATAACTATATAAGTTTTGTAAGCATCAACTAGAGTTGTGTAACTCAGAAGCAGATATGTCTTCATTTCCAAGATCATTCCTTTTCGTCCCATAAGCAATAAAGTTGACGCTTATGTCCTCTGACAACAACCATCTTCCGGTTAACGGGTTGTACACGAATCCAGCCATCTCTTTCACCTGCAATCCACAGTTTCCTGGTTTATCATTTCTACCACAATGTAGCACATAGATAAACAGATGAAAAATCTTTCTTCTTGCAATCATTTGTTTACATGGAGAGACGTGTAACTTTTTTTTACTATTTCAGTCCGCTTAAGATTCGTTACTGAGATAAAACATGGGCGTTATTGAAGGAGGAGGGAAGTAGCTTACATCGATTGAAGCACGGTGTAATATCATAGTAAGTTCCTCAGGAGTTAGAAAGCTTGACCACTGGTGTGTGCCTTTAGGAAGCTGCAGGTGATTCATTATACAAACAACAAAACGTGTAAGAGAACAACGCATCTCACCAAAATGGTGTTAACAGAAGATAAAGGAGGTAAAGATTTACCCAATGCAGAATATACTCGGCTGCAACGATGGCAGATGCATATGATCGCATAGAGCGATTGATTGTAGAAACTATAGTGGCCCCATTGGGGATTGTCAATGCTGACAACGACTTGCAGAATTCTGCAGGGTTTGCTACATGCTCAATGACCTTCATTTTAGAAATCATAAATATTACCATGAAGTTATATGAGAAGACAGAAATGGAACAGTACATATATAAGAAAAGGTACCTCTAAGGCAAGAACAGCATCAAACGTCTTCCCTTCGTCAACTAGCTTTTCTGCGCAAGAAAATATTGAGTACTACTTAAGCATGGGAGAGGCAACAGAGAATCAGCTTATGTAGAAGAGTGCAACTTTCATTGATCATCATCTAAGATTAGTTTTAAAAAATACCTGCTGTAGTACAATGGTATTCAATACTTGAAGTCACCGGATCTATATCCTGCAGAGACATATATAAATATATAATTGATATGCAACAATGAATAAATGTTAAGATAGACAAGGGGTTTCATGAACTCTAGTCCTATGCCAAATGTGAAAACATGTTCAATCATTCCAACTGCTGCCAACCTTTACAGGACTGAAGTGTAGAGTTTGAATATGAAAGTATACGAGAAAACTACTTCATCATATGGAGGACACAATTGCAAATGCCAATACAGCCAGTGTTTAAGTTATCTGTATAGTCAATAATTAATTAAGAGACCTTACAGCATGAAGACGAGCAATTTTGACATTCTTGTCAACAGCATCAATTCCTGTGACAGTTGCTCCCATCCGTGCTAGAGGCTTCAAACACAAAAACAACAACACCTCGGTCATTCCTAGTGTAATCTCAAACACACACAAAGACAAGGCAATGGTAGATCTTTATATCTAACAACAATGTCATTCCAAGAGACATTACCAAATTCAGAATTTGCTCAGAATCTAGACTGGTATCGTGAAAGGAGAAATGCAAAAAAATCAAAAGAAACTAAGGAAATACCGGAACTCATGAAAAAAGAATACCTCAGAAAGTAGTCCGCCGCCACAACCAACATCAATGAGTCTAAGTCCTTCAAAAGGCCTAGCAGAACTCGGATCCTTACTGAGAAGAACAAAGTCAATCCAACAGAGAAGGATACAAAGATGAAAGGAAAACAAAATGATGTAACAAGAAATGCACCTGAAATGTCTGCATAAGGTGGAGCGTATGAAAGCCAAGCGAGTTGGATTCATTAGATGCAACGGTTTAAAGGGTCCTTCAGAATGCCACCTTCAATATTAAGAGCACAGAAGAATCAAATCATGTTAAGCCTTTAGCTTTGAGAATTCCATGAACAGATCTATCGAGTCAAGCAAGTAAATGAGCACACTTCCAAAGCCTTTTACCTTGAATTTACATTGTCGCTTACACATAAGAAGATTCAATAGCATGAAGAAATTATTTTTATAATGGATAAGCTATGAAAACAAACCCAGTTGTTCAACGAGAATCAACATCGATTTCAATCGATAAAACCAAATAATTTTATGTTCTAAGCATTAAAACTACCAAGCATCATCTGAATTTTAATTAAACGAGAAAATATTTAGCCTGAGACGAACCAGGAATCAGCAATGGCAGCGAATTTGGCAAGTTCATCTTCCTTGAGAGAAGACAGTGTACTTGTGCTTTTACTGGCGGAAGAAGATGCCGAGGAGGAAGCATCAGTAACTGAGGTCGAAAACGGCTGACGGTGAAGAAAACACGTCGGAGGTATGATTGGGGGAGACAAGCGACGAGCAGAGAAAATAAACCTTTGAAGTCGATTCATTAGACACAAATGGCGATGAATGAAAAGAGCAAACGAAAAAAGAAATCGCAGTTTGGTTTGTGAAAATACAAAAGGGAATTAAAAAATCAGAGATTTATGAGATATGATTAAGCGAAATCACAAGGAAGTGCAGCTTCAGATCAGTAAAGAAGAAAATTGACGGCAAGAGAGAGAGAAGCAAACCCAGAATATGTAAAAAAGCTCGTTGAATGTTGTTAATGGAGAATTTTTAAGAGACTCTGGAAGATATAGAAGGTCCCAAACGAGTACAGAAAACAAACCTTCAAAGTATATTCAAAGGGTCCATTGTCCAAGCTCCAAAGCAAACAAAATGCAAATTATAAACACAACTCTGTATCGTTCCAATGTCATCGGATGTCCCCGAAGAAACAAATCATAAATAAACACACTCACAAATGTAATCCCTTAAACAAACAAAAAGAAAAAAAAGAAAAAAAACCCTCACAAATGCAAAAACACACTTTTAACAACAATATTTTATACCTAAAACCCCAAACAAACAAAACCAGTATTGCAGAGTCGCATCAACACTGTACAAGCACACAGCATTCTCTGTTTATCATCATCTATACGAAAAGTCTGCAACCAAGGCTGCTGCTACCGCTTGCCATTGGCCTTTGGCTGGAATATTTGCACCAGAGACCACAAAATGTCCATCCTCTGCATTACTTTGTTGTTTTGGCCCTGCCAATTAATATCATCACCATCTCGATATTGTCACTTGTATATGTTACAGTAATCCAATGTTCAAGCAAAACCGAGGAAGTGTAAATTCAACTCCTACCTCAACTACAAAGCATATCCATGTTTTCTCGCCCTGAGGCTCGGTGATGCCTCTTAGAATGATGAGGTCCAAACTCTTAATCACGTTTGCTATCTCAAGAAAATGGCTGCATTCTTCACATAACATCTGTCCAAAACCCAAAAATAGTTTCAAACTAAGAATTGGATACACACCAACAGATTTTGGGACTCGAGTTCAAAAATATTAAACTAAACCAAAGAAAGATGACACACCTCGATAAGCACCATCCCCTGCTTGTTCAGATTCTCCACGATAATCGAACACACTTGAAGATGGCCTCCAACCTCCACTGCGCAGCTTGAACCTTGCATGCCAGTTTCCTTTTGTTGCATCTGAGATTACAAATGTATAAGCTATTATTTACTCACACGTTTCTGTATTCTCCATGTTCTTATTCTATCTTCTCATTAACGGATTCAGAAAATTGACCCGCAGAGATTATAAGTGTTGAGAAATCTGACTTTTTACCTTTGTATTAGCACTTTTACTGAGCTTGTCAGCATGCTTAGTAACATTCTGCAAAAAGAGCATGTGCTTGATCGTGCGTTCTAGCAGAGAATCGATACTGCACTGTGAAATATGACAACAATATTAGCAAATAGCAAAAATCTGTTACAGCTTCTAGAAACAGAAACTAGCATTACTGGCAACTTTATCCAACTTAAAACACTAAACTCAACAATGGTGCAGATAACCTTGTAGCTAGGAAGAGAAAAGTCACCTTGGATCCATTAGGAACAAGTTCTCTAAGTTCCTTGATTCGATCCTGAATGAGCTGTCTGTCTCTTGGTCGAGGCCGAGAACTTTCACCAGGTTTAGCCCTCTTTTTGTTCTTCTTGGGCATCTCCAGGGATGTCTGAAACTGATCACTTGAGGAGCTTGGACACGTGGATGAGAACCCAATGGAAGAAAATGCTCCACAGATATCTGATGGATTCTGTTGGGTTTCCACCTCTGCTGGTGGCAGCTGATTCATAGCACTACCGATAATATGTTTCCCTTGATTTGAAGGTTCTGCAATGTCCATGCTGGTAAGCAATGACTGTACCGATCTGCTCGAGAATATATCATCCCTGGCATTGCCTTCGCTATGACACACATTAGCAACCACAGCATCTAGAAGATTCTCAGGCCCAGAGTCAAATGTGAGTTGGCTATGACTCATATCATCTGTTGGACTTATTCTTGATCCATGTTCAGACTTCATTAGCTCCTCATGACCAGTGCTCGTTTGCTTGAAAGCAGTGCCTAATGCCTCTAGCAGCTCGCTCCCAGCAAAAGCATATCCAGATGAGATCACATCATCAAACCGAGTTGGCTCACATCTCCTCTCCAGTATACGCTCAGGCTCTTTTAGGTATTTACTTCCTTGGTTTTCAGATAGTTGGAACACTTCATTTTGGTAAGAATTCAAATACTGATGTAAACTAGGATCTAATCCTCTTGGATCTTTGCAGCCACTAGTCATCCCCACGTCAGGTGCATCGCTGTTTATATTCGTACCAACTTGATTCTCATGTCTGGCATCAACCAAGTCAACTGGAAAGCCAAACGTGACACCACTATAGCTCCCACACGTAGATCCTTCCACAAGTTCATGACCACCCATTACTTGAGCTGCCTTCTCCGTTAGATGACATGAAGAAGGAGTATTGCAAGGCGTCTTATCATTTCTTCTTAGAATATTTGACTCTTCCACATCCATCACTTTGTCCACTTCTCCAGAGCAATCAGGGAAAGCCTTGACATTTAAACAATCATAAGGTATTTTTGGCTGCAACAAAATTAGACAACACATCATGTTCCCACTCAGGAAGTCGATTGAGATTGTTAGAAGAAACCTAAGCACTCTACTCTCTGCATTTCACAAATAAAGAGAAATCTGGACAAAAATCCATATTTGTATGAAGAAGATCTTTACCAGACACAACGAATTGTTCATATTACATTGCATTAGATTTGCTGCGTGATCTGCCACTGCCAGTGGATCCTTAAGTGCCAAAAACATATGTCGGACATGATTCACCAAAGCCAAATCTTCGTCAATCTGCTCCACACAAACACACAATCCAGATACGTTCATATGTGTCATACATTATATAACTGCGCAGGCTAACGTCCTGGCTATAATTTTGTAACTGCGAACACTGCATCCAATTATCAGATCTTACTTACTTTACGCAAAGAGCCTAGCTGCAACACTCCACAGGGACCAACAGATACAACAAGAATGGTCTGCGGAGAAGGAAGAACACATATTATAAAAAGAAAGTCTTCAGTGGCAAACTGTGAGGAAGTCCTTGAAATTCATGTAACAGAGAACATAAAAACAGAACACTAATGAAAAATCTCAAATACCTTAATTCCAGCAGATATCTGACTCTCCCAAACGTTATGAAACTGTAATTAGAAAAAGATATATGGTTTAACAAGACGAAACATATAGTAGAAAACAATTTAAGATAAGAACTTTCTCACCTCAAATGCTGTGTGACAGTTGTCATAGTATTCAGGGAATACCCATTGATGTTCTCCAGAAACTGCAACTTGTCCTACAATCCTGTTAACATAGGCAAAAATCATGATAAAGAAAAATGTCATTTTTGGCATCATTCAGAGATAAATTCAACAAGATCCAAGATTCCCAAGGCAAGACAAAAGATTAACATGATGTAGCTAATGTCAAAGAAACAAAGAAGAAAAAAGGGCACACTAAACTATAACAGCCAAATGCTAGCAATTGTCATTTGAATTTTTTGAGATAACCATGAAAGTCTGATTAAATTTATGAAGTCAAGGAAGAGTGCATTTAGCAAGCAATTTATTTTTACCCTTCCCCTAGAGAGTAGACATAATAAGCCATCTTCGCCACAGCTAAACCCAGGGGGTCATGAGCTTGATCTCCTCCTCCATCCACGTTTCTCGGTATAACGTTGAAACCCTCAACTTCCGGTGAGTCATTCGCCCCATGATTGTCATAATAAGCATCCTCCAAGGTAAGTACCCTACAAGTGTTCAATATTTCTAGTAATGAGAAACTATTTACTCAATTAAACTCAAATCTCATACAGAAATAGAGTGCAACAGTCCATACATACTAAACTCTTCAAATAAAGACTAAAGATATACTTAAACAATGATTGTTAACTTAAGGCTGCGTTCCATATAAGACTATACATCTCTTAAACATCAACAACTATAATGAAGTTTAGAGGACTCACATTCGAGAACGATGATGAAGTTTCCAGAACACAGCATACTTCCAGTCCGTGTTAGAGCAAAAGCTCCTCAGTGTCTCTTGAGAAGCAGAACCCATTCTAAAGAGCAAAGACTCAAATCCTCGCCTCTAATCAAGACGGACAGAGACGAGAAAACTCTCCAAACTCTCCAACCCGTTTCTTTGATTCTTTTGTAAGTTTCGAAAAATAAAAATCAGTCTGTTTACAATTTCTCTCCCACACACCCCAAAAAAAAAAAAACGTTTTTTTTCTTCTTCCGTTCGATTAGCTACAAAATGACTAGCTACCTCTGTAGGAACCTCTTCCAGCTTGTTCCCTTCGCAAACCAGCTCTTGGATTTATCGGCGGACCTACTTCATCCTGTGATATTTGCCTCCTACCCATCCCTTTCCCCAACATAAAACTTGAATCGGATTGAGAAAAACCCCCCTAAAGGAAACGAATTTAACCCTAGCTCAGAATTAAACACCGGAAAAATTAAAACTTCAAACACTTGGAAATGGAAATGGAAATGGAAATGGAAATCGAGATAGATCTGCTGCAGCTAGTCGCCATCTGAGATATCGCGATTCAAATTCAAAGCGAAAGAAGATGAAGAGGATGAAGAAGAAGAAGAAGAAGCTCAGCTCGAAAAAGAAGCAGAGAGAGAGAGAGAGTGTAAGAAGAGAAGAGTTTAGCTTATGTCAGAAGACATTTGGTTCTGTTGAATGGCTGATTTCAGCATAATCTGCATCACACTCAGAAAAAAACTTACAATCTCAGCCGAGAAATCCGCCGGAAAAGGAAAGAAATGAGAGAGAAAGAGAGAGGCAGAGGCTAGTAGTGAAAAGACGGTTCCTTTTTTTAAAGGGAGAAGAAGAAATCAGGTAAGCGGGCGAATCACGCACCATGCTCATTTTAGCAACCAAAGATGATCAATCGTGCGCTGGTATGCGCATGTTAGGGAGGTAGTGGGATGGTGTGTGTGTGTGTGTGTGTGTGTGTGTTTGAGGGATTTTATTTGCAAAACTTTCAGTAGATAGGATCTCTCTACTCCTATTTGTAATGGCCAGCAAAATGATTCTCCAAGTGAATTTTTGCTTCCTTCTTACAGTTTCTTTTCTTTTTACCTCTTAGTTTTCCTTTAAAACAAAATATTGCATTTTTCACAATTTTACTGTGTGTTTAACTGTTTCTATACAACTCCATCGACATGTATTTTGTTTGTATGCAAACATACTGTAAACCGAAATCAACCATGATTGAGATGGCAGGGAGAGAATTTGAACTCTAACCTTTTTTTAGATAACTTAAGATTCAACTACTATGAATTGGTTAATATCACAGAATTTGACTATAGATAGTTTAGATATTGTGAGTTCATGAGATGATTTTCTGAAACAGTTATGCCAATTTTTAAATGAATGAATTTGTGGATATTCAGCTTTTGTGAAAGAATAAAAAAACATGATTTCATTTGCCAATATAAAGAGGAAACATATTGGACTTTATAACCTGTCCATACATATTCTCACATTAGGATTAAAAACACTGTTCCTTTTATTTCCCTTTTTGTATTGTCAACAAAAATCCAATCCCTTTTTCATACTCACTCATTTTGTCTTGTTTACCATAATAATCTCTGAACAAAGGAAATACCCTTTGAATTATTAATATGCTGGCCTATCTCATTTTTGGTTGCGGGTCCATTTATATAGCCAAAATTCACATAACTAATTATCATATATTTTGTGCCAATGACTTAAAATCTCCTTTAAATTGTTTTATAAGGTTTATAAAATTTAAACGCAAGTCAAACAACGAAGAACATCCAATACTAGAGTAGGATCTTCAATCGGAAAAACAAAATAATCCAATCTAACATTATTTAGAAAAGCAAACAAAATATTGATACGATGTTTTGTTTTTCTTCGCCATCCAATAACCTAAGACCAATGCTAATCCAAACCAAAAAAGAAAGTTAAGAGACCAAACGAACACGTTTTGTTAAAATAAAGAGTCCAAGTTGTTTTGTTAAAATAAAGAGTCCAAGTTAATTTCAATAGACGTATACGAACAAAATCTTTGTAAATCTATGTAGCTTAGCAATTTATAAGAGTTTTATTTTGTCGACCATGCCATCACTTCATTAACAACCCAAGGGTTAAGACTTAAGAGTATTTTGGAATGTGTATAACTATAACTTGAGTTTGAGTTGAGTTCCACTTAGAGATAAAAAATGATGATGTTTCACTATTGATTGCTCATTATATTTTATCAAGAGGGCTCTTATTATATGCTCTCATGACTTGTTTCCATCAATGTGTTCTAATGCAACGCACCAACTCAACATCCCTTTCCCACTTTCCATCATTTTTATCTTTTACTCCTTTACCTGAATTTCAATTAAGCAGCCATATTTATATATTATCCGTCAATTTATAATCATTATTCCTTTTTTTTTGCCTACTTTAGATTTTTCGTCAGTTATGCCAATTGTAAAATTCTCTAAACAATAAAATTATTCTAATAGTTTCTATTAAAATTGTATCATTAGGTATACATATTTATTTTACTTTTTAAAACGGAGGACAATTAAATAAAAATATTCATGCCATCGTCGCTGCCATTTAAGCAAGTCAGTGAGATTACTAATTAAAGAATGTTCGAAGAAAACCCTCCATAACACCCATGCCGTCGTCATCTCCCGTTAGTAGTATTTTTCGTAGCCACTGTGACTTTAGAATTTGTATTCTCTATGAATAAACCAAAAAAGATTGATGTGCTTGTTTTTGTCGTTGTTAATATATAGGTGCACTTTTGTGGATAACTGGATATTCATAATTTCTATTCCACCGAAAACTATACTACAATTGAGTTCTATTTTTTTTTTGTGCAAAACAATTGAGTTCTATATGTTTCCGAAAGTTGGCATTAATTAGATCAAGCATGCCTTTGTGGAATTGTTTTAGTATATTTTAAATCAATTAGCTTTTGATAATAATGTTTAACGGGCAACGTTTGATGAGTTGGTCCGTAATCGATAAGCCATGCAAGTTCCCATCCATGGTCAAATGTTCCCCTTTTTTTGTTTTAATAAAGTTCTTGTGTTTCTCAGTTGAATGTTCACTTTAATTTTCTAAATGTTTTCAAGTCGCTCTTAGTTATTACTTTCAAGTTTCAACTGTATACACAAAGAGAATGAATATTGACTCAAAGATATCGATTGCTAGTTAGATAACGTGACACGAATCATTGTACGTAATAGAAACCATATATCAACGAAATATAAATATATTGTTTTCGACGATTAATCTAAATGTGACAACGCGATGTTAGCAAATCTTCTAGAACTTTTTTCTTTTGGTCTCAACAAGCAAAATATATAGGCACCTAAGAATTAGATGTAATAAAATGAACAAGAAATCCGAAATGTCTTCTGTTTAGCGCTCATCTTTTTTACAATAAATTAATTGATAGGGAGATGCCAGATTTCAATGCATGTTAATGTTTTAGAATTATATCTAATCGTTTCCAAAAACAAAACTGTAGTTTCTTCACTAACATAGTTTAAGCATTGAGTGATAAAATGGAGGTGGGATATTCATATTCATTGTATCAGAAAGAAAATAAACGAATCTTAAAAATAGAGGCAAATGGATTCCAAACTTAGGGTTTTGAAGTTTCTCCAAAAAGGGAACTGGGTCAGAAATTGCTTAAAAGAGTGGCAAAGGTCTCTCTCTGTTTTTCTTTCTGTTTTTTTTCTCCTTTATTTCTTCTTATCTCTCAATTTTTTTATATAAAATACTTTTATATAGTTTATTACTGTTTGGGAAAGGCTTTTTCAAAGAAAAAAAATAAGAAAACAATGAGACTTAGGAATGTATGATGGGACTAGTTGTGGTCCATACAAGATCTAAGGAATCTAATAATTATTGTCCTTATAAAGAAAAAAAAGAAATCTCACTCCATCTCTCTCTATACAAATTCCATTTTGTTCTCTTCTTCTTCTGATATGAAGATGGAGTACCCTTTTTCTTCTTTTAGGCTCATTGACCCTCAAATTTCAAAACACAGCTTGCCAGGTGTTATACTTATACTCCATTTCTGTTTGTATTTCGCTTACATTTTTTTCATTAAAAAAAAAAAATTCACTTACTACATAGTAATATTCGAAGTATTATGTTAATCATGTGTACTGATGGAAGTGGACAGAGTAAACTGAGTAAAGTGGACCTTTGTAACAAAGAAGATGAGTATAGTCAATAAAGATGACCGGCCTCTAGTTGTTAATAGTGAAAATAGCTTCTATCAATCGCTGATCTAAAGTTCTAAACTTGTGTAATTTCAGTTCCCATGGGAGAGAAAAGTAATATAAATTCAGAATCAAATCATATTATTGTTTTTTCTCTGTTTCTTTGCAATTAGTATATTGTTACAAAGGTTTCTCGCATTAAATTAATTTTTTTAAAAATTTCACTCCCGTTTTCCATGAGATGGCCTCCAAGTATTTTTAGCTATACTTGTGATTTGCCTTGTTCCATTCGATTTATACAAAAACCGACCCGTGTCTTGCCTTGTGAGATATAAGTACTTGTAGTGACAAGTATTTGCCAAAAATTGGACTTGCAAGTATCCGCCTTGCCTTGTAACCCATAATTTTTTTGAAATAAATGGCAATTACTTACCTCACCCCTTCATTATTGCCTTACCTTGCAAAAAAAGAAAACACAAGTATTGGGCTGTATTAGAAAGAGAATGTTATGGATTTTCTCTAATGGACTATGAAACTATGGACCTATAGTATGTTGGACTTTGATTTATTAGCCGGGCAAATAGTAACGGGGCAAGTATTGAAATTAAAAATGTGACTTGATAATTGCCTTGTATTTGCAAGTAATAAATTTTTCCGACTTGTAGCCCGCCTTGCTTCGAACAATTACTTGTGTTTTTCAAAACGGGTACAAGGCAAGTAACGAGTTTTGGGCAAGTAAGAGGTACTTGTGCCCAAGCCTACCTTCAAGGCTCCAACCTATTTCTCTAATTTCAGTCCAAAATAAAGTAACTTTCAAAAACAGTTCAATATTTCTCCAAAATCCAGTAGAACTAACCCAAGAAAGCCTGAAATATGAAATCCAAAATGCTTTAGGCTCGATCGTTTAGGCCAGTATAAACGAACAGTCCTAAATGATAACTGTTAGTTAAATGAAAGAGATACAGTAAAACCTCTATAAAACAATAATGTTGGGACTTTGAAATTTTATTATCTTATAGAGTTATTATTTTATCGATAAAACAATAATTATTATTTTATCGATAAAACAATAATTATTATTTTATAGAAATATTCTATCAAAAACAAGAAACTTTATAGAAATATATTTTTTCAGATTTTTTATTCAAATTTTCCTTATACTTTGTTATTTACATATTTCATGCTCAGAAGTTCAAAGTCTATAAGAAATTATGTCTACTGTTCTTAATGGTGAAGATGAAGTTGAAGATGATGAGGAAGGACATGTGCAAGTAGTTACACGTAAGGATGCAATTGTGGCTTCGAGAACTCTTCACAACTTTTGGCTGCATGTTGAGAATACATCTCCAATTTTCAGAAAATACAAACTACATTGGAGTCATATTTTACTAAATTGTCTTAGATATATATGCATTAGTTTTATAATTATTGTCTTAGCTTATTGTTGGGACTATATTTTTACATAGGAGTTTCAAAAATATTATTGTCTTATCATCTTATCGCATTATGCTATTTTTTACACTGGCCCGAGTTGGGACCGGAGAAAAATATTATCTTATAGTGTTTATTGTTTTATCGAGTATTGTTTTATAGAGGTTCTACTGTAGTAATCAAAAACATTTGATTTGATGCTAAATGGCAACTCTTAAGCTTTAGGAAACGATTATTAACGGTGTTTAGAAAGAATATTGATAACTAGGATTACATGATTAGACACTGAATCGTCATTCTGCGATATTGACAACTAACTAGACATGTTGATTTAACGAGTACTTATAGAGGTTTTACTGTACTTGTTAGGATTTTTACACTTCATGTAAACTTCAAAATCTATCTAATCTCTAGTCTCTACTCTAGTCGACTTTCTCAGGGATAAACTCGCATATTAAGTAGTCCGAAACGCAGCCGATGAGACCTCAAATCTTAAGAGCTGTGGAGCGGCGTTGGCTTTCTTGTTTTCTTCTTCTAGACTCGACCGGATTGTTTGGGAAGATGCCAATTTGTTGAAGCTGCATATCAGAAATGTTTAGAAGAGCATCAGATCAAACCCAAAACAACAACAAAAAAAGTTTGTGTTAAGTAATTATAAGACGTTAAACTCACCATATTAGTAAATCTCCACTTGATGATCTTTTCTCAGATATCCATTCAGGGACCAGCTCTTGCATTAAGACAAGTTGTTCTTCAACTTCTCCTGCAAAACGACAGAGAAAAACAAGAAAAGTTAGGATGGTTTTGAAACGCCGAAGAAGTTGATATATTAAAGTACTCAAGAGGTTAAAGAGCTTACTTTTGTCCGTAATATCAGAATGACCGGCGATAACCTTGTGCACAAGCTCTTCTTTTGTGATAACCCAACGCCTTATAGATTGAATCAAGTAGTGGATGACATTGAAAAGCTTAGGCAGGCACTTAATCATCTTTCTCCTTCTCTTTGCCTCCGAGATTGCTGGATTCTGCTCCTCAATTGCTTTTCTCTCTTGTTCTTTAATCTGAAATTAGAAATAACAAGATGGAATAATCTCTCAGTTAGTTCATCTTGATCTCAAGCTAAAAAGTATAATGTGATTACGAGAGCAAAGGGAATCTGTATAAGAGATGTATTACCGATTGTCGAAGTTTAGCAGGAAGTATGCTGAGGATTTCATCATCGCTAAATGCATCTTCCTCTGGCACTTGATCGATGGCATAATCATCTATCACATCCATAGCTTTCTCATCCTCCGTAAAAGATGTAACGTCCAATGAGCTTAGCAAGGAACGCCTTGCGAGCTTAGCCGGTGGGTCAGTAGAAACATCATCCGGATTTACAGAACCACTGCTTCTTTTAAGCGGACGAGCTGTCAATGGCGTACTGATCAGCCGGGCAGGAGTTGAAGCAAATTCAGGTGGAGTCGAAGCAACAACAACTGGTGGTGACTCAGGTTTAGCCGGCGTTGAAGGCACATTAGCTAGAGTTGAATCAACAATAACTGGTGTTGAGTCGATTTTAGCCGGCGTTGAAGGTACATTAGCCAGATTTGATACTGGTTTGACTGGAGTTGACGCAATGTTAATCTCAGAAGAACTTGGTTTAGCAGGAGTTGAAGCTGTTTTGACTAGAGGTGGTGACGAAGTTGGTTTAACAGGGCTCGAAGCTGTTTTGACTGGGATTGATGGGACTTTCATGAACGATGAAATCAGTGTAGCAGCTGGGATTGAAGCCATCTCTTCCATGACAGAACTAACACTCTTAACCTCATCCTTTGACTCTTCATTTGGTTTCCTTCTATTGTACAGCTCTGGAAGTGGTTCCTCTGGCACTTCATCACCCTACACATATAAAACCTCCATTAGCATACAATGTAACAACCAAAACCGTGTAAAGAACGCATTTTTATGTCCCATCACAGGGAATAAAAATATACCTGAGGGTGAGCTTTAACAAAATCTGCAAGTCTTGTCCTGAACACTTTCCGGAGTGGGATCTTCTTACTCTCTGATTTCGATTTGTCACTATCTTCAACTGCATCTGCGTTGAGTGTAATGTGAAGATCTGGTTTCATGCAGCTTGTTCTTTCGTCATGTATCAATACTCTCTTGATCTCGATTGCCTCTGGCAATATATGCTTTAGTTGAGCCAAGTGATTGTAGCAAAACCTCCTGCAAATAGATTCAAATCAAAAGTTTGACTTAAGAAATTGGGATGACTATGAATTTCTAAAATCTACAGGAGTTATTAGTGAATCTATTAAAAAACAGATCTAAAATAACGATTTTGTCTTATCTAGCATGTAAAGTATAAAGGCAAAGATCAAATTTGATTGTAAATTCAGATCACATTCCATAAGTGACAATCAGTGAGCGCATGAACATGAGTGAAATTGAAAATGTTCCAGGAAAATACCTTTCGGTTAAACCCTCGATTTTTCCAGAGATGTTGAAAAACGTCGGCTTGGAACCTCGCAATTTCGATAATCGGATCGAACTGTCTAACGCATCGAAGAACTTCCCCAGATTTTCGTATCTGCAGCAACCCAGATCTCATCAGTATCACATTAACAAAAAGGGGGAAAATTGAAAAATCATCTAAAACCCTAGAAAAATTAACTTACTTCTCCGGAAGTTTGTCCTTCTCAGCATTCTTCGTATTGCTAATTCGTTTAGAGGCCGAAGAAAAGGAATCGTTATCGGAAAACAAGAGTTGCCCCCTGGCGGATGACACCGGATCGTCAGATCTACGACGAGATCCAGCGGCTTGGCGAATCTCTTTCACGGATAGAGCCACAGATCGGTTTCTGGATCTAGTGTGGATATTCTCCAGCGGCCTCTCCGGTGTGGGCACGGATACGGAAGGCGAATTAGGGATCCCGGGTTTCGATTTTGGACATGGAGAGTCCATCAGACGTTTCTTCGATTTGAAGGGAATTGATCGAGAAGAACTCGGTTCGATCATTCTGAACAAAGTCTACGAGTGTCAAATAGAGAAAGAGAGATGGATGTAGAAGAAGAAGAAGGTTTATATCGATTTGGGTATATGGCGCCAAGTGAACTCCCGCCAATTCGATTATACTTACGGCGCGAAGTCAACTAAATGGATAATGGCTACTTCGCTTCATAGATTTAAATTAGGAAATTTTATAAAACTCCTTCAGTTGCTGTTTTTTTGTGTGGAAATTCTACAATTATGCATTTTTATTTTTTAATGGTGGTGTACTTTTCTACCTTTGAAAGCAAAGATGTTAAAATTTGCAAGTCCCATATCATATTCATTACTATTTAGTACTCCCTCCGTTTTTTTAAGATGAATTTTCTAGACATTATTTGTTGTTTTACAAAGATAAAATTTCAAGTTTTTTGATACACTTTTTCAGTTTTCAAGAGACATTAATTGTATGTGTTGGTCTTTTATTGGTTGAAAAATATAAAAATTTGTTTTATTGCAAAAATATATGCATCAATGACTGAAAATCAGTTTTTCCTTAATATGTGTGAAAACTCTGAAAAATTTATCTCAAAAAAATAGAGGAAGTATTTACTAGTATTATTCCCATTTCTTTTATGTCATTAAAAGTAAAATATATTATGAAATTAAAATGCTAATTTTGCTTTATCAAAGTCCAGTATGAACAAACAAAATCTAAATTCTCATTCCAAGAAAATCATAAAATTATCAAAAGAAAATTGTTTTCTGAATCACATGTATTGTGATTTCTCTTAAATAATATGTATATGTTGGGATCTCCTAACCGAAGGAACAAAAACAGTTGACAAAAAAAGAAATATGTGGGATATGATTATTGATTAATTAAATTGTATTTTGATATACAAATTCAGATGAATCTTTTGTGTAGATTAAAAAATATAAACTTACGAATTTTTCTAAAATATGTATTTGTTTTTTTGACAAAAATAAATATGTGTTTGTTTTCAGGGGAATAATCGTTTGGTTTTTTATTGTGTTTAGATATTCTATTTTATGAAAGTTGAACGATATTTTTCATTTGAATTAATGGAATGACACGTGAGCACACGAAAAAATGACACATGTAAGCATTCAAATGTCTAAGTTATATTCCATTCTTTATGTTGCTTGTTGCTCAAGAGATGTTTTCAGAGAAGTTATATGTTCAGATTCCATGATAACAGATTTGGTGTTACAACAGCCAAAACACTTGATGAAACTAATGATTGCGGAATTAACTAACTAATAAAGCTGTATGAAGAAGAGTCTGAAATCAGGAGATGAAGAAACAACGTTTGTTTATGTTTGCATTCGTTTAATTTTATCTTACAAGTTACAATGATCCTAAAACCAAGGCAATAACTTGGTCTCTCTATACAATTGGAATCGCCTTCAAAAAGCAGTAAATGAAACGAATTTTGTTACATTGATTTGAAAATATATACTAATACATAAGAGACAATGACAACACCAGACCAAAACAAACAAAAAGTTCAGAATACTATCGAAATTATAACAGTATTCAACTATTACTTATTTGTTCTTTTGTTTGATAATATTCAAGTATTTTCAAAGCAATAGTTGATAAATTTTCAAAAGTATACTATCAAAAGAAAACACATATTTAAAGATACATGTACTATTAAAATATGTAAAACATAAAATATATTTGCTCATGTTTTGCTAAACTAGTTATAAACTAACGCTAAATTTCAGTAAAATATTATCTAAAAAAATTGTGTTTTTATCACATGATATTTTTTTTTTAGTCGTAAACTTTAATTTTTAATATCATACTATTTTTTGATAAATTCTTTGGTTAGTTGAGATTTTTTTTTTTAAATATGCCCCAACTAAATAATTGAATCTGCCACTGTTTATAGATATGCATCAATATTTAGAACAATTTTTTTAATTTTATTTTACCAAAAAATAGTATCTTTCTTTTTTGCATTATCTTAAATTCAAGACCTAAATTTCGTTTATCAGCTGTATCATATTAAACTCAAGGCCTAAGATGATTAGAACATGTGTACTTGTTGTTCGGCTAAACTCACGAATATGATCGAGAAGCGACATATATTTTTTGTTTAGTAATAGATAACATTAAAAATGTCAAATATCCTAGGTTATATGTCTATGCTTGTGTAAAAGATATACTTAGAGACCTTCGTCATACAAAACTCCGGTGTTGTTAAGCCACAAATTTTCGCCAAAGTAAATTATTCAGCTTCCTATGGATTTTTGATCAGTTTGTGTCCCTTCCATTGCACATTGCACTACCAAGTTTGCTAATATTCCATGGAACCCAATCAATAACATCAGCTATGAATGATTCCATAACGACAAGAGTTGAAAACGCTTCCCATGGACGCCTAAGAAAAGTCTTCACAGATGTACACATTTTGAACATTTGTAGATGCCAAAAATAATTCAGAGGGAAAATATTCGTGAGAGATAGAATAAAAGTCTCTGGAATGGTTTCCCTTCTACTGGGCTGGTGATATTTTTTCTACTAAGTAAGCCTCTAGAATCATTTCAACTGAACAAAAACGTAAAGGTCAACATCTGTTTAGCATGTCCCACTGAGAGGTTTGATCTAAGTAAAATGTATGTGTTCGTTTTTTTTGAAGTTGTCTTCTTCTGAGCATATGTCCACTTCTCCCTCTCCTATAGTCAAAGCTTGCATGTTTTACTATATATATGTTTGAAAAAACAGTTTGCAGGATTCAAATTCAAACGCGAGGCCGGTTCAACCTACAAATAAGTGCATGGTAAACTTATGCAGACAAAAATCTTCTTGAAGACTTGAATCATATACAGTACATTTCGTTTCAGTTTCTTTAGCATACTGAACTTAGTTTTTATGTGATGTGTTCGATCTTGACTATTCTTTAGTGTCCCATCTCCCTCCTTTATATTTACACGACTGGCCTGAGGACTCAAGCCAATCTAGTTTAGATATGAAACGACAACTCTCAAATTTATAAAACGTATTATGGCAAAGTAAATCATCCGGAGGACCAGAGTTATGTTTTACGATAGTCTATAGTTTTAAATTCGAATACGGATCATTGATTCAATCAAGATGTCTCTATAAAGGAAAACTAAAGAGAAAAGGAATATAATTCATTTTAATTGAAGTACAAAAAATGATATAATTTCCATCAGTGCAAAGTATAACAACACAGAACAAAAGTAAAACTTAGTAACAAATAGTAAAATTTCACTCTTTCAAAAAAAAAAAACAAAAAAAAGTAAACTTTCCCATGCTACGAGACAAAAAAATGGAAGAAGTTGACAAATTAACAATTATGACAAGAATTCCAAACTGTATATATATGTGCATGAATGAAGACATGTAGCATTGTGTCTCAAAACCAAAAAACCACACGATCAATTGTCTCTTGCAAGGACAATGATCATGGCTCTTTCTTTTTTTCTTCGAATCATAATCACAGCTTTCGTTTTACTTACCACCACTGCCTCATCATCATCACCTCATGGATTCACCTTCGACTTAATCCACCGTCGCTCTAATACCTCTTCTTTACGACTCTCCGGTGATGATTATGGATCTCCTTACGCCAACACCGTCTTGATATTGAGAGCTCCGAGTATCTAATGAAGATACAAATCGGTACTCCTCCTGTGGAGATCGAAGCTATGATAGACACAGGAAGCCCCTCATATGGACACAATGCTTGCCTTGTCAAAGTTGCTACAACCAAGTAGATCCCATCTTCGACCCTTCTAAATCTTCAACCTACAAACCAGAAAGATGCAAGACCCATGACCACTCTTGTCCTTACGAGGTTGTCTACGCTGGCAAGAGCTATACCAAGGGAACGTATGTTTCCGAGACGGTCACATCCAGTCCACTTCAGGCCAACCCTTTGTGATGCCTGAAACCTAATTGGCTGTGGCCACAACAACTCAGGGCTTGTGTCGACCACTTCAGGCATTGTTGGTCTAAACTGGGCAGCTACATCGCTCACCTCTCAGATGGGAGAAAGATTCTTAGGTCTTTTGTCTTATTGCTTCTCCGGTACGGGAACTAGCAAGATCAACTTTGGAGCGAACGCTATTGTAGCAGGAGATGGGACAGTAGCAGCAGATATGTTTCGAAAGGCGGATAAACCGGATTTCTATTACCTAAACCTAGACGCAATCAGCGTTGGATGATAACCGTGTTGAGACGTTGGGGACACCGTTCTACGCCACAGACGGGAACATGTCATAGACTCTGGAACCACTTACACGTTCTTGCCCGGGAGCTACTTGGAACAAGTGAAGGCGGCAGTGGAAAGCGTTGTGACAGCGGAACGAGCACCTTCCACATACGGCATGCTTTGCTACTATTCGAATCTCATTGATATATTCCCGGTGATTACTATGCACTTCTCCGGCGGTGCGGATCTTGTGTTGGATAATAACAATGTGTATGTGAACATGGGAGGAGGAGGAAGCTTTTGTCTGGCGCTTATGGATGGTGATCCCATGCAAGTGTCCATCTTTGGGAACAGAGCACAGAACAATTTTTTGGTGGGTTATGATCCTTCCTCAATGGTGGTTTCTTTTAAACCCACCGATTGTTCTGCACTGTTTTAGTTTTTACCTTCAGTTTTCTTATTTTCTATCTATTAGTCCTTTTTATTACAAGCATAGAATATGGTTTTGTTTTAGCTTTTACGTGAGATTTTTTTCCTATTAAAAAAGTTGTGTTTTAATGAATAATATGCTAACGAGTTGTTACACAAAATGCATACAAAACAATTCTATAGAGACCAGTTATAGGATATGATGGAAATATTCAAGATTCTCACAATCACAGAAGGAACTAAAACCTTGCGAAAACTAACCGGAATTCAAATCAAATGCGGATGACACAGAAGAAGCTAAGAAACTGTAGACACCATCACACAAAAAGGGTTATGAAATTGAGACTTTCACTCAAACATCGTACCACTACGGACATAATTAATATCGGCCAATACACTAACTTTTTTAAGTCTCTAAAGTATATTAGTATTTGCTAGCCTCTCACAGCTTGCACCGTTGCAATCATGTGAGCCATGACATGAGCATATCGAACAGCGGTGTGCTGTGGAGTGTATGTGTCTGCAAGTCCAAACTCGGCAAAGTTGAGTTCAATGTTGCCGAACTTACCAGGCAACGACCTTTTGGACATAGCTTCATGCCATATCTCCATGAACTCCTCCATCACTTTTCTTGCCTTTTCCATTGAGGATATTGGCAGATACTCCACCTTCATATACACAAACCTTTAGTTACAGCTTACAAACTCCAAACCAAAACAATCTTTGTGTTAAATAAATGATTTCATTTTCTAATTGCATCAACATTGTTCACTCTCCATCATGTAAATAGCATCAAGGAGCATCACTATCTTAACTGCATCAACATTGTTCAATGTTCATCATCATCTATCTTAACACTGTCAAAATCATCAACTATCCATCACCAAAACGTTTCAAGAAACACTGTTAACAAATATTTGAGTAATCTAGATGCATAAACAAGATTAATAAGCTTGAGAATACCTCCATGACGATGCCTCTAACATTCTCGGAATGAGTAGGAACAACTTTACCAGCTCTGAGTCTAAAATCACCGAGTTGGTACTGAAAGCCTTCAAAGAAGAGCGCGACTTTGGACTTGTAAGACTGAAGCTTCTCCATAATCAATTGAATCGACGAATCTGCTTCCACCACAATCCTCTGCGACCTGATGATGAAATAGTACTTGCTCGGCTCATCCGCTAGCGAAATCCCTAGAAAATCACGCGGTAGCTCCGATTGATTCGTTTGATCTGCTCCCAAATCTCATCGAGGTTAACGCAAAGATGATGATGAAGAATAAGGAGGAGAAAGGAGAAAAAAAAATCGGGAAGAAACCTCGTAAAATGGGTCTGTAATAGTTGAGAGTGGCTTTCCATCTTCCTTCTTTGACGCCATTGATGCTCTCTACGCACTGTGCAGCTTCGTTCAGGATTTGGCTGCTAACTGTTGATCCTTGATTTGGTTGCCAATGCAAAACCCTAGAAAAACCAGAGAGATTGAAACAAAACGAATTATAACACCGAATTTCACGAACGATTCATCAGTTTTTCTGCAATTGACGAGAAAGCAAGCTTACCATTTGACGGGCATTGTTTTTGAGGGAGAAGAAGAGCTCGCACTTGCTCAACAAAAATCTCTGTTATTAATTTCAAGTTTCAACAAAGGGAGGCTATTTATGAGATTTGTGATTTCGTGAAGTCATCTTGGAAATAAATAAATTTATTTGACAATGAGTATATGAAATTTAAACCAAAAAGAATATGACGAAAATACCCTTATGAATCTCTAACAAAATCATTAATGCCCAATGGTATTTTGTGTAATTTATCAGTCTAATTTGTTATGTGTTTCTGTTTTAATTGTATAGTTGATAAACATGTTGATCTAAATGCCCAACATAATCACCACATATTACTACCTCATTTTTTGTTTCAAGTTCCACATTTTTTTACTCCTAAGAACAAATAAAAATTGTATATTTTGACATAATGTTTTATAGGATTTTTGTTTTTCATAAATAACGAAAGTAATCGGACTGAAAAGGTTCAGAAATACATTTTCCAGTTACTACTTCATATACAGTATCTGTTACGTATACAGAAAAAAACACTCGAGAAACTCTTTCAGTATTCTTGTTCGCAAAGAAGGTCGTCACAGATTCTTACAAGATGTATTCAACATAGTGATCCTTGTATTGCTTTCAAACAACTTCACCAACCTGTAAAGAGTAAACAAAAAGGATTGGTGAATCAAAAAAAAAATGTTACTGAAATTAAGTGTCAAAAGTCAAAACCCTTGAAACGAAACTTGGAGTGGCCAAAGTATGGACAAAATTTGAGTTGCAAAACAAATCAGAGATAGTCCGTTTGGTCCATATGCTTGGTGATTTTGTACACATTAATTATTGTGTCGATTTGGTTAATGATAAACAATGGCTTAAAAAACTTACACTAGCTGTGTTTGTTTAGCCACCGATGTGTATCATTGGTCTGTTAGCTGTCTTGGCAATGTCAAGCATTCCAGCGTGTGCTGCTTTCTTCCTCTTCACCTGAAAGAAACACCATTGTAAAAATCTCATGTCTCAAACACAAAAACCAATCTTTGAAGAAAACATAAGAAAAACATTTTGTGATATTGTGATGAAGCAGCTAGATACTTACAGCAGCGCCTATAATTTCCCTAAGCGCTTCGTCATCAGCACCAGACCGTAGAGGATCTCTCAAACTAACCTGCTTACAAGAAAATTATGGTGTAGTCAAACAACCATTAATGTGTACCTGTTCTCATCCATTTGAATCAACAAGGAATTGGTTACTTCAGTATTAATTTACCTCAGAAGGACCGAACAAGCATACTTTGAAGTTCCCATCAGCAAGTAACCTCAATCTATTGCAGCCAGCACAGAAGTGTTCAGTCATGGATGTGATGAAAGACACAGAACCGCAATGGCCATCGATGGTAAAGTTCTTAGCTGTTTCAGTCGGGTGGTCTTTGACACGTTTTATACTCGGAAACCTCTTCATCTGTTTACCATAACAAACGAAACCAATCATGAAAGGAAATATTTGAGTTAAATCTCCAAAAAAGGCTAAAACATTTGAGAGAAATCTACCTTACCACTTTATCCATCACTTCTGCATAAGGCACAAGTTTCTTCACATTCCACACGTTCCCATCAAACGGCATAAACTCTATGAACCGGACATTGATTGGCTTCTCTCGCGTCAACTCCACGAAATCACAAATCTCATCTTCATTCAATCCTCTCATGACAACGCAGTTGACCTAAAGACCAGAAACAGTATGCATCAAAATGTTGTTCTGCTGCAATTAAATGGAAAGAGGAGAGACTATCAATATACCTTTACAGGATTGTATCCAAGCTCAATAGCAGTATCAATCGACTTCATAACCCTCTCATGCCCTTTACGTCTAGTCAAAAACTCAAACTTTGCAGGGACAAGTGTGTCCAAGCTGATATTTAACGAGTCAAGCCCACATTCTTTAAGCTTCGGTAGTCTTTTGGCAAGAGTGATACCGTTGGTAGTTATAGCCAGATTCTTCAACCCTTTCAAGCTAGACAACTGCAGACAAATCTCTTCTATGTCTTTCCTAACCGTAGGCTCGCCACCGGTTAACCTAATCTTGTTAACCCCGGAGGAAACAAAGAGACCAGCTAACCGGACAATCTCAGACTGTGACAGCAGCTGAGGTTTAGGAGTTAGCTCCACACCTTCAGAGGGCATACAGTACTGACACCTGAGGTTACAACGCTCTGTCAAAGATATCCTCAAGTAGGTGTGTAGACGACCAAACGAATCAATCAACATGTCTGAGACAGGATTGTCTTTCGTCTGATCAACTTGAGCTGCACTACTGCTAAATGAACGCTCACTAATGGTTCTTGTTACTGAGCTTGACCGGACCTGTTGAAGAATCACGATTAAGCATTGATACTCTAAAACAAACACATTGGATTCACTACTTAAGGTCATATTGACATTCAAAAGCTCTTAAATCATATTTCCAGTAAGATTGAATAACTCTGAAGATTATTGGATGCTAGCTAGCTTCAGGAGTAAATTCATTTCAAACAAAACAACCAACTTGAATCGGATCCCAAATCGTATAGCAGAAGGAAAAGTCAACTTAGCAAAGTAAATAGGCGGAAAAATCGAAACTTTACCAATAAAAAGGTCAAATTCTTGAAACCCATTTGACGAGAGTCAATGATTTTGGAAAGGCAACTCCTCATCATTAGCACTGAAGAGAAAGAAACGATTAGAATGAGAATCCTGACACAATTATAGAATTGGCAGAGAGAGAGGGAGAAAAGAGGTGACCTTTGGAAGACGGAGAGAGTATTGTTTTTTCTGGTAAACAAAAAAAGTCAGTCAGATTCTTCTACTACTGTAAAAGGCAAAGGCGTTGAGAAAAGGAAGACGGCACTCAAAGCAGAGAGTTTGACTAAAAAACATTAAACTCTATCGTCTTTTCTTATCCCGAGACATCCCATCTGCCGGTCTCGCAGGTGACCGGTTACCGGCAATCAAACCGACGGTAATTGGAAAAATTACTGGTACACGAGTGCATATGGGTGTGTGATAATTTCAGATAGCAGTGTAAATTTTTTTTGGCGTCTTATAAAGAAACACAACCAATATGAATATTTGTAGATGTTTTCCTTAAAGATAAGATTTTGATCCATAAATTTTTATTTTCTACCTTATAGATGATCAGTACATTGATGATATCTATCCAATTAAGCTTCATACATAGCTACACAATAGCCACAAATGAATTTGTAACTATTTGAGTGTCTACATATCTTCACATCAATGTATGAGTTTAGAACTTTGCATAATCTCAGAAACATTTTTGTTTGATGATAGCTCTTTACCTCCAACACCATCCATTAATTCGACGGAGATCATCTAGGATGGAGTTAAACCGTGATGTAGTTGCATGGCAAAGCAATGGTGAACTTAGTTCCTCTATCATATTTTTCGTAACTGCGCTAAAGATAATTTTCTTCTCTAGTTTCAACACATGTGTAAATGTATTTGTTAAGCATGTCATGTGTATGGGCTTTTGCACATGATTCACAATATATCAACAAACCCCGAAATTTAACCAAAAAAATATACGTTGGCATATCTGTTTCAATTTTTTTTTCAAAAATTTATTAGTAGCAAACTGAAAAATGATTATAAGTACCTTATAACTTTACATCAAATCATAAATACATAGGAGAACGACCCAGCATCTTCCAAAGATTAAAAGCATAAGAACATTGGAATATGGAGATGATGTCGTGGACATTCGTAATTGGTCGCCGCACCAAATCACACAAAAAAATGCTAATAAATTAGCAACAAAAACACAACATTGGCGCCTGTCTTGTTCCCGTTGCTTTTCCCCATCTTTATCTGCAATTTCTCTCTCTCTTTCGCTGGTGCTACTTTGGGGAAGATGATAGGTTATCGCTCTGCTCTTCATCCACCACAAGTTCTTGCTTCTCTTTGAAGCTCTCGTGGTCGTGGAGTCGTGGGTTTTGATCTTCGTCTTTTCTTTGCCTCTCTCGTACAGGTGATCATTGATCTCTAGATTTGCTCCTAAGTTTTTCTTTTATTTTTGATGCTTTTTTTTATTCGCTGCGTAACTAATCCGAATATGATTCAAAGGTTAGTTTTTTTTACTTGAGTTTTTTTCACTGAACACTCATGAGTGAAGCATTAGATTCGTGTTCTGGGTCTTGATCGGAGTTACTTAAATTGGTATCAGTTTTTGTTTTTTTTTTTATTCTTTAATTTCTGGTTAATTCTCAATCGAACATTGCCCGAGACTCGGAAAGCTGAAGACTTGCAACTTCTAAATCAGGATTTTCAAATGAGTCTCTCTCTATGGATTAATTGAAGATAGCTGTGAATCAAGTTTCTGGGTAATTTAGTGTCGTAATAAAGTTTGTGCCTTTACACATGTTCTTGCTACTTTATGTTCGTCTGCTTGGATCCTTTTTCTTTTAACTAAAAAAAAGCAACTTTTAGCATTTATCGTGTCGTCCCTTTTCGATGATACCGAGTGAATCTCATCTTGCTTCCGAGTGACACAAATCATGTTTCTTTTTTTTTCCTTCCCGGATCGCTATTTGACTGAAGTCTCTGTCTTTACTCTGTCAAAGTTTGTTCTTGAAGATGGCGTAAAGGCTCTTTCGAATTGACGACTACTTCATCATATTTTGTGTATTTTTCTAGTTTGTCTTTTGGGAGGATTTAGAAGATGGCTCAGAGGAGAGGACCCGAGCCGGCTCCGCCTCCGAGGCGGATTCTGCGGACTCAAACTGCTGGCAATCTCGGAGAGGCTATGCTGGATAGTGAAGTGGTGCCATCGTCTCTTGTGGAGATTGCTCCTATCCTTCGTGTAGCTAATGAAGTAGAAGCCAGTAACCCTCGTGTTGCTTACTTATGTGAGTTGATACAATATCCAAATTCGTCTGGTGATGTGTTTTGTTACTGCTCATCTTGAACGATCTTGACAAGATCCGTGGATGCTTCTTCTTCTTCTCTCAGGTCGGTTTTATGCGTTTGAGAAGGCGCACAGGCTTGATCCCACATCAAGTGGACGTGGTGTTCGCCAGTTTAAGACTGCGCTTCTTCAACGGTTAGAACGGGTGAACATCATCACTTACATTTTACTCTCCTTGAGTTTCATTTCCATGGGGTTATGTGTCTCAGTTTAGTTTACCTTATTTGTTGAAATTATCTGCAGGAGAATGAAACAACTCTTGCGGGAAGGCAGAAGAGTGACGCACGCGAAATGCAGAGTTTCTATCAACACTATTACAAGAAATACATCCAAGCTTTGCTAAACGCTGCTGACAAAGCTGACCGGTTTGTGTTTGCTGAAACTATTTGTTCAGATTTTTGTTTTTTTCTCTATATTTTCATATATACAAAATTTTGTTCTACTTGTAGTGCTCAACTTACAAAGGCATATCAAACTGCTGCTGTTCTCTTTGAAGTCTTGAAAGCTGTTAATCAGACAGAAGATGTGGAAGTGGCTGATGAGGTAAACCTGATAATAGATAATATCTTGTAGTAGCTAAATCTATTCATGGAAACATCTTCATCTTCTCATGAATTTTGGGTTACCAAATTATTGTCCTGCTGGTAGATTCTGGAAGCCCACACGAAGGTGGAAGAGAAAAGCCAAATCTACGTGCCTTATAACATTCTTCCCCTTGATCCTGACAGTCAAAATCAGGCTATAATGAGATTTCCTGAGGTTAACCATACATTCCACTAACTGTTTCGAACTTATGTTTCATTTTCTTTTGAGTCAGAATAATTAAATATTTGGGCATTGTTCTGCAGATACAAGCTACAGTAATCGCACTTCGTAACACTAGGGGATTACCATGGCCAGCAGGTCACAAGAAGAAACTCGACGAAGACATGTTAGACTGGCTTCAAACTATGTTTGGTTTTCAGGTGATGCTAGTGAATAACTTGGTTTATTGTTTAGTTGATTGAGTGTTTCTCCCTGTGCTGATTGTGATCCAAAACCTTTAAATGGCAGAAAGATAATGTTTCCAATCAACGAGAGCACTTGATTTTGTTACTTGCTAATGTCCACATTCGGCAGTTTCCGAAACCTGAACAGCAACCAAAGGTATGTATTCTTTTGAACTTGGAACTGATGGTTTCTTGCTCGTCTAGTCCTCTGTATCTGCAATAACGGTCTGATTTACAACTTCTGCCTTTAGTTGGATGATCGCGCATTGACTATAGTGATGAAGAAACTTTTCAAAAACTACAAGAAATGGTGCAAGTATTTGGGTCGGAAAAGCAGTCTTTGGTGAGGCTTCTCCTTGTAACGCCTCATTTTGAATTTTCATTTCATGTAATTTTGTACATTGGATATTATACGCCTTGTGCTTTTCTAACTAGTTATCTCTCCCGTTACCACTTGTAGGCTTCCGACGATTCAACAAGAGGTTCAGCAGCGGAAACTGCTATACATGGGACTCTATCTTTTAATATGGGGAGAGGCTGCAAACTTGAGATTCATGCCAGAATGCCTTTGCTATATATATCACCATGTAAGTCTTCAGCTTTCCATATATATGATAAATAACTATGTGGTTTGCCTGAAACATTTTGAGTATTTGTGAGGAGTATGTGAAATGGTTGTGGAGATAGGAAAAATTTGATTATTTTGCGACGTCCAAATTTTTTAATTACGTTAGGAGTGTTTTAAGATCCATGTGTAATTTCATTTTCTGAATCTGGTCAGATGGCTTTTGAGTTGTATGGGATGTTGGCTGGGAGTGTTAGTCCAATGACAGGGGAGCATATAAAACCAGCATATGGTGGTGAAGATGAAGCTTTCCTGCAGAAAGTAGTGACTCCTATATACAAGACAATAGCGAAGGTTGCTTGCTTGCTTCAGTTTTTCAGGCTTTGCCATTTCGTCTTATTTAGATTTCCTCTGATCCATTTCCTCTGTATTTTTTTTTTCATTTTCATAATTGTGAACTATAGGAAGCAAAGAGAAGTAGAGGAGGAAAGTCGAAGCATTCTGAGTGGAGAAACTATGACGACTTGAATGAATATTTCTGGTACAGATTAGATGATCATCTTGTAGCCTATTGGAAAGTCATGTTTTCTACAGTTCTGCATGATTGAATCTCCGTGTCTTTTAACTCTTAGGTCAATTCGGTGCTTTCGGCTAGGGTGGCCTATGCGAGCTGATGCAGATTTCTTTTGTCAGACAGCTGAAGAACTTCGACTTGACAAAACTGAGGTATGGGTAGAGAAAACTAATCGATGGGTCTCGTTATCTTTTCTTGTAACAAAACAGATTGCAACGTCTTGTCTTGTGGATCATAATTGTTTGATGATCTACCAGCCTAAACTGTTCACAATGGCTGTTAGAGTCTTAGAGGAACATACAGCTTTTTTATGCTTTAAATTGTTGTTCAACAAGTCATGAGAAACATTAGATAGATATAAGTGCTCCATTTCTATTCTTTAAGTCTTTTTTGTATCTAGAATTTCATGGTGGATATTTACAATGCCTGCAGAATAAACCAAAAACTGGAGATAGATGGATGGGGAAAGTCAATTTTGTTGAGATACGCTCCTTCTGGCATATATTTAGAAGTTTCGATAGAATGTGGAGTTTCTACATCTTGTGTTTGCAGGTACGACTAATATTTATTAAAATGTACTATTTCCAAACTTGTATTTTCTTGACCTGTAATGTTATTTGACGTATTTATATCTTGTTTAGGCAATGATCATAATTGCTTGGAATGGATCCGGGGATTTGGGCGCCATCTTTCAAGGTGATGTCTTCCTAAAGGTTTTGAGCATCTTCATTACGGCAGCTATATTAAAGCTTGCACAAGGTAATGATTTGTCAACTTATACCATTTTTCGAGTTGTTCATTTATATCAGACAGTTTACACCAAATTAATATTTCCTCCTTTGTCTGACTGCTTGCCAAATATTTCCAGCTGTCCTTGATATAGCTCTGAGCTGGAAATCAAGGCATAGCATGTCAATCTATGTGAAGCTCAGATTCATCTTGAAGGCAGTTGCAGCTGCCGTATGGGTTGTACTTATGCCGGTAACTTACGCGTACAGCTGGAGGACCCCTTCAGGTTTTGCGGAGACCATAAAGAACTGGTTTGGGGGACATAGCCATTCCTCACCTTCCCTTTTCATTCTGGTCATTCTTATTTACTTATCCCCAAACATGCTCTCTACGGTGCTCTTCGCGTTCCCTTTCATCCGACGTTACCTTGAAAGGTCTGACTTTAAAATAGTGATGCTGATGCTGTGGTGGTCTCAGGTATTTTTTCCATATATCTTATCTTAACAAAACGCCAGTCAATGTGAATGCTAATTGAGAAGGTGACTGATATTG